ACATTTGATGAGTTTTTCACCTTAAATTCTTATTTCGTAATTATTTTTCTTGCGAACTGTTCTCATTTAATATTATAGGCAACTTCCTACGATTCAATTAAAATAATTCCTGACGTTGATTATCTGAATATATATATATATATATATACTTTTGTATCGGCAGCTAATCAATTATCATAAATTTCTGAACGATTAAATAATCCTTCTTCTCCTACTATTCTTTACCTAAGTAAATAAGTTTTTATATCTAACGATCTGTTTTCCCGATAGAGTACATTTCTCTTTTAACTTAAATCATAGTAAGCGATATTAGATGAAATGACTAAAGAAAGATTATAATTCAAATGTAAAAGTGGTAAGAGTATATCCCTCAAGTGGAAATGGTATTTGGCAGCGTGCTCTTCGCATTATAATACAACGCACGCCAGGGTTATTTTTACGATCATATGACATTAGCTATTTACTGTCGATCGAGCACCGTTAATGATGATATCCAAACTAGCTGAATCTGCCAATGGACTACTTCTGTTTTCTCTTGCCATTTGTAAGTGTTTCAATTATTGGATGTAGCATCTATTAGTGTATAATCTTAGATAATGGTGTTGTAGTATTTGGTTCTGGAATAAATGGTTTATGGTTGGAGTTAATTTTATTATCTTCATTATTTCAAATCTTTATTATTACGTGGAGCGCTACATCGGGTACTTCGATCAATGTTATCACGTTTAAGGACATGTTTCAAATTCCATATGCACCTCGCTGTATTGTAATCGCTTTACATTTCACGCTACGGTAATCGCTAATTTTACTGCCAAGTTCGAATCTAAGGTCATTGGCATCATTTCTATTACCTCATGCGGGCTTCAAAATTCGTTTTCCTCATAAAACAAGGTTAATATCGGTTTCGTACAGAATTTCAAATTTGCTTTTTACTATCCTTTATAATTATTCCGCTCTAGGTAAATTTGTTTACTCGATAAAAAATAATTTTCCGCTATGATATACGTATATTGCAGATAAGTTTAATAGCAACTTTAAAAATAATACCATAGTTATTTGAATTATTGCAGTTCTCAACTATATTGCTTAGTTATAATTTATAAACTCATTTGATTCTATACGGATTGCCATTAATCATTATTATGAAAGCACGTTTCATAGCCAAATTTTTAATATGATTTTAGTTCAACGGCTTCCATTGACCTAGAAAGTTATTATAAGAGAAACATCATCCATTTATTGTACAGTAAGAAGCCTCACAATATTCTATTCAGATTAGAATTTTACAAAATTATTCTAATTTAGTATAAGAAAATCATACGATTAAATAAATAAAAACAAATAACTGGGCAGTATTGCAATGCTACATTAAAGTTATTTTTCTTAAAGAACTATGCTCATTGAACGAAAAAAAGCATTTGAATTACTTTACAATTTGTTTTAGAAAATATATTATGATATATTAGTTTATCTGGATATTGTCTATATTATTTACAAACAAGAATATTAGCTTCTATTCTATAGTCGTGTCCACTTCGTCAACACACAAAGTAAATATTTGGATCACGCAAGGAGTTTATTTAGGCCCCATTGTTTACTACGATGACCTTAATAAATTATCACACTCGGTACACATTATTCTGTTCTCTATGGTTAAATGAAAATTAACCCTTTCATGTTACAAAACTATAAAACTAAATAAGAACTTTTACATTTATAGTGAAACCACATGAAATATTTAGGGTTAGTTCATATCCTCAGTATATTGATGAGTTGTACAATGACATCATTGAGTTTTTACGAATACGAACATTGAAGATCCATCATAATAATGGTTGCCGATGAAAATATTATAATCGAATACATAAATTGACTGTAAAATCGAAGTGTTATTAAATAAATTGTTATAGTAACAAATTTTGTGTTATATTTACTACAAGGGCACTGGAATTCATCAAAAAGTTACATAGGTGTCTGTCTAGTCTATTATTAATTCGATCCAAGTTTTCATAATCGGAGAAATATTGTCTTATGTTTATTTTCATTTTCAATATTTGGTGGCTCTTTATGCGTTGACACGTAAATACAAAATTCAATATACTCAATATTTAAATTAAATTCAAAATTGAAATCACCTAAAAGTTACGCAATTTGCTCATGGTGTTTCCCGAATGTTAGACTGCGTCTTTCGTATCCGCGCATCGTTCTGCGCGCGCATTGCCCTCAAAATTTCCACCCGTATTGAATACGCTAGTCACTTTTCATAACCTCAAACCTACTCCTACCTCTGAAACAGCTGTTCGGCACATAATAACTAACGCGCCCAATTAAAAATATTACGTCCGAACAATCGGAACTTACCGGCTAGACGTGTCAAGAGATGATTACGAAATGATTTAAATTTAGAAACTTGTGTTTTTTACGATTTACGGTTTTGCTTGGCTTTCATTCAGTTTTCAGACAGCGTTCTATGCGAATAGTTGTTTGATTTAAAAACTTTTTTTATATTTGAAAAAAGAATCATCGTTAAATAATAGTTAACATTTCTTGTTTTTTTTACTTCTATCTAATTGATTTTCTTTTAGGTTATATCGTTTGAAAATGTGTTCTCATTTAGACTCTTGTGAATAGAGATTTAACTGAAATATGTGTTATTGTGTAAAATACAAATAACAGTGTTAGTGTAGTTTAAAAAGACTAGTGAAGTGTTAAAATGGAGGAGTATGAGTACGATTTCTCGTACGAATGCCGGGTTGGTATTTTGTCATTTAGACTATTTTATGTTTTAAGTATTGTAATATTCCTGATATTCTTTGAGATAAATAATATTATTTTTAATATTGATCCTCATATTTCTGATAATCTTATTCACTGTAACCTCTAGAGTTAGTGATGTAGTAGTTTTACTTAAAACTCCTATAAATATAGAAAGATTTAACTCTTGCTGACTGTCAATAAATACCGCTTCATAGTGTTCTAATTTTATTTCTTTATCAATATTAATGTCCATATCGTTGTATATTGATTTCTGCGCAAATAAAACCGTTATTCTAAATAATCTTTGGATAAATTAGGTTTTAGTTTTCTGGATATATTAATATGTCTAATATGTATAAATTAAAAAAAAGGGTTCCAAAAAGTCTAACTCTTTTTTTTATTTATGAAAGTTCTTACTTTATTTGAAATCTAAAAGTTAAAGTTAAATAGTTCGATTATGTCTAATCTGTTTTTAGAAATACTATTACGTTTTATTTCTTTTCAATGTCACCTTATAATATGTCATAAAAACTAATTAGGTATATTACAATTTTATTAATAGTTTGTTTTCCTTAAAACCTAAAACAATTTCATAATAGAGGCTAAGAACTAAGTTTGACCTTCAACACGGTTTCCTTTTCCTTATTTAGTTGCATTGAACCAATTCGTAATGTTTGGTAATAATAATAAGATTGTTATGTATGATGTTTTGAATTATCAGAAATAGGTAGGCGTTTCCGAATTTGGTTAGGCTTTTTAATATGTAAGACATGTATTGTTTAATAACAGTAGCGCTCTATTGATAATAAAGTAAGTAATATTATTAAGCTTTTTATGTTTTCTTTAAAGTAAAATGGCAACACTGTTTATACGAATTAATAGCTCAATATTATATCTCCTATTTATTTGCTGTTGTTACCTCAGTATAACGAGTTATTCAATTCCACTAAATTCAAATAAAAATTGGAGATATACCATGCTAAGTCAATGAAAAACGGCTTGTCATCAATAATTATTTCAAAATACGTGGTAATATCTAGTTTTATTCGAAAACTGCTGTTTTTTGTTACTACCTTTCTTGTTTTGTGCACAAACAACGTGATATGACATTTGTTACTAGTAGAATAATGTATTATTCATGATGTCTCACCACTAGAGTAAAAGCTAGTGTGTATAGAGTAATTGTAGAAATTGAGTAATGTTCGAATTTGACGCATCGTATATTACGCGGTGAAACCACTATACTATGCGTTTCGTATGCAATTATGCATTCCTCACCTACTTTAGTCATATTAACTTTATGTCATACTTCATGTTAATGTATAAAGAACTAGCTGTTCCGCGTCTTCGCACGCATAAATTAAAGCCTATGTCAACCCAATGTAATATGTTGTAGCCCGTAGATGAATGAATTTTTAAAATCGATTCAGTAGTTTTGGAGCTTATTCGATGCAAACGAACATATGTACAAATAAAAAATGTAATCTTTCCTCTTCATATTATTAGTATAGACAATGTCATTATTCAGTCAGGTGTGCCTTAAATTGTTTTTATTTAAGAAAGGCAGGGGGATGATGAATATTGCTCTAAATGTTTACACCGTTACGTTAGTGGGATATAAAATATGAGTCTGATATTGGATGGACTCGAATAAAGAGAATGGGTCATGATCCACCACGCCCAACGCGTATTGATATATGTTGAAGACTGCATACAGCCGAGGCAAATGGCTTATCGTGCCTTCCGAAGGCACGGAGGAGCACGGGATAAAATTTTTTTTTCAGCCATCCTATGACTGGTCATTGAGAAATTTTTACATTTTTATATTATGCTTAAATGTGTTCGCTTTGGATTTTGATGAAATTAATACTTATTTAAAATAAAGTTTTTTTTTTAATTTAGTCCTTACGACTACATAGTTCAAACAACTTTTAAAATTGAAAAAGTCGAATGAAATTCTTCATAGGACGTCTTCCGTAGTCTAGTGATTTCAGTGACGCCATCTCTGAGGTCCGATCGGGTCGATGTAGAAAATGAACTTTTCTATATTGTTTCGGGTCTGCGTGTTGTAGTTTTAGCTACTCATGTTGGAATCTGAGCAACGCATGTGATGTTTAATATTTATTTGTTTATTTATCATAAAAATACTAATGTACAATGTTATTTACATTGTATAAAACATTACGTGTACAAGTTTATGTAACAGAGGATCGCAAACTACAATCTCTTTTCCTTTTTCTCAGCGTCTCGTGGAGGCGATGGCGCCGCGTTCAGCTCGCTCCTTCCGCCAGGAGTTCAACATGCAGGACCTGGCCACCACAGAGCATACGGTCACCCACATTACTACGGAAAAGTAAGCGTATATTTAAGTACACTAATAAAATGTCTTATTGTTGTCAAGAAAAAATGATATCTACTGCTATAAATAAACATAAATAACCTATCTAGTATCTCATTTACTGATTAAATTCTTACAATTATAACAGATATGTCAGGACATCACACACGACAGAGTTAGATGGTACACCTATCAAATCAATGGCCAATGGAAAACTAAGTTCGCCTAAATATACAAGCAAAACGATTTTATCTGACTACGACAAACCTGATTTACGGAATCTCAAAAGAATTTACAAAATGTACGAGGGTACCGATATCACCGAATCGCGAGGTATAGTCCACCCTGAAACTAGAGAAATTTTGACAGTCGGTCAAGCGATCAGCATGAGGATACTGGACGTTAGAACCGGGCGATTAGTATCATCTCCTGATACACGACAAACTATATCAATTGAACAAGCAGCAGAAAAAGGTCTTATTGATCCAAAACTAGCTGCACGTCTAACAGGACCGTGCGGGATGACAGAAGATGGAAACGAAGTCACCTTACTAGAAGCTATCCAAAGAGAATTATATGATGCCGAACAAGGACTTGCCGATCCAGCAGAAAAAAGAATTAAGGTAACAGTTGAATCTGAAAAGCCCAGCACACAAGGAATGAGTATCTCTGATGCATTAAACTGTGGTCAAGTCGATCTCCAAAGGGGCTTGTATAGACTACCAAATGGAAGCTACATTACAATAGCTGAAGCCTATCAAAAAGGTTACCTCATATACAACGAGATTATCAAAATAAAGTCGAGTGCTTTGTCCTTATCTGACGCGATTAGTCAAGATTTAGTAGACAACAATGGTTGGATTTTGGATAGGAATTCGGGCGATAGGTTCCAATTAGATACTGCTATTAAAAATGAATTGATCAATCCTCATATTAGAGAAATCGTTGATCCTAAAAATGACAGAAAAATAACTCTTGTTGAAGCGATTGACAAAAATATTATTAACACCGTTCATTCTAAATACGTACATAATATTACAAAAGAAAAGCTTTCTTTCAAAGACGCAGCAATTAAACGATTTATTTGTAAACCTATGACTCTAAAAGACGTTTGTGATAATAATCTTATGACTAATGACGGTAAAATTTTATCTCCAACACATAGGGTACCTTTAAGTATTTTAGAAGCAATCTCTACTGGAGTTCTTGACAGTGACGATGTAAAATGCATAACTGATACAACTACTGGACAACTTCTTACTTTATCTGAGGCATTAGCTGCTAAGATAATTTTAACTGATAATAAATTTCGTGATAACTTAACTGGAGAGATTTGTACGATACCTGAAGCAGTCGATAGGGGTCTTATCACGTCAGTTTCACAAAGATCGATATTCAATATTGACGGTTTTAGAGATCCAAAAACAGGAGAGTTTATTTCTTTTAACTCTGCATCCAAAAAAGGTTACCTTAAATATGTTAATGGTGAAACTTTCCTTAAGTCTGAAACTGGAGATTTTGTATTCATAGAAGACTGTACAAAAGTGTCCATAGTCCGTCCTGAAGTTTTAGAAATGTTTAATCGTAAGATAGGAGTTTATGAAAATGGAAAAGAACTAACTGTGTTGGATGCAGTATTCAAAAACATTCTTGATCCCAAAACGGGTCATTTACTTGATGCAACTACTAAGAAACCCATCCCTTTTAATAAAGCCGTAGAAATAAATATGATTACTCCTGAAGGGGCAGCATTATTAAATTCCCTCCTTAATATAACTCTTACTTTACAAACAGTTACTAAAACGGTAAAGCGTTATGTCACTGTAACAAATACTAATGCATCACAAAGATCCGAAGCAATACTTACTTTTACTGAAGCTATACGTCGGGGTCTTATTGACGAAAATACGCAGACGTTTACAGATCCAACTACTGGAACTGTATTCCCTATTCAACAAGCTCTAGATGAAGGTTTGCTCGGCGTAGACAAAAACGAACCCCGAATTGTTCGCATTCCAGAAATAACCCGAAAAGAATTGATTCCCGGACAAGTAGTAGAACTTAAAATCACAAAAAAGTCATTCATTCCTGATTTGCCACCTAGTCCTGAGAGTAAATTGCAACAAGAAAATAGACCGGAAACTATTAAGAGCCCTGATTTAGTTACTCGCGATGTAATTCAACAAGAATCTATAATTCAGAAAGTAAAAACTGGAATCACGAAATCTGTAACAACAGAACCGACTGTAACATCATTAACGATTAGAAAAAATACTATTGAGCTGCCACGTGATGGCTGGACCCTTAGAGAAGCCATATCGCAAAAATTTTTCAATCCTGTTACTGGTATTTTTGTTATTCCCGGAACTGATAGAATCATAGATCTTAAAGAAGCTCTTAAGCTTAATATTATTAATCCTAATTCTGCGGTAGTTATCAATCCCAAAACTAAAAAAGAAACATCCTTAAAAAGTGCCATCGATATGCACATTCTTGATAACACAGGTAATTATAATCTGCCTACTGGTTTAATTAATATGAAAGAAGCTATCGATAGTAAATTTATTGTTTTTGTTGAAATTTCTACTAATATATCATTACAGAAAGTTATAACTATAACTTCAGTTGCCGGCATGCCTGATGAAATTGAAGTTTCCGAAATAAATAAATCTACAACCCCTTATGATGTCGTAAGAGAAGAACAAACAATTTTAGAACCTATTCAGGTAGAGCCAGGTGTTATATATGATCCAGCTACGGCTTTAATTATATCGACTACGTCAGGTGTTTCAGAAAATATTTTAGATGCTGTTGACCGGGGTATAGTACCAAGTGATAGTGTCAAAGTTATAGAACCGTTCACAGGGAATCGAATTACTCTAAAACAAGCATTAGATAAAGGTATATTAGACAAAAAATCTGGAGACTATAAAGATAAGTCCGGTAATAAAATAAGTTTGTCAGATGCAGCAAAAATAGGCTTAATCACAGTTATAGGAGCCCCGTTAGTCGGAGCAGCAAAGGTTATTCAAGTCGTTAAAAGTACCATGGTGGTAGACCCAAGAACGGGAGAAAAAGTGCCTATGGAAGTAGCTTATGAAAGAGGTCTCGTGGATCCATTAACTTACAAGAAATATGAAGATTCTATTAGAGATAAATCTCCAGAATATGATTCTACAATACACAAAGAAAAATTGGCAACGACATCAACCAAAACAGTTACATTTACGCAAGTCAATACTACGCCAACATTAACTAGCACTACTATTATGTATATCATAGATCCTATGACAAATGAGAAAGTGCCTATAGATGTTGCACTTGAAAAAGGGTTAATTGATGAAAAGATTTATAATGAATATATTAAGTTAAGTGAAGATCCTTCTCAAATTCAGAGCAGCACTAGTACTGTGTCAGTTACTGAAAGTGCTCATACACCCAATGTAACGATAACTACGGTTGTAGATCCCGTTACTGGCGTTAAAGGACCTATAGATGATGCTTATAAGAAAGGATTAATAGATTCAGCATCACATCAAAAATATAAAGAAACCTATTCTCCCCAGTTCTTTAACCCTGAAGTCTTAAAAACTCCTAGTGATAAAAATACGGTGACCTTTACTCAAACTACTAAACCTGTCACTGTGGGTGCTGCTGTTTCAGAAGGTTTTATTACTGTAGAATCAATTCAAAATAGCATTTTAGCTGATACTAGAAAACCTGTTAATACATCATCGGTAATGCAAATCAAACGTCCGTCTGATATTATACAAATAACACAATCGCAGGTATCTGCAATACCTAAATATAAACTTCAAGTTCCTACAGAAAGTGTCATCGAGAGTCAAGTTATAGAAAGTAAACCTGTAGTTTTACAAAAACTTAGAAAACGAGTAGTGACTCCATTAGAAGCAGTCGAAAAAGGTTTACTAAGTAAAGAAACTGCAAAAATTTTGGAATCTGTTAAAGTTTACAAAGATGAAAATGGCAGACCTCTTTCACTCGAAAAAGCCATCGAACAAGGCTTTATAGATGACGAGAAAGGTGAAATTAAAGATCCTCTTCATGGCGATATCGTTAATATTAAAGAAGCTCTAGAAAGAGGTATACTAGACAGTGAAGGACAGGATGAAGTTCTTATTCCTTTAGCAAAGAGTCTTTCAGTTGCAGAAATTTTAGAACAAGGTTTATTAGACCCCGTTACGGGTAAAATAATTCACCCAGAAACTGGTAACCATTTGACGTTAAGAGAAGCAATTATTTGTGATATAGTCGACCCATTATCTTCTGTTAATATTTCTCCAGGTAAGAAAATTACACTTGCTGAAGCTATAGAGAAGAATATAATAGATAATGACAAGAATGTGGTAAAAACAAGCAATGGTATTCTAGATTTAATATCAGCTGTGAATGCCTCTGTTTTTTCTGAACCAGAAACTGCGAGTGTTGAAAAGATTCCACCAGCTGCTTTGACATTACCTCTTGCTATTAAGATAGGTCTAATTGACCCAGATACCAGAACCATGAAGCACCCACTTACTGGTGATGTCATAACTATAAAAGAAGCAGTAGAAAAAGACTTGTTAATGGCGTTACCCTATCCACATTCTAATGACACTATTACTCTTGAAGAAGCTTTAGACAAAGGAATAGTGGATTTGAAAGAGAATACATTTACAGAGCCAACTTCGAAAGAAATTATTCCTTTGGACAAGGCAATGGAACAAGGCTTGCTAACTATTAAGCCCAACATGGATGTTTTACAAACAACTGGAGTTATGACGACCATAACAGAAACATTTTCATCTCAGCACACGATCACTACTAAAATGATAGAATTACTGGCTGATTACGTTCTAATTAGTGCAAATGAAGTTCAAAACACAAAAACAGGAGAAATAATCTCGATGGAGGATGCCCGTCTACAGGGCATTGTTCATGATGAAAAAACTAGCAAGGAACAATTCATAACTAACGAAACAAACATAAGTTTCGAAGATGCTCTTAAACTTGGATATATTAATATAGATCAAGGTACGTTTACCCACCCCAGTACTGGAGCAGTAATTTCTATTTCAGAGGCAGTTAATTCTGGCATCCTTAATACGGAAGTAATTACTACAGATGAACCCAAAATATCAACAACAAAGAAAGACTTGGAAATGTTGGATCTCAATGAAGCCTTTGATCTGCTGTTTGACGAAAAAAGTCAAACATTTAAAGATCCAAAATCTCCTACAAAATCAATAACATTAAAGGAAGCTATAAAACAAAACATTATTAATCCAAAATCTATTATATATGACGTAGAAGCTGCTAAACCAGTTACTGTTCAAGAAGCCATAAATACAGGTTTGATTGACAACAAATCTGGAAAAATTAAAGATCCTGATACAGGAAAGTCAGTTGACATTAAAAATGCAGCTAAGATGGGTTTGATAGCAGTTGTGGCTGCACCTGTATTAGCAGGCCTAGCTGTAGTTCAAGGTGCAAAAGCTGTGACGAGTAAAATAATGCAACCCAAGAAAACTGTTACAGAGATAGAAAGAGCAACTGAAGAAACGATCACCCCAGTTAAAAGTATTATAAGTTCTGTAAAACTACAACCAATGCCGATTACGAGTGATAAGGAAAAGCAAATAGAAACTTCTCCACAAGATATCACTAATGAAAAACAACTATCGCAAGATACATCAATAACAATAATGGACACTAATAAAAATACACCTGATCAAGCTAGTCTTAAGATAGAACATTCAAAAGCTCACCCTGTTCACAAAGAAAAAAATACTGTAGAGCAAAAACAACAACAAACATTGATTGAAGAATTACCACCACCAGTACAAAATGTGATTTCCACCATGATTAATTTGCCTGAAAAATCAGAAAGTCAAGAGCCAACGCTACAAGAAAGTCAAGAAATAAGTATAGATACAATTCATCACAGTGATATAACTGACATTCGAGAATTATGTGTAACTATTGACGAGAACATATCTAAAGAGAAAACCACATTAAGAGATCAACAAAAACTAGACGAATCAAAAGAATTAACACCTGAACAAGCAAAGCTGATTGAGTATAAAACTTCGAAACCTATTGAAGTTGTTCATATTTCTCCAATACTAACTCGGCAAACTGGCAATGCCATAAAGGATTCTGAAAAATTTATTCTTGAAGAAACTGCAATAAGTATACATGGTGCGGTACCGGTGACAAAATCTTCAAGTTCTTCCCAACCTGATAAATCCATTTTGATAACTACAACTGTAGAACCAGAAACAAATCCTGACTCATCTAAAGCGTTTGTGCAAGAACCAGTTATACATGAATATCGTGAAGTTACCCCTGATAAAATTGAACATACTAAGGTAAGCAAAACAATTGTGTCTAAATCAGAGCCTTCAGAATATATAACAGAAAATACGAGTACAGTCGTAACTACTAAGTTATCCAAAGTAACTACGGTAGAATTAACGCAGAATGAATTTACGTCACATCATATAGTCACTGAGGAAACAATTGAACCACAAGCGGCACTAGAAATATTAAGCAGTGACAAAGAAAAATTAGTTACAAAAGCCGATGATGAAATAGATGAACCTTCAGTAACAATGATGGAAATAACTAAAACTGTTAAATATGTAGACTCCAAGAAGGAGCCAAACAACGAACCTACAATCAAAGATATCTCTCCGGTAAACGTAATAGAAAAAGATAAAATTAAATTTGAATATAACAAACAAGATAATAACGACGCCTGTATTCGAGACCTATCTATGCCTAGAAAGATCGATGAGAAATTAGTCAGCGATTCTTTCAAAATTGATAAAAAAATACCCGATGATATTCAAGATACAACAACTAAAATTCAACCAATATTAGACTCGGTTGACGATATATTTACAGCTGTTAACAAGGGTATCGTCTCCACTGAAACTATTCATATAGTAGATCCAAAAACCGGTAAAGACTTAACTTTCAAGGAAGCAATAAGTAAAGGAGTTGTCGATGAAAAAACAGGAGAAGTAACCAGTAATACTGGAACAAAAATCAGTTTCAGTGATGCAGCTAAATTAGGAGTAGTTGCTATTATAGGAGCTCCAGTTCTAGCCGCATCAAAAGTTGTGGAAATGGTTAAGAATGTCATAATAGTAGATCCGAAAACCGGTGAGAAAGTTCCTTTGAATGAGGCGAAAAGGCGAGGTCTGGTTGATTCTGCAACTAACATTAAGCATGAGCTATCCACAAAAGAAACTAGTCCTGGCGTTACAAGGGAACATACATCAATTATAACGGAACAGTTATCAACTACCGCTGCTAAGCCTATTGTGGTTAAAACTTCGCAGCCGGTTATAACTGAAACTATCATAACGACAGTTGAAAACCTATCCCTGGATAATGCTATAGCACAACCTTTGAAGCCTGACAACTATGATGGTAAAACAATATCAGCTCTTTTGATCGATGCTGAAAAACAGCCACTTAAAGTAATTGATGAAATAACGGAACAAAGTTCAGTAAAATTAACTCCACCAAAAAGTAAACCTTTGTATGAAAACATTACATTAGTCGATGCTATATCAAAAGGTAAAATCGAATCAAAGGTATGTAGAATTATTATAAATGGCATTGAATCTCCATTAACTGTGCAAGATTCCATAGAACAAGAACAAATAAGTAAGTTTGCATTGGTAGATATTTTGTCGAAGAACGTAGTTAGTGTCAAAGAAACTGAACCAAAGTATTATATTGCTATTTCACAAAAGCTTACACCAGAAGAACTTTCTGAGATGGGTGTGTATGATATCGAAAAACAAGTATTTTTGAACCCTGAAACAGGTTCTAAAATATCTTTTGAAGAATTAGTCTACGGGTTACATGTCTTTGACCCTAAAACAATACTTGTCAAAGATTTGGGCTCCAAATCTGACGACTATATTTCATTCGAAGAAGCTATTACAAGGCCAATTATTGATAAAAGCACTGGACATATGGTTAATCCAAAAACGGGCAAACGGGTCCCTTTTTTGGAATGTGTACAGATAGGATGGATTGTAGAAAAACCAGAAGATGTAACGGTCTCTGAACAAATATCCATCGAAAAAGCGTTAGAGCATGGTCTGTATAATCCTAAAACGAGTGAAATAGTCGACATAAATTCAGGTAAATTAGTTCCGATCGGTCAAGCCGTTGAGAGTGGTTTAGTTGATCAAGAATCATTCTTAATAAAAGTGCCCTTTACTAACGAGAATATCCCAATATCTGATGCTGTTGAACGTGGTATTATAGAAATACATGAAGGTGTTATTACTATTGTTGAAACTCATCAAGTTATAGAAATGTCAGTAGCAATTCAATGTGGAATTATAACATTGGCGCGAAGACCAGTTTCTATTGAAGCTATTATTGTAAATGATATGCTAGAACCAAAAACAGGGCAGATTAAAGATATAGTCACTGATCAATTAGTAAGTGTTAGCGATGCTGTAGATAGAAATATTATTCATCCTACTATATCTGAAATAAAAGACACAGCATCGGAAATATTTATTCCTCTTTCGGAAGCGTTGAATACAAATCTTATTCACCCGGAGACTGGCAAAATCAAAGACAAGAAGACTGGCGAAGACATTCCATTAAATGATGCTTTGAAAAAAGGTTTACTTGCCACTAAAGACGTCACGTTTTCTTTGTTTGATATTATTGAATTAGGTTATTATTCTCCTGAGACTTGTCAAATTTTAAACCCGAAAACCGGTAAAGCAGTAACATTAGGTCACGCCATAAAAGATAAGCTAATCGACCCATCAGACGTTAAAATAAAAGACGATAATTCTGAAGCAGTTTTGCCATTTGATCAGGCTGTAAAAGTAGGACTTGTAGATACAGAGAGAGGTATCATTACCTCTCCAGTTTTTAATCTCAAAGATGCTCGCGATAAAGGTTATTTGCTTCACGACAAGAAACCTTGGACATTACAAGAGGGTCTTGTTCAAGAGTTTTACAATCCAGAAACCGGTCTCTTAACCATCAATGATGCCACAATGACATTAGCGGATGCTATCCAAAAAGGAGATATTAATCCCGATGCAATGACTGTTAAAAATTCCATTACTGGTGATATAATTTCTTTGAATGACGCTATTAAAATTGGAATCATAGATTCAAAAGAAGGCAAGGTAAATGACCCTGTCCATGGTGACAAAATCTCTCTTACCGATGCGTCAGAGCGAGGACTTATTGTACCCGCGAAACGTAAACTTAGTTTACCTGAAGCTGTATTCAAAGGATTTTATGACCCTAAAACTGGTAAATTCTCACATCCGGAAAGTAAAGAAAAAGTTCAGACTGATAGAGCAATTAAAAAGAGAATGATAGACCCTCAATCAACTTTAGTACATGTAGGAGGCAAAGTGATACCATTTGAATTCGCAGTTGACAAAGGGATAGTAGATGGTAGGACCGGCACCGTTCTGTTAGGATATGATAAAGTAGATTTCCGAGAAGCTTTTGAAAGAGGTATATTAGTTGAAGTGCGCAAACCTATGTCCCTTATTGAAGCGCTTGAAAAGGGAATTTATAATGAAATCACTGGCCTTTTTATGGACCCTCAAACAGGTAAAAAGCATACTCTTGCAGAAGCTATTAAATTAAACTTGATTGACCTCAACTCTGTACATGTTCAAGATAACAGACTGGGGAAATGGAATAAAATTACACTTCCCGAATCACTACAAATAGGTGTTATTGATGATAAAACTAGTAAAATTAAAAATATAAACAATGAAAATGAAGAAATCAGCCTTCGCAAAGCTTTTGAAATTGGTTTACTCGTGGATAGTAAAGCACCTATTAGCTTACAAAGGGCTTTACATCAAGGTCTTTATGACGATGCGACTGGAAAAATTTGTGATCCAACTACTAATCGTAAAATAACTCTTCATGAGGCCATAAGGCGTTCTATTATTAGTCCAAAGCATTTATGTTATTTTGATAAAAAATCAGAAAAGCCATTATCTCTAGCGGAATGTTGTCGCAGTGAAATTGTGGATAGGAGAAATGGAAAATTCACTGAACCTGGATCAGATGTTCAAATACCATTATCAGAAGCAATGAGTTTAAGTTTAATAGTAGATATTGAAAGTGCTGGGTTTACTTTGTACGAAACGTTAGCTATGAATATGTATAATATTACTGAACTTGTTTTTGTGCACCCTGTTACAGAAAGAAAATTATCTCTTAATTCAGCAATAACGGAAGAACTTATCAATCCGCAAATGTCTCTAGTAAAACATATTCCTACAAGTAAATATATCAAATTAGAAGAAGCTATAAAAAGTGGCGTTATTGATGGAGATAACAGTGTCTATGTACTACCTAATGGTAATCAAATAAATTTACTTGATGCGAAACATCGTGGCTTAATAGTTACGGCTAAGAAAAATATTAGTCTTGAAGAAATTATTAAAAATGGTTTCTTTAGATCTGATAACGGAAAAGTTGTAGATCCTGTTACTAATGAATTTATCGATTTAAATAAAGCTATTGAAATTAACTTCTTAAATCCCGATTCAACTGTGGTGAAAGATAACATGACTTATAAATACAAACCTTTTATAATAGCTATCCAACAAGGGGATGTCGATGTTTCAAAAGGTAGAGTTCTTGATACGAAAGCTAAGAAAACTTATAGTTTAGATATCGCATTTGACAAGGGTCTACTTGTAACAGTTGTTCAGCCCCTTACAACTCAATCTATAACTAAACGTTATGTTCCGGAGGCAACTTCTAAAGAGCTACAACTAAGAGAATTCACTCTAGACGAAGCTATCAAATACGAATTTATAGATTTAGAAACCGCTGTTATAAAGGATCCTCGCAAAAACAAATACATTCCATTAAAATTAGGTATGATTGAAGGTATAATAGATAAAAATGTTAAAGGTTCTTTTGATACACAAAATCGCGCGCGTTCTCTTTGTTTCGTTTTTGAAAATAGCTTGATTGTATATGTTCGAGAACCTCTCACGTTTGAGCAAGCTTTAGAAAACGGTCATATAAATGTTGCCGCCGCTCGATTTACTGATCCACATTCCAATGAAGTATTAACAATAAAAGACGCTACAACTTTAGGTTATATCGATTCGGACACTGCGCTCATTAAAGATAATCTCAAAAAGAGGTTAGTTAAACTGCCAGAAGCGTTCCGAAAGGGCCTTATGGATGCTGAAAAGGGTAATATTTTGGATACTGAAACCTCTAAACTGAATACACTGGCGTCAGCTATAGAGAGTGGACTCCTAATGACACCTAAAAAAAGTTTCACTCTCATCGAGACAATTACTTTCGGAATTTACAATCCAACAACTGGAGCGTTAAACGATCCATTTATAACGACCAGTGTAATAGATAGAAAGAGGTTGAATTTAGGCGAAGCGATTCAACAGGGAATTGTAGATCCATCCAGTACTGTAGTCAAAGAACCGGAGACTGGAAAGATTTGGCCATTGGTTCAAGCGATTGAACAGAAACTCATCGATCCAATCGAAGGCAGACTGGTTATAGATCCTAAGAAAGAGATCAGCCTCGACTTAGTGAAAGCTCATAAGAAGGGTTACTTACTGCCAGCAGAAACGAGGGTAAGTTATTTTATATTTTTCACGTATTGTTGCTTTTATCAAGCAAAGGTGTTGCTTTACATCTTCCTATTTCCATTCTTAGACGGTTACCTCTATCTGAAGCGTTTGGCTTTAAACATTGGCATGGCACGACACTCACAAGACATGCAAGTGTCGAATACAGGGTTACTTTTGATATTTGGTGACGTCACAGTTTGTTGTGGCATACACTAATACAATGATTGTAGTTCATCATAACTATCATTATGTTCGCCTAGAACTTAAGACATCCAGAGTTTTACATAGATTACTTAGTGATTTTTACTATTTTCTATTACATAGTATAAAGCACATTTCCTACAATCACGACGTATATTCTTAAATATTTGATTTGCCGTAAAATTAGCTTCTTCACATAATAGGTAAAAAGGTTTTGCTTTTTATAAATCGTAGTTATTAGAAAGAGAGAGTATTACAAGTTATATATTAATATCTACAAGCCTCTTGTGTTGTTCTTAGATGCTTAAGTTTAGGTTTATATAGCGCTCCACAATTGACAGTTTATCCATTTCATATGAAAGGGAAAAACTACCAATTGAAAAGTGTGCTTAAATTCACATGTACTAAGGCTCGATGTATGTTGTTTTTTATTTCCAGCCGTTGCCTGCGATGCTAAGAACCCCTTTTGAGCTAAATCGTGAATGCTTGCCTGTGAGGGATCATAATAACGACGATATAAAGAACTTATCACCGTCTCGTCAAAAACCTAACTCCCATAATTCACATTGTGCTAAGACTGACGTTGGAGGTCGGAATTGCTTTGTGCTGTCGACCTCTCAACGTCGCAGCTTTATATTGTTTGCTTCCTCATTCGACAACCAGCGTAATATGACTGCTGGCTTTGAAATTGACCTAGTTAAAAGTTTACTATAGAAATTGTCCCTAAACTTGATATACTCATTCCTTGGACGCGCGTGCTCATATATTTTAAATGCATGAGAGCGCAAATGCTATTGTGATGTCGGTAAATAAAGCAGGACACTCGCGATGCAAACATTCACAATATCATGAAACGGTAAAACATTATCTTCAAATTCAGACACGTAAGGTAGTATTTATAATTCATTTAAGACTTACTTTAAATTCTAGTTTTTGTGGGATTTTATCTCAATATTTGCAATGTCTTTCTTTTAATAATGCAGTTATATTACAGATCTTTTTTTTTTTGAGATAAAATTCCACTCTGTTTGTTTTCATTATTATATATTTTTATTGTAATTTACTGTACAAAACACTATTCGATAATTTCAGATTTTTCCGAAAAGGTACTCTACTTTCAATACTTTTTAACATTTAACTCTAATCAAAAGTTTAATCATTTTTAGTGAATCTGTTGGTACCATGTTAAACGGTTAAGAGATTTAAGGCAAATGTCAAACACAACTTTTCATTGTCTATGCTTATATATCTTGGTCTATACTTATGTTGTCTTTGACAGTTGCGATTTAAAAGTCACTGCTTGCATGCCACGCTTTATGCATGTCCATTTCTTTACTTTACTTTGTACTATACGCATTGTTTTATATTTGTTGTGTTCGTCATTTTCACGCTGTAAATTGGCTGTCTGTTATTGTTGCCTTCTCTGTTCGTGTCTAGGTATATTGTCTATGCTTCTCTTTCTGCGTAGTGTTGTATCGCTTTTTTACAGGTGTCGTACGGTGAATGACTTAGTAATTGGTACTTCAAAACGCATGACGCTAAGTTATTCTACCGTTGTCTGCGTGGATTATAGACAATTTTTTTTTTAAAGTTTTTGTAAAAAAATACGATTCTAAATACTTGCACATGTGAAGTTTAGTTAACTACATTTTTACTTAATGTAATGCACTTCAATAGTAGATTAATGCATTGTAAATTTGCTCGGTAGTCATAGAGAAAATGCACTTGATTTGAAGACGATATTTCCCGCTTGAATATGTTTTTCTCAATCATAGACTAATATATATTTTTTTAATATTTAGCAAGCAGTTGAAGAGAAGTACAGGCTTTGTGATGAGACACTTTCTAAGTTATTGGAATGGATTGCGATCGTTGAAGAGAGACTGGCCAATCAAGAAGCAGCAAAAGAAGATATGGATGAGCTACGAAATCAAATAAACATCTTGAAGGTAAACAAATAGTGTTAATATTTGAATGTAGCGATATATGGAAAGTTTTAAATCGTGCACATCTTTATGATTGACCAAAAATCATGTACTACTTGCAGCTTATCAAGGATGACTTGGAGAGTCACCAGCGCCAGGTATCTGCGTGCGCTGACCAGGCTAAACAACTTCTAGTCTCCGGTGGAGATGTGCTGGCACCACATGAGGTATAAAACTGGGAACTGTCACATTTGAACAACGCCAAAAAGTGAATTATTATCATAATATGTTATTTTTATATATGTTCTTTTTAAAAACACTACAAACGCTTTGGTTGTAACATATATGATCGATCCTGGGGACTTACCCTTTCAAATATTTTTCTTTATGATAAACACGATGCTTTTTATATGGCAAATGGTAATTGTATCTGTGAAATATGGAGGACCTTGAGATAGTAAATTTTTGAGCACCTATCTTGGGACAGTCTTTGTAAAAGTCCTCTGCAATTTTTAAGTTCTCTGGGAACTAAACTACTTTTAAAGCTAAGTTTGCCAAACTTGCAAGAAATATAAAAGAAAGCCGATTTATTCGCCGTGACTCGCACGATGGTTTCAAGATGTCACATTCGATTCCCGGCCGGGTCAATGTAGAAAATTAAATTTTCTATATTGCTTCGGGCTTAGATGGTAGTGCCTTCGTTTTTTTTTTTTTTATTTCCATAATACAAGTGCTTTTGTTGCTCAACTCCCTAGTTTAGTAACAAAAGTTACCTGAGTAAAAAAATATTTATAATAATAATAAGCTACTCTTAAAATCAGTTTATTTACGTGTTATTCCTTACAATTAAACCTGACGTTTGCTTCTATTGATGCGTAACGAAATATCTGTAGCACAATTTGAATATACTTTATGCATTATAGCACTTACTGCTTATGTTTTAAGTTTGTATATCGTTGGTAGCTAACGATTCATTTATTCCGGCAGGTGGCGGCATTAGAGCGTGGCGTGCGCCAACTGAAACAGCGGTGTGACAAGTGCAGTGACAAGTGTGACAAGATGTTGCGTCGCTTAGCCGCCGCTAGGGATGAACTCGGCAAATTCAGGTTAATATCCCATAGAATAGACTATGTTATATAAAACTGAACTTTTATATCGATTTAGCCTATACAAAGAAAGATAATGGAAAGATTTAATACTGTCGGGTGTTCTCTATGAATAAGTAACTTTAGGGAATATTAAAAATAATATGTACTGAAAATTTAACTCTGAATGAATCTTTTTATAATGTTATTTGATGCGGCAATAAAGTATTATTGTTTAGTTTTGATTTGCACATATTTAATACCTGTTATTTGTATTAACTTTACTTATTTTTTAAGAGATGAGGAGGGGGAATCGGGATGGTGATATTTACTTATTGTTTCTGATTTTAATATACAAGAAGTCGTTCCCAACGCCATTACGTGCCTTCTAAAGCACAGATGTCGAGATATCATTGACTGAGAAGCTCACACGCCGGTTTCGATTCCTTTTCTATATTGTCTCGGTTCTAGATGTTGTGGTATCTTATTTATTTCAGATTTCCATAATACAAGTGCTAAGCTACTTTATTTGGAATCCGAGGATTATACATATTGCTGTCTTAATATATTTATATAAAAATTTTGGTCACCCATCCAATAACTGCCTTTTGGGAAAGTTGCTTAATTTTCACATTTTTTTAAGTTGCCTACTACTTGAATGATTCCAGACTTATATAGTAATGTGTAAGGTTAGTAATTATAATAATAATATTTTAGCAATGAACTGAACACTTTCAATGCCTGGATGGAGGGCGCATACCGCCTGCTGGAAGAAAAGGAGGCGGCTATATCCAAATTAGACAAGTTACCCCACCAGGGAGACGACATCAGGGAGTTTGTGTCTGACGTCATAGCTCACCAAGCCGACCTTAGGTTTATAACAATGGCCGCACAGAAGTTCTTAGATGAAAGCAAGGTACATTTTAAATCATTACCAATATCATAAAGTATAAATATTTCACTACTTGTTTGCATTGAATATGCTCTGAAACTATTTAAAAATTCTTTCACCTATGGGAAGCTACATCATACGCGAATGCCATAGGCTATAATTTACACGGACAGAGTCGTAGAAAACAGTTAATAAATATGTATATATATTTTTACTGTTCAAACGAAAACTTCTCATCTCGTTTGTGGTTATAGTTATCAGTTTGATAATGATAAAAGCTAGGACTTTTTGCCCTGTTAAAAGTTAAAAACTTAAGTTATTGATAGTAATCAGTTGGTATCGGTCGATAGTTGAATAAAAATTAAAATATCTTTATTCAAGTAGGCTATTACAAGCACTTTTGAATCGTCCAAAAAAACCACTTGTTCAGGACGTCTTTTAGCTGACAAGAAGAACAAGCGAAAGAAACTTACCAGCATTTTATTATAAGTAATAACATTTACATAAATCAGATTACATGACGGTTAGATAGATGACTGACAATAGATGTTATTGTATATTGACTCAATGGAATCGTGTCAGGAATTCCTGAGTATTCTGAACGAGTACCGTACAACGTTGCCGTCGCGGCTGTCTCACGTGTCCCCGGGCGCGGAGAGCGCGGTCCGCGAGGGCGCAGCACTAGCGCGCCGCCGCCACGCCGACCTCGCGGCGCGCGCGCAGCGGCTGCAGGACCGCCTCAGGGGCACCGCCCACCTCACCAAGCAATACAACCTCGCTTTGGAGAAGGCCGGCAAGTGGATAAACGATGTGAGTTATTGTTAATTATTATTTATTTTCGTAACTTACAACTGTCATTACAGGTGTATACCAATATAAATAATAGATTTAACAACTCAAAAATACAAAAATAGCAAGTATTTTTTCAAATAGCAAGGTTAAACAAAAATTCATCCCTAGAATGATAAGTGAGGCTAATAAAGCTTTAGCTACCATACTCTTGTTCCATAATATTACTTGCAATTATTTTGTATTCTTAGAATAAAGTATATAAGCAGTATTGTTGTGAAAATTAAACATTTATAACTTCAAAACCTTTTTTTAACTTGAATGACACCATTACCCGATGTAAATACAATTAACCAAAGAATTGTTAACTATCAATTCTTTCTACATGCATTTACAATGAACAACACATTAAATTATTATTTGGAATATTATATTAGTTAAACTATTATTAAAATAACAAATTGTGTTTGAGTTAGTGAGCGAAGTAATGCCCACAAATCAGGTGTTAACGACACCTAATTATAGTATATACTTCAATATCAAAACAAAATCAAAATTATTCGTCAATTATATATAAAAAACTATAAGAACGTAGACAAACATAAAAAAAGTTCGGTCCAGCTGTCGTTTCTCAACATTAGCGTTAATTAAAAAAAAAAACTTAAAAATTCCAAAAGCCACAGCACCACAGTTCGAAGCCACAATCTTTCGCAATCCAAAATTAATATAACCCCAAAACCCTTTATCTCGAATACAGGGCGGTGCAGTTAAGTTCCCTTTCTTTCCCACTAATTCACGAGTGCTTCAATTACTTAGGAATGAAAGTCTAATATTATTTGTTTCTTTTTAGATCGAACCACAAGTCCGCTCAGTACTATCTGAACCGGTAGGCGGTGAACCGAGAGCGGTTGAAACGCAATTGGCTAAGGCGAAAGCTCTGCACTCGGAGATACTATCGCAGGGACGTCTCATCGACAATGCTAAAGATGTGAGTTTAATAAATTTATGAAACTGAATTAAAATTTTATTAAAAAAGTATCAAGTCTTTATTGCAATGAACTTTGACAGTTCATTCATAACATTTTCAATTTAGTTCACAATGACGTATAAAACTAACATTGGATTAAAAGCTTGCTTTATATATTTTTTTTTTTATTAGATGTTCAAATCGTTAATTGTAACAAACACATAGTTAAATTAAGTAACTGATTACGATTTTTTCTTATAGAAATAATAAATAAGTAAGCTTTTGAAAGCCGTCAATAGAGAGCGCTTCATTTTAAGAAGTGTTAATAACTGACAACTGATGATTGTTTATGTACTCGTAAAATCCTTAATTTCGAAACGTGGCAAACGTCGACAAATATAATGACTCTAGTACCAATATCCAAACGCCTATCCTCCGTTGAGTATGAATAAAACGGACACCTTGTGCTATATTTTACACCTTATTGTTATTGAAACAAGACTTACTTTAAATGTTAATCGTACGTTCGGTTATCGTTGGTATTGCGCAAACGCAGATTCGCCATGTGCCATATTGATTTGGACTTGCAGCGCTATATTTATAGATTATGTCAATACCCACTGAATTTGCAAATAATTCCTTGATGACAGGCTTGCGATCAGCTAGTGAAATCGCTGGAAGGCAACTTGACACCATCAGAGATACGTCAACTCGAAGTTCCAGTGTTAGATTTGACTGCTCGATACAAGGACATAGATGGCGCTGTAGGCTCTAAATGCGCGGAGTTAGAAGCGGCGCTACTGCAATGCCAAGGATTACAGGATGCAGCGGAAACACAAGCCCATTGGCTGGGACAGGTCGAGAATGTATTCAAGTGAGTCTCATATCAATTTCTGGTGATATTGTTATGAAAATATTTGTTACTAAAAAGTGTTTATAAAGTCGGCTTTTCTTTGTTTATTTTGACTACGAACATAACAAATTTACATGCAGTTATTGCTATTTTTTTTTTAATTATCTTCTCATTGGTAATGGGGAAATCAATTTTGTGCCGTCATATATTATTCTCAATAATAGGTAGATACATCAGTAGGTAGATGGCCAGGTGGGATGGCCTATCATACCTCCCCCTCCCCCTTGACACGCCTACATGTTTATTTAACAAATTTGCATATAACAAAAGAGGTTATCAGCTTGAATATAGAATGCAAGGAGAGGAAAACCGAAGAAAAAATAGATAGACTGTATGAAAGATGATGTGGTGTTGGGTGGTGGAGGTTTGTTATTTTATTGAACTTTTTGATTCGTTCTAGGAACCAAATGAAGCCTGCATCTCTGATCCGCGAGAGGCTCGACGAGCAAGTTCGCGAGCAGCGCATCACGCACGGCGAGGTGGAAGCACGTAGGGCTGCACTCGCGCAACTACTCACCGCCGCCAGGGATGCCGCTAGAGCGCCCTCTAACGCCAGGATAGCGAGGAAACTGGAGCAACGAGCCGAGGAAATATATGCCAGGTAATTTTACATACGGTATAACAAAAATTAAAGCTTACCCATTGATCTGTATATAATAGATCGGTATAGAAGCACTTTCCATACATTGATTGACCTGACAGTTTTCCTTATTTTATGACTTTATTATATGTTTGTTTTTAAAACCAGATATAAAGTCCGGTCGCAACAAAGAAATTTTCGTATAATGACAGACATTCATGTTTTTTTGTAGTGAAATAAACCTAAAATGTTCACCACGTCTAATGATAAGCACAGAAATCCGTTTTCTATCCGTATACTAAATATTGTATTATAATCACTTTTAAAACAGATATGAAAAGCTTCTAGAGCGTTCAATAAAGCGGGGCCAGTTCTTAGAAGAAGTATCGAACGAGTTGGCAGTATTCAGCCAACAGGCGGCGACACTGGACGCGGCACATTCGCATCTCTTAGAACAAGCCGATACCAGAGAACTCGCCAGAAGTAACGCTGAAGAACTACGCGCTAGATTAGCTGATTTGGCTCACTACAGGTATTATAAGGATATTATACTTTTAATTAACTTATAAATATTTTTTCCATAATATTATTCTTACAAAATATTAATAGAGTCCGAAAAAAAATTGCAAAATACAAAATAATCTTAATTTCGGATTTGAATTAATTATTGACAGAATATTTCCTTCGTCTAATCAATATCTAAGAAGCTTCTGATTGTCTCATTCTGTATATATTTTTATTACTATATTTACGATAAATAATTCAAATATTTATACCATACATATTTATATTAAGAAAATAATTCATTCTCAGGGATAAACAAATGCCGCTGCTTGAAGATTGTCTTCGTAATGGCAAACAGCTTATAGCCAAGAAAGATGTCACGGATACACATGTGGTTCGCGACAGGATGAAGGTAAGCCCTAAGTAGACTAGTTCACTACTAGAGGAGAAATTAGATGGACTTTGGCATTGTAACGCCAATTTGAAATTTTCAAAATCAAAATTATCCTGTTTTTAAATCTTTTTTTTTATTGGCGATTCCAGTCAGATCACTGAATTTCTTCCAACTTAGCAGACATTTAATGACGTTATTATCATTTATTTATATCAATTCGAACTTTTTTATCTTTAACAGATCTTGGAGAATCAATGGCGCGATTTCAACACCGCGCTAGAAGAGAAACAGAAATTATTCAAACAACGTGCCGACCAGCTTAACCAGTACGAGACACTCAGAACTCAGGTAATATTATTTACATTATATTTACTAAAGAATTTCCATAAAAAAATCGTTTAAAAAACAATAATTTTATAATATTTCCATTAAAAAGAGTTGAACTTCGAAAAATACGGTCTTGTCAAGTTTTTCGCTTCTTTGATATTCATGCATAACTCTTTCATACATGTACGCTTATATTTAAGACTTCTGACATCCCATTGATACATTATGATAAAACCAATTGTAGTCACTAGTAGAGCTCTCTCTGATATTTGAGAATGCTATGCTACTATGGATATTCTTGCGTTCTCTGAATTTAGAAAAATGTGTTATATTTGTAATTGATTAATGAAAAAATTAAGGACCATCTCTTTAAATGATCTAACAAGCTCAAGTGAAGCTTCTATTATAAGATTGTATGTGTATCAAATATTACATTAAAACTTCCGATGTAGTTAGTTCCATACTAACATAAATGTTAATAGTCGTCAAATCGAAGTAATTCTAACTTAGGAACAAGTTCGCTAATGAAGAAATGTAAATGTGTAAATTTAACTTTACCAAAAAAACCGTTGTATTAATAGGCCAAATATATATAGCTGTCTCAATCAGCAATCTTTAAATATCTGATACGTCAAAGTGCCAATGTCGACACTTTATTTTGAAGTTTGATATTCGAACTTCAGTATTGGTCCTATGCAAAATTTCGCATTGGTCTATATCGTATTTCTACGTGTAGATAGAACGCGTAACGTTCTTAAGAAGAATATCACTATAAATAGTTTTTTTTTTTTTATTTCGTCATCAGTTATCCTCAGAATGTTAAGTAAATTGAGCTACTTTCTAATGAATTATAATCTTCTCAGGTGCTCGAATGGCTGCAGTCTATAGAGAACAGAGTTGGAAGACTCAAGCCTGTGGCCGTTGATTTAGACGTTATCAAAATACAACAAGATGAACTGCGGCCACTCACCAAGGAGTACAGAGATTATTCAGTCACCATAGACAAGGTAAATTAGAATGAAGGAAAAAAAAAGAATGAAAAAGAGAGTACAACTACTAATGATTAAATATATCAAAAAAAAAATTAATAGCAGATATTGCGACTCATGTCGTAATTATAAAAAATTGGTTACTGTTTCTTGAAAGTTTTTTTTTCTCTCTTTCTGACAGAAGCGTGGCAGTTATTCAGCAAAAATATATAGAACTGTTCTAGGAACTTTTTTTATCCAATTACATGATCTTGAACACCAACTCTTGACTTTTATGTTAAAATTATAACTGCATTGTACAATATTCGAATACCTATTATATGTTTATATACCTTTTAAAGAGTGAACTTTAATATATATTACTCATGTAAGGAACTTGTAAGTTAAAAAGAGGAGTAACATTTTATATTTTCAACAGGTCAACGAAGCAGGAGCAGTGTACGAAGCATTATCACGCGGTGAACGAGCTGATAGTCCTCACCGAAGACGTCTATACAGTCCCACTAAACGTCACACGCCCAGTAAGTAATTAAACGCTTATAAATAAATAAGACAAGGTAATTATGCGATAAAAGAATCGGTATTGCCAAACTGATGGATTCCCCAATAAAATTATTTGAAAAAAATTGTGTACCTAGTAATGTTTTTTTGTAGATTAGTTTACAACTGGTAGTTGTATAGTCTTGTTTGTAACAAATTTCACCTATACCAATATCAAAAAAGAAATTTTTAAAATCAGTCCAGTAATTTCGGAGCCTAATCAATACAAACAAAGTAAGTCTTTCCTCTTTATAACGTTAGTATAGATGGTGCATCAAAGTATCTTATTGTAAATTATTTAGGCCGTACACTGGACGGAAGATCTCCATCGCCAACTAAAGGTCACGGGCTGGCTAGTCCCGCGTCTACACATTCCACCTCTAGTGGGTTCTCTTCCCGCCGTTCCAGTCAAGAAGGATTCCATCTTGAAGGTAATTGATTGTTTATTTTGTTTTATTTATTAAGTAAAGACGGTTTTACCTCTTTAAATAAGAAAATAATGTCAGTGTTTCTAGTATAAAATGAGGTGAAAAGTTCCTAAGTTTTTGTTATGGTTCGATTGATTTAAACGAGATAGCTTCACTAACAGGTTTTTTAAAATTATCCAAGCAAAATAACACGTCTCAATTTGACGTTTTCTCTTCTGTCATTGTCATTGTCAAGTTAACTACAACCTGGAATTACTATGAAACCATTTTCGTAATATTCTCTATTAGATAATGATGTACCCACTCAAGATAATTTACATGTTAAATAATGATTGTATGTTTTGTGTAGAACTGTCCGGGGTACAACAACAGTTGGCTGAAATCAATAACCGCTACAGCCTAGTAGGCAGCCGCCTTAACGATCGTCAGGCGGAATTAGACGCGCTCCGTACCGAATTACGCCGACATTTAGACAGCTGTCGGGCTCTACAATCCTTCCTGGATAAGGTACTTTAGAAATATATTCATAACATTATTATCATCCTATTAATTTCCTCATTGGTGGAGCACAGGGCTTACCTATAAGTGGAATCGAAAAAGGAGAATTGCCCATAACTCATCTTATCACGTCGTAGTATGGATGGTGGGCCTTGATTACTATTAATACTGCCAGGACCAACTGCTTGATGTGCCTTCTGTATCACAGACGAGCTCGAGATAATTAGTCACTTGACTGTTTGAGGAAAAGTGTTTTAAAACTCGTACTATTAGATATATATTTTTTCAAAAGTGTTGTTTAATGCAGGAAAATATATATTTTCTTTTCTTTAGAGAGATTTCGAGCCGTGACGTCATAATTCAATAAACATGAGTACCGGTTGCACTCACAACAAAGAAGTAGACGTTTAGTTTATTGAAATTTGACGTTACGCGATGCTCCGCCATGACCGCTCTGACGTTTCCATTTTTATAATACAAAAATTATGAATTGCAAGTTACTTTTGTATTAGAAAAATACTTTCATTTATTTAAAGAAAATACTACATAGTTGTTTTTATAACTGTCGAGTCGCCAATAATTTTTTTGGTTACCCAATCTATGACCGTCCCATGCGAAGGTTGCTTAACCTTCGATCTTCTAACAATGTACGAACCATTATTATGAAAATAGGCCATTATTATGAATAAGGCTGAAACCTAGTACGTTGTATTTTGCACCTTGTGGTTACACTTTAATCTTACGTTCTTTCTTCATCGATTTCGGTACTCATATAAGCCATTGATATCAACGAAAACTTGCATGAAATATGAAGTTATGATAAATAAATTAATGGTTAGTAAAAAATATGAACATTGAAACTGACTCTTTTGTCACCATCAAGGCATGATATTGAATTTGTACGTGCACTGATAATTACGTGTGCTTTATTATCTGTTAATATTTCAACAGGTCCAAAGACAACTGCCCAAAGATTCGATACCCAACACCAAAGAAGAGGCAGACAAGACGACGAAACAAGCTCGCGCTGTGCTAGAAGAAATGTACGAGAAGCAGAGCATTCTAGACTCCACTAAGACACAGGTGAGATAGTCTCAATGACCAAAGTGTATTTACATTGCATTTAGACAACGTGTAAACTTAAACTTTCTAAATCATCTTAATCTTAGAGTTAATATTGGACTTCCAAACTACAGCTTCAACCAACGGGTTTCCGAACTTTTGGCATCCAATTTTATTACTGGCCTTAACAAGAGTTGCTTAAAATCCGTAATCCTTATCTATTTTAAACGTGTGTTAATTAGGTTCGTGAGCTGCTTAAACGCAAGCAAGGCGTAGAGGGCGCTGATCGCTTGCATGATGAAATGGAAGACGTCGCTACACGCTGGAAGGCTCTACACGATGCTTTCAAAGACAAGTAAGTACTAAAAAATAAAACTGTTTATATCAATAAATTTTTAACACTGTTTCCATACTTTCAAGGTCCCAGAGTTTCGAAATTGTGCGGTTTTACTGCTTAACTTCGTTGATATAAAGTTCAAGTTAATTTTGCCTTACGATTAGTCTGATAAAACATGAATTGTGTGACAGACGTGACATATATGGCCCCTAATAACCATTAAATTGATTTCATTTCGTTTTCATCTCTCATTTCTCTTGTTGTGTATATGTATTTAAAACGTATCCGCAAAGATATGTAGATTAAGCAATGTGATATTTTTATAGGATTCGTCTAATGGAGGAGATGAAGGACTTCCATGACACTCATAGTAACTTGACCCAATGGTTGGGCGCCAAAGATCGCATGATGGCTGCCCTAGGACCAATCTCGTCTGACTCTAGGATGGTCCAGACACAAGTACAACAAGTAAGTATTAACGCTTTTGCTGAGAGTTTGCTGATGGCAAGAAATACGGTACAATGTATGGTCAGTTAGTCTTAGTTATCTGTTACTTTCGTGTGTTTACTATTTATATTTATAAACTTTCATAGGATAGTGGTTTAAACACTTTTTTAACACCTTTGCTCGTAAAGCTGATGTAATTCCACCGGTTTTAAATATGTAAAGCGGGTCATAAAAACGCGTGTGTTACCAAAGCAAATAGTTAAGTTATAGTCCATACAATTCCATAACAGTATTATTTGCCATTTCGCGCACTGTTGCTATTCAAATTTCGAACTAATCGCCGCGCGGCGCCAGTCAGTAGGCAGCGCTAGCGCGCTGTTAAAATGGCGGGAAAGCAACAGCGTACATTCACAGATTGAGTTTATTTAATGTTTTTTTTTCTGTTTCCTCGCAAATGTGTTAAAAAGCGGGCGAAGTCGCTGGCCAAAGCTAGTCAAAAATAATACTGCTAGCCGATGCATTAAAAATACTTCTTCGATTTACCTCAGGTACAAGTATTACGCGAAGAATTCCGCGTCCAACAGCCGCAGTTAGCTCATCTAGATGAAGTGGCGGCCGCCGTGTTACAACGTTTAGAACCAAAATCACAAGACGCAGACTCGCTCCGTCGGAAAGTGCAACAAGTGAAAGACCGCTGGAACGAACTACTTGCCAAGTAAGCGCTTTAATCAAGGTTATAAACCTGGAATTTAGATTAGTAATATAAAAAAAAATATACCTAAATATAAGTCATCTCTGTCTTAAGGCTGGATTGCACCATAATAGTCTTAAGGTTAAGGTTTATGTCAAATTTGACGATACATTGACTGCGGATTACGTCGCACCGTCCTCTTTCTTGGCATAAAACAATAATTTACAGATAACAAACATTTTAAAGTACCGGTTAACCAAATAACACCCACCTCGTCTCATCTTGGGATGCCTGGATTCGGTGGACTTTTAAGCATTTTTCATTAAAAATGTGTTTGTTATTGTCAAAGTGAAGATGCAACCAACCTTTAGACACTAAAAGAAAAGTAGGCGTCTCTTTTTACAGTAAAAAAGCGCCGTTGCATCTGCATACAGTCAGTAATAAATAGTTTACGACAGTATTGGATCAGTTACATGGAAAATTTCATAAATTTCAATAATTAATTATGCAATGAAGAAAAAGAAATTATTGCTTTTCAGCTACTTCTTTCGAGCAACTTATTGTTGCGCGGAATCGCGAGACATTATAAAGCCATTAAAAGTGAAAACGACCAGCAAGACGAGGACTCATGTATTGTCAATATAATAATTACTTACCTTAGACGCCTTTAGCCAAGAACCCTAATTTGTTTTACAATTAAGTATACAAAATAATAATTTTAATAGGTTGGAAGCACGCGGTGAAAGCTTAGGCGCCGCAGCGGATACGTCTCGCGAGTTTGATGCCGGACTGGCACGTCTCAGAGACGCTCTACACGCTATAGGAGATCAACTGGACCGTTTACCGGAACACGAGCCCGATGAGAGATTACGCAAGATAGAGGTTAGTTCGTGTCCCCTTTAGCTGTCTTTAAATCATATATCTTCTAAAATAGTTGCTTAAATCATTGTACATTAGTTTTTAAGATTATCTAAAGTTGTTCCTAAAGTCATTAAGTACATAAAGTTAAATATCTAAAGTTGTCCCTTAAATAATTGTACATAAAGTTGACTATATTAAGTAATTCCTAAATTCATTGTCCGTTGTTCGTCAACACGTTGTCGCCAATGTTAAGTCCTTTAAGTTGTTCCTAAATGTGTTGTCCTATTTCCATCCCTTATACAACCTATTTAAGTAAATGACATGGTGAATCCTCCCTCATAGCTTTTTCATTTTTTTATGTTTGAAAATTTATTTCATTGTATTAACATTAGGGAAAATAATAATACAGGAAGATGAATTAATGCTATTATTGACTTTTTAGTTTAAAGTTTTTTTGTCTTTAGGTTTTTTACCAAATTTAGTAGTAATGCAACGTGAATAATTTTTTAAACCTTACCTATATAGACAAAAGTCGTAGCTTAGAATAGATTCTTGTTTTGAAAGCAGTAGATTTTTCATTATTTACGAATGTTTATTTATGAACAGAACTTGGAAAGGCAGTTGGAAGGTCAGAGGCCTCTGCTAGCGGACTTGGAGGCTGCAGGCGCGGCTCTAGCGACTGTTTTATCAGATCCCTCATCGAGACAAGACATACAGAGCAAACTGGCAGCTGTGGCACGACAATACGACAACCTGCAGAGGAAACTAGACCTAAAGAAAGCGGAAATAGAGGCGGCTTTGAAGTGAGTAGTACTAATTTGCCTAAAAACAATAGTAATACACGAAGCAAATCTCACTACTGAACTTTCATGTAATTGTAAATGACTATAGTCTACAACGCTGACAAATATATTTCTATCCATATAAATTTCCTACCTACCTCACAAAACAACTGGTATCTTAAAAAACTAATGTAGTTTTAATGTTTGATTTAAATAACAGTCCACGTCCGTATAATGACACTTTTGTCGTGTCATTTCGTTAAAAAGTTGGCAGACGCATAAGTCTAAGGCCGACGGCATCCGCGCTCGCACCGGTTTGAAACGGTTTAAGGCATCGTGTTATCTATGTGTGCGTTGCTCGAGCGCACTTTTTATATAGATTTAAAAGATAGTAACACGTGTGCTGAAAGTATTAATACATTTTTCAATATATTTACTAGAAAATACCATTCGTAAATATTTATCAGTTCTGTGATGTTCATCTGTCAATTTCAACACAACTTTATCTTTGATATCTATTTTAAAACTGATAAAATGAAAACTATTTTTTTCACAGTCAGTCTCAATGTTATTGTGTACCAAAAACAATGTCCTTTTTTATGTTTTGAGCTTTCGTTTTTAAATGTGCTTAAATTTCATTGGAAACATAGAATTCATTAAAATTTTTCTCGTGCATAAAAAAATCCAAACACTTATTCATGTTATTTCCGGACGTTGACTTATAAATTTGCTTAAAATGTTTTTGGCTCCCTCTGCTGATCTTTTAAGAAAACATTAGATTGAATATCAAAAGTCATGAATTGTTTAAAAACAATATTGAAACATCGTCTCGCGATCAGGGATGGTCGCAACTTGGAGGAGAACGTGGCCAAGACTCTTGGTTGGTTACAATCCGAGTTGGCCGCGTTACCTGGCCGCCTGCAGGTATCAGCCGACAGTACGCGACTTCAACAACAGCTGGAACGTCACGAGCCTTTATATAGAGAACTCAGCCAAAGAGAACATGAACTCATCATGCTACTTGACAAAGGTGAGGGTATAATTATTGTATTGAGCTAACTGATTTCGCGTTTTTTATTTTATTTTTATAAAATTATTTACATATGAAATTATACAAGGAACGTGTTCCCAACACACAAAACATAACTATAGATAATATTGATCTGTAAATAAAACCAGTAAGTGTTACAGCATAACTTGGACTAAGTAAAATTCGAAAAGAATATTCTAACATTATATCATTATCCAGGTCGCGAAATGGAGAAGAAACCGTCATACCAGGGTCTCCGTAAAGACCTCGATAGGATTCAAACTCAATGGGACAAACTTAAGCGGGAAATCGTCGACCGCTATACACGACTCCAGACTGCTATGGTGAGAATTCTGCACTAATCATATTCCCTAGATAACGAGGATAAGGACGTAAAGACGTCAGAAGTCATTAAAACCGGCGAGCATCGATTAAGAACCCGAAAAACTTTCTATTTCTGTCTCTCAGAATCGCCATTTTCTATAGCAAGAAAGATAGCGATACGATAGCTCGCCGCGGAATCTTCGAGCCATAACCCTAAGGTCTATGGTTCGATCAAACCTATAAAAAACTACTTTATTGTAAATAATAAACTCGCTCCGTAATGATACTGTAACAAATGCAAGAGGTTTCACTCTTCGATTTTACAAATCAAGTCTTTTCTTTTTGGAATATTAGTAAATTAATTTGGTAAAAGTTAATAATGCAATTTAAATGTAACAGGAACACTGCCGTAAATACAGCAAGGCTCAGGAATCTTTCCTGCCGTGGTTGAGCTCAGCCGAAGAAAGAGTGGCTCAACTTCCGCCCACAGCGTTCACAAGACGAGAAGTTGAAGCTCAACTGAGACAACTGCAGCTGTTGCGCAACGACATCTGGAAGCGGTGAGTTTTTTTGTTTAAAGAAAAAGTTTAGGATGTATGTTTCGTGGTTTGATTAATATAATAACTGAGATTATCGATGATAGAAGTAAAAAGATTGAATTCAGGTTATTTATCTGAATCGCATTTATTAATATGGACATTCCTTTGAACATGATTAATTTTATAGACTATCTCTGTGGTTGACATATGCCAGTTTCAAGGTGTCCATATAGAAAATGGACTTATATTTTGTACGGCCTTGGTGTTATTTCAGATTCCCTAATTGCAAGTGCTTTTGTTATTTAATTTGGCACATGACCAATATATATTGTACAGTATTTGTTAATAAGAAACTAAATTAGGAAATTTATTAAATTACCAAATGAAATTATAGTAAAGGTTCTGCAAAGCCTATTGATTTCAAATAATAAAAGCACAGTACAGTAGCAATAATATCACTTCCTATATAAACAATATTCTGTTGAAAATGGAACAACTTTTCGTCAAACTGTTTTATCCATGTTATTCTTTTTACGAGCATTTCTGATAAGAGTACAATAAATTAATCTACCTACTCCGATCACTGATGATTGTGCATACTTTGTAATGTCCGAAATACCTATGTGTACTATTCATCGTCGTACTGAAATCAGTTCACGCAAAATTATATGTATACCTAAATTTTCCTATCCACTATCCATTTGTGAAAGACACAAATCCATCCAATAGTTTTTCTCATTTTTCCACATAATATTTAATAATGTATAATTGAATAGATTGTAAATTAGATATATTATTCAAAACAGGTCTGGCGAATACGAGAACAACAAGACACTCGGCGAGACGTTCATCTCGGCATGTGACGTTGACCAAGAGATTGTTAGGAAACAACTAGACTCCATGAGAGACCGATGGGATAGACTCAACAATGGTAAGATATAAACATACTTGTAAGAATTTAATTTTATTTATATATTTATCAAAAAAACTAAAAATAGCTTATTAATTTCTGGAAGACGATTACGATTTATTGTAAAATCGATAATAAATAGTATACTATATGAAAAATTTAATATTTCTTTGTCGAGAAAGTTTTTTAGTAGTGACTTGTGTCTAGTTCAGTAACCTCTCGCTTTCATATCATTTTTTACAATTACAGTGCTCTTTATTTGTTTAGTTTACAACTTTTGAATTATTATTAATTATCGCACAAAACGCCCGCATTTTCAGTGCTATTAATAAACGAGGTTTGAGTAAATTTACGCAAAAATTGCAATATCAATTAGTCCAAATTGATAATTAACAGAAAACATGCAAACCTACTTACTACCTTCTAGGAGTAAATGTTACACCCGTAGAACCTCGTACTAGGTTAACCTTTGCCAAGTCTCTCTTTAATAATATGAATTTTGACTAATACTAAGTGCAGTCTCAACGTAAATTTACTCCAACGTTAATCCTTGTTTATTAATAACACTGTATGACTTTATTTTATGCCTGTTTGCAAATCAAAATCAGAAATATTTTATTTGGGGTCGACATTGGGGCTTGGTATCTACTTTTATAAATATTAATACATCTAAATGGTTTTTTCTTCTTCCCCCAAATAGAAGTACTTCAACAAGTGGAATTCTTGGAGACGACAGCACGTAAACTCGGCGATTTCGGTGAGAAAGTGCGAGCGGTAGAAACACCGTTACAGCGCTGCGAGGAAAGATTACAGGACGCTCTGGCTGCGCCGCCAGCCGTGGCAGCTGAAGCTGTGGCCAGATTGACGGATAATATACACGCACTGAGAGTGCCGTTGCAGGTTAGACTTTAATGTGTTAGTTTTAAAGTCGTTAGCCTATTGTATTTTTGTTACGTTGGAAATTATTAGATATTGGGTAAAATGTCTTACGTTTTATTGTCTTTTACAGAAGACAATGTTTATTAAATAAAACTTATTGGCAGACGAGAAATATTCGCGCTATTTTAGAGAGACAATTACGTAAATTATGAACGTCGTAAAATTGAGTTCTATGGAATTGTGTTTGTTTTTTTTGTTTAATGAATTGTCAAAATAAATGAATTCTATTTTATCATGTATTTTGTCATGTTATAGAGCGTGGAGACGGCCGCGGACGATATAATCCGTCTCGCTCTCGAGTGTGGGGGTAAGGAGGATAGCGAGCGTGCACGCGGCGTACTACAGGCCCATACCGCCGCCCTCGCCGATAGACTCACTGATCTGGAGGCGCGCGCTGATGATGCACGAGCTAGACTAGCTGGCGCCACCGCTGCCGTTGCACAGTTCCAGGTACTTATAATTCATGGTATAATCCCCGCAAATTGCTAATGCGTCTGGCCGCCATTTTGGTGACGTAATTGCGTTCAACAATCAGTACCGTTAACAAATAAACACTGGTTGACCAGTACACTTATTGAGATCACACACAAGTTTTGTTGTTATTTGTTATGGTTGACTTAAATAGAAACAGCTACAATGTTTTTCACAACAAGTAAACCTAATAACAATAAAAATAATTATAACTAATGTCTCTCATTTTAATTATTACTTGTGGCTATGTTTTAAAAGTAATTGTTCTTTCCGTTTGTTTTATTTTTAGTTTATTGGTTGTGTGTAATTTAATAAATTATTATTATTTTTATAATTATTATCTTTTTTATATATATAGTACATGTGCTGCATACAAAACAAAGTATTACATGTACATATACTATATTTAGTTCACCCCAACCGAGCTGGAGCAGATTAACATATATTTACATTGAACGCGCAGTACACATAATACACACACTGTACTTAATTGATTCTTCCCTCACTGCTTATAACACATACATTAGAAATGTCTTCACCGACCGGTACATTGAGCTAGGAAGAGGAATGTACAAATAGAAAATATAAAACAAAATTACATCAAGTAACACAACAATAAGAACAATTTAACTGATATCATCCAAAACTAACTATTGCTACTACTATATCTATTGCTCAACGTTTGTATACGATTTTATTAAATTTCAAAACGTGAACTTTTTAAAACCATGACTTTGTTCTCTCAACAGGATAAAGTTAAGAGTCTGTCACACGATCTATCAGACTTAGAGAAAGAGTTGGACACCATGAAACCTCCTGGACGCGACATAAAGACGGTCAAGACACAACTTGATGATGTCAGTCGCTTCTACAAACGATTGGAGAAGGCCGACGACTTGGTCGGTGATATCGAGAGAGCTGCTGAGAATTTGGTCGATAGCGGTTACACTGTTGATTCTGCTAACACCAGGGATCAGGTAAATTAACCATTGCTATTAAAAACATACATTTACACAATAAAACCTGTTTAATATGACAGCACTTTAGGCTACATAAAACTGTAAAATTTCCCCACTCAACTTTAAGTTTTAATACAGTCAGTAGAGTTTAAAATCGATGGCGTAAATTTGACATGTGTGAGTAAGACTCGCCGGGTGTAAGGAAGACGGAAACATAGTGCACCGTTACATAGTGCATTACAAATTTTAATCATCCTTTCAGTTTGCTTGAAAAGTAGTTGAAAAGCCTTATTTCTATGGGATAAATATTATTTTCCTTTGCACCGTCGTCAAACGTTAGTACATAAATAGTTTGAACTATCTATACTATCTTTATTAACAAACATAAGTAATAAAACTTAATAGATCTTAATACAAGTTTGGAGTAGAGCTCAAATATTCTAAAATATTATTTATTTGACCTTGGAGACACCTTGTATTAACATAGTGATAATGTTTGGCAGGTGGAAGGTCTTCGTAAACAGCTGGCCAAGTTGGACGAGCGCGCTCGCTCCAAGGAACAAGATCTGGATGATACTCTTAGCAAGTTGGAAGCTTTCTACAAGGCTTACGACTCTGTTATGGACGATGTACAGGAGGTATATTATTAATCTTTATATATCTATACTTACTAATATAATTAAGGGGAAAGATTTCATTGTTTGTTTACAAAAATACTGGACCGATTTTAAAAATTCTTTCACCTACATCATATGCGGTGGACATAGCCTATATTTTGTCCTGAAATAAAGGGATGAAAATGGGAGTGGAAGTTTGTGTAGGGATTTAGAACGTTACCGTAGTAATTTGTACTATTCATTTTATCATTGAAATTATATCCATGTCGTAATACGAAAACGTATCCGAATTAGTTATTAAGTTATATTCGAAGTCTTGATTAAGTAGCCCATATGGCTACTTTTCATCCCACTAAACAGTTCCCTAGGAACCACGTGAGCGAAGCAAAGACGAAGGAAAGCTGGTATTGTATAAATATATTAACCTATATAAACTTTAACTATCGATAGCTATTATTATAGTAAAAGCTAAAAATTATAAGATGCAAAGAAATTATTGTTTGATTGCTTGCATTGAATAGGGTCCAAACTACTGGATTGTACATTTCAATGAACTTTATTTGAATTTTTCAATGTTAAAATAAAAACTTGCCTCGGCAAATTAGTTATAACATTATTTACTGAAGAAATATAATCCTTAATTACTGTCCACCAGGCTTCCGAACAAGTCCGCAGCTTGAAGCCTGTGTCCTCAGAGGTGGAACAGATTAGATCCCAGCAGAAAGACTTCGGTGAACTGAGACGCCGTACGTTAGAGCCTTTGGGCCAGAACGTGGCCCACTGCAACAAGATCGGCCAGGGATTAGTCAGATCCGCACTCCAGGGGGTCTCTACTCAACAGCTGGAGAAAGACCTGGAGAAAATGAACGACAAATGGAACGCACTTAAGGAAAAGGTAAGTCGATATCATGAAATTAAATTGTGTTATTTCATATGATTATTATTTGTGCAAAAAATATACACGGTTATTGAAAAAAGCAATATCTTAGGACTAAATTGCTAACATCATAACAATGTTTGATCTACAAGTTTAACTATAACTCAATACTTGGAACAAAAATGATTTGATGATGATTTCAAATTTTTATCATACTTTTAATAGGTCTATGGTTTCTTCATAAATATGGTACAGTCACACACTGTGTGAAACACCTACATTTAAGTTACTAGATGTGTGTACAGCTCAATTGTTTGTCAATACATTTAGCTGTAAAATAACTTTTAATTTAATTTAGTATGTTCAGAAAATGTCACGATTTATTAAAAGTTAGAACAGTTGCTGTTATTTAAGAAATTAGCTTAGTCTTACGCAGTTGTTGGTGGTTTATAATGGATCCTGCATCGTTAGCGATTGAATTGTTGAAATTGCTCTGAGTTATTGATTAGATAGCATTCATTGCCTTCTGAATGTGTGATTAAACTACAGACTTCGTGTCAGACTTCATGAATTTTTAATTTTTCATTCAGATGAACGAACGCGAGCGGCGTCTGGATGTTGGACTTCTACAGTCTGGCAAGTTTGCTGAAGCTTTAGCCGGTTTGGAGAAATGGTTGGCTGATACTGAAGATATGGTCCGAAACCAGAAACCACCATCAGCTGATTACAAGGTCGTAAAGGCGCAATTACAGGAACAGAAGGTCAGTTGTTTGCGTTATTAAATACTAAAAATAAAAAGTATAACAGATAGTTATTTAAGAAAAATGTCCTAAGATGCGCTCTGCAAAAAATTATAAAATAATATACAGGGTTAATTTATAAATCAATGCACAACATTTTTCCTACGGTTTAGTATTGAACACTAACAAGAAAAAACCAAAATATTAAAAATATAATATCTAATAACGTAAAATATTTATAAACTACCGAAAGAACGAACTTTTTATGTAACTAAATATTTTCTTTAGGATAAAAGTATCAAGTCATTATGTAAACTACGCGGCCGAAAGCGGTCGTTGAGAGTTAGAATTCCATAAATGCGGTATTTTTATGCTAGCGACGATATCAAAATAGAATCTATAAATCATCACGATGCTTATCGTATCTTCCTATAACAGTTCTTGAAGAAAATGCTGATGGACCGTCAGAATTCTATGTCTTCGCTGTTCGCTATGGGCAACGAAGTGGCCGCTGGCTGTGAGCCTGGAGAACGGAAGTCTATAGAGAAACAACTGAAGGGACTGATGCAGAGATTCGACGGACTCACGGACGGCGCCCAACAGAGGATGCTGGACCTGGAACAAGCAATGAAGGTAACTAACTAACTAACTATCATGAACCCTATGACTTTTATTGGTAATATCATTGCAAAAAATAGATTCTGCTTGTATGGTTGTGATTTTCTCTCTATGTTTATTACTTAAATATCTAATCGAATTTTTTGAATACGGTCGATACGAAATACGTCTGTGGTATTAATACTCTAGAATAGATCTTACGTGATAGTAATACAGATCAAGTTTTCTTAATGAATTTTTGAATATTTAGCTGTTTTGTATTACAAACCCTAATGTACTCGTATTACAAAAAGGTTGTCATTTTACGTAATCTAGATGAAGAACACTATTAATGTTCTTATCAAATAACACTCTAAGTTGCTGACTACGTCCTAACAACTGGTTGTTATTGATATTATCATGTAGTGTATGAATTAGCACTATACAAGTAGCAATTCTAAGATTACTTGTAATTATAACGTACGAAGAGCTTATTGAAATTGATTTTACTTTGTATTTGATTATAAAATATCTTTATAGGTGGCAAAACAATTCCAAGAGGAATTACAACCGTTGGTCGAATGGTTGGGTACCGCTGAACGCAAAGTAAAATCTTTGCAACTCGTGCCAACTGACGAAGAGAAGATTCAACAGAAGATTAGAGAACACAAGGTACTGTATGAAACATCTTTTCTATTGTTTAAAAAAATACTAAATGATTAAGCAATTTTGTAATACTGAAAATCCCCGAGAAATTGACACCAAGCAAAAAGCTATAGTAATCTCCACCAAATAAGTAAAGGAAAATATGCAGAAAGAAAATTTTCCATATTATACAGATATTATTAACAAAATAATTGTTTTATCATTTTATATTATATATCAATTCTCAGGTCAAGATGAAACGAGATTATTCTTATGTACTCAAACAAGCTTAATGATACTACTTTCAAATCATGTATCGTCGATAACAAGGATAGGATCTGTTTGATTTTTATTTACAATTTTTTTCGTTTGACATTAAATTTATGGTTCTTTGTAATAGAACTTGCACGAGGACATCCTGTCAAAGCAGCCAGCTTTCAAACAGTTGACAGAAACTGCATCTACTCTTATGGGTCTGGTGGGAGATGACGAGGCGGCCGCACTTGCTGATCGTCTTCAAGCGGCCACGGATAGGTAACACAATATCCATACTAATGTAAAAAAATAAATAATAAATGTGAAAGTAACTGTCTTGTATGTGTAACGTTTTTACGCCTAAACAACTGGGGCCAATTTTAATGAAATTTGGTATACATATAGAGTGGTTGAAATAGGGGATGAAAGTACACACAATGGTCGGTAATAACCGTATCCTACTCGGGCAAAACTGCAGCGAAAAGTCTGTCTATATAATCAAGGACTTTATTCTACTAACGCTTCTTATTCTGTTAATGGCGGTTTAACAAAATTTCTCTTTGGCACAATTTTCGACAAATCATCCACAAAGTTTAAGGAAAATATAGTAACAAACAGCAATTATATAATCAAAATTTCACTATAATAATAGACCACTATAATTGTTTTTGTTACAAGAACAAAATCAAAGTTCTGGGTGAAGTGGGAGGATTCATCATACCACATTAAATGTGCTTTATGGAAAGTTTATTTTTGTTTATATTTATTGGACTTATTACTCATTATTAGATACCAAGCCCTGGTAGACCACAGTCTGAACATCGGAGAGCTTTTGGACAATTCACGTAAAGGACTAAGACATCTCGTCCTCACATACCAAGAGTTGGCCGCGTGGATGGACGGCATGGAACAATACCTCGCCAAGAGGAAACTGTTGCCGCTGCACATGGAGAAACTGCTGCGGCAAATGGACGAACTAGCCGTGAGTTGAAACTAAACCTCATGCTTAACATAATAGAGTTGATTGTGTCGTGAATTATTTAAAATGAAATCGTCTAAGCAACATCATAATAAATTTTGTAATAAAACAACGAAGTTCTTAAGAAATTTAATTTGATTTTAATTTAAATAGTTTAAAAATATTTTATTGAGAATTTTACTTTTTCCACGTTTACGAAAATCTTAATATTATAGATAGATAGACTGCAAGTTAAAGTATGAAATACTTATATCTAGTCTATCAAAGAATGCATATAAACCGAATCTATTTGAAAAGACAGAATAAACATAGATATGATTAGACTCCTTGGGCAAGCTTGTTCTACCATACATCTCATCTAATTCAATACATCAATTAAAATAAAAATGTCCCCATTTAATTTGGAAAAAGTCATGGTGTACTACATTACCAATCTGTGAATGTAACAGGAAAAGACGGAAGAGATAGCGGCCAAACAAGAAGCAGTAGACTCCACAGTGGAATCAGGCTTGGAACTAATGAAACACATCTCCGGCGATGAAGCACTCCAGCTGAAGGACAAACTGGACGCGTTACAGCGAAGATACAACGATCTCACATCACGCGGCGCCGATCTACTGAGGATCGCTTCCGAGACGTTGCCGCTTGTACAACAGCTGTATAATAGTCATAACAAGTGAGTGTACTAACTTTGACTTTTTTTTGAAAGATTGTGAAATTTTGCTTTAAACTCTTTTTCGTTTGCACATATTTGCGTAAAAAATATGGAAACATTGTACTGTTAACAAAGACGTTGACGTTTAGTTTATTGAAACGTGACGTCACACGATGCTTCGTCATGGCTGCCCGCGTTTCGGTTTTTGTAATACACACATAATAATTCGCAAGTTAATTTAATTTATTGTTATAACTGTCAAATAGGCAATTGAACACATTAGTCAAACTCACCTTAGAGTAACTCTCGACTAGTTGGTTACTATTCCTCTCAAAATCACACTTTTCTCCCTACGGCTCTGAATTTCATGTATTTCATTTCCCTCGGCCAGACTAAACGAATGGATGGCGGGCGCTGAGAACTGCCTACAGTCTGTAGAACCGCGAGAAGAAGACATACTTCGTTTAGAAGCTGACTTACAGGAGTTTAGACCCGTACTTGATACCATCAATCTTGTAGGACCTCAGCTGTGTCAGGTATGTACCTTACTAACATGTATTAAGACTAACTTTTGCTGTTTCAATTAGATAATATGGTCATCAACAGATAATTTAATGCACTCTTGAATGTAATAGGGTAGTTTTGGCAGTGAAAACGAAGTCATGAAATTGCACAAAAAAAAAATAAAAATTACAATAAACATAGAGATAAACATATACATACAGATTTTAATTTTGAACCATAAAATCGCATGATTATCTTAAAATTAAAATCGTAATTTTTCATAACGTATAATAAAATCGTATCATTTCTGTCGCTTCGTCATCTTTCCTCGCACTCTAGAGTCGTAGTCAAGAAGAGGAAGTTTGTACCGGTAGATGCATGGGATTTTGAATACGTACTATCTACTGGTGATTATAAAAGTTGACGGCTCGAAATCAGAATCCCTCCTCCTCCTAAACAAGAACCTGGTAACGTCCTTTATTTCCTTTGCTCCAATCAGACCGTGCTATGCGGTAGAAAAGGTAGTGGCAGGAAAAAATCTAAGGCTTTATTAAATAGTAATTGTTTCTTATTAATTTATTTGTTATAGATTTCACCTGGAGAAGGTGCCGCGCACGTTGAAGCTTTAGTGACCCGCGATAACCGTCGCTTCGATGCGATCGCTGAACAGATACAACGAAAGGCTGAACGTCTACTACTCAGCAAGAAGGTAGGAAATACTACTTATTAAAATGGCTTGATGTAGATCGGTGGCATAGCGGTTAAGCACCGCGGCCCACGATCATTGTTGCTAAGCAACTTTCGCAAGGGTCGGTCGCACGGGATGGGTGACCAAAAATTATCATCTCAAGTTACTCCATGCTTCAGAAGGCACGTTAAGCGGGGATCGTCAGATAAAGATAGCATCAGTTTTCCCATCACTGCTATCTGCCCCAACAATACAATCAGTTTGACAATGTTTTATATTTGTAACAGCGATCGCTCGAAGTGGTCGGCGATATGGAGGAAGCGGTGGAATGGCTGCGTAGCGCTGAGAGCGCTTTACGTAACGCGGCGCCGCCGTCAGCGGACGCGGCTAAAGTTAGACAGCAGCTGAACCAGCAGCGGCCGCTCAGCGATGACGTCGCTGCACAGCGAGCACGTGTCAGGGATCTGCTCGCTCAAGCGAAGAAGGTACTTATTGTTATGACGATAAAGTTCATAATCGAAAAAGTAATTAAGTGCTATACGAAATGTATTTGTTTTAATTTATAATAAGAAAGTTACTTTTTTATACTTCAGATTAATGTCAGATTAAGAATTATAATATTGCTAGGTGGATTAATCAGTATTTTCAAGTCACAAATGTCACACCACACAATCAGAGGCAATAAAAGTTCATTTTTTGGTACTGTCCCGGTGGGGGAACTAAATTCTTAGAGATTCTTGAGGAGGACCTCAATTTTGTCCCTCAGTCTTGAGGATCGTGGCTTCGACGGAAGCGTTGCGGCAGTTTTCTCCATTTTTCTGCGGTCTTCTGCTTGATGGAGAGCTTGGGGTATCGGCATTTTTAGACACCTGATCAGACCATCGTCTAACGACTACGTCTTGGTCATTTGCCATCTATGGCCATGGCGATAACCTGTATTTAAGTCCCAATGTAACATTTGACACAGGTACTCCGTGAATGCCAATCGTCGGAGGAGACAGCGGTGATCCGCGACAGAAGCGAGGAGCTGAAGGAGCTGATGGAAGAAGTGGGTCAGCTCAGTGCCCAACGTCTCGCAGCATTAGAACAAGCGCTACCGCTCGCCGAACACTTCGCTGATACACACCACGGGTATGTTATATGTACTAGCTTTCCGCCAGCGGCTTCGCCCGCATGATCCCTAGGGAACTGTTTAGTGGGATGAAAAGTAGCTTTCATATTAATTAACACTTAGAATTATCCGTGTACCAAATTTTGTCCAAATTCGTTCAGTAGTTTTTGCATAAAAGAGATATAAACATACATACATTCTCACATACATTCGCATTTTTAATATTAGTAAGATAATATTTTTGTTGCGCTACCTCTGATTTATTTGACATCCTTACTGATCAACTGGCAGAGAATGCCCTACGACACTAAGTCCGTTATATATTGAACTGCAATAAAGAAATATTTTACCATACACGAACACGCACACGTATGCACGCACGCATAAGAACATACACGCACTCGTGCACGCGTGGGCGTGATACTTGCGCGTGAATACTCAATCACTTGATACATTAATTTAAAAGTGTATACGCGACCGTAAACGAATATATTGTACTATTTACTTTATTCTATACTTTTTAATAACTCGCAGCTTGTCTTCCTGGATGGACGACATGGAGAGACAGATCCAGATGCTGGCCATGCCAGCTTTACGCCCCGAGCAGATCGTCCAACAGCAAGACAAAAACGAGGTGGGTGGGAGGTTTATTACAACAAATTTTATAATGGTTTTTGACATTTAATTTTTTTTTTGTATTAATATTGAAATTAAACCAATTCTAATGGTTTTATACGAAACTAGCTTTCCGCCAGCGGCTTCACCTGCGTGGTGCCTAAGGCACTGTTTATTTGTATTTGATTCATTAGTAAACAATAGTTACTATGATGTTTTATTTTCTCATACAAACTTCCCCTCCCATTTTAATCCCTTTATTTGCAGTTTTTCGGGATAAAATAAAGCCTATATTCACCGCATATGATGTAACTTCCTGTATAATTTTTAAAATCGGTCCAAATGTTTCGGAACCTATTTGTTGTAACAAAAAATCAAATCTTTCCTCTTTATAATATTAGTATAGATATTTTTTTTTATTCTATTTAGTTTCTTAAACGTGTACTGTTTCCAGATGCTGCAACAGTCGATCGCTAACCACAAGCCTCTAGTGGACAAGCTGGTCAAGACTGGCGAAGCCCTAGCGCGCCTCTGCGGCGATGACGACGCCGCTAAAGTATTGGACACCGTCGAGGGAGACTGCGAGAGATATAATGCTCTACGAGCTGAACTCAGGCAGAGACAACAAGAACTCGAACAGGTACGAAATAGATAATCATCGTCATCAGCCTGTTAACATTACCACTACAGGCCATAAAGTGAAGATGATGCCATTAAAGTGTTGTACACCGTCGAGGGAAACATACACACGCGTGATGAATTAGTGATGAAATGCTGTGGATATACAACCGGCGTCAATAGTTGTGTGCCTTCCGAAACACGGAGGAGTTCGAGTAAATAAATTTTTGGTTACCATTCCCTTGAGAAAGTAGCTTAACTTCCGCATGACAGAACGAATACGCTAACCAATGCCCCAAAGAGCTTCTCAATTAGTAAATATTCTTGATTTTATTATAGCCTTCATACTTGCTGTCTAATAAATGAAATTTGCAAGATTAATAATATATATAATTATCTACTGAGATTTATTTCAAAGGTTCCATTAGGCAATAAAAATTCTCTGTGTTCGTTTCCTTTTAGAAAACATGTGCCCCAGAAGTTTGTCATTTATTTAATAGTACATGTTCGTGACTATGTCGTGTAAATTATAGCCTATGTCAACTGCGTACCATGTAGTTTCCCGTAGATGAAAGATTTTTTTCCAGTAATTTCTAAAGCCTACTCGATGCAAACTAATAATCATATCTTACCCGTTTATAATATTAGTATAGAATATGATTATTTTTTCTTGATTACCAGGCGTTACAAGAGTCTTCGCTGTTCTCTGACAAGTTGGAGGGCATGTTGCGTGCGCTAGGTGGCGCTAGAGATCAGCTCGCACGGGCCGAACCAGTATCTGCACATCCGCCCAAGATACAGTACGTATACATATATATTTATAGTTCAGATATTCGTCGGCATTATTTATGATATAGAAAAGGAGGTAGTCATATTCTTTAGTCACAAATAAGTTTTGATATTGGTAATGTTTATTTGGAGTTTAAATGTTTAACAAACGAAAATAATTACGTTATTTTTCTGGTAGTATTTAATATTTATTACCGATATCATACTACCATGCTTATTTTATTTATGTTATTTAAATAAATAATTAAAATCATTTATTTTATACTCGTTGTCACGTGACTGCAAACAGCGCGTGACGTCTTAATCTTCTAAGAAAGATGTCATAAATTTTACTTTGACATCGATATACATAGAACTGTGCATAGAACGAACGTTTGTTGTTGTTCTTATTTATGTTAGTTTCAGAGGGCTGTGACGTCACATCGACGCCATGACAGAGGTTAGCGTTTTAGCGGGAAATTTTGAAAGTGCAAATTATTTTTAGATTTTAAATTAATATATGAAAGATATTTTTCATAGATTTTTTTTTCAAATATTTTTTAAATATATCAATAAAATTTAAAAAAAATCGTCTACACCCGAATTGATAAAATCAAAACAATCAATCGTTCGGTAACGGCTGAAACAACTAAGAAATAATTCCATTATCTTTATTTGTTAATCATCAAAATTTTTCCGAAGCGAAGGATGAATGTATAGATTTTTGCCTCGAGTAATCCCGAATTTATTAAAATTTTCCCAGATATTTTACTCTACCCATCTGGCAACCCTAAGTAGGATGGTACTTAACAAAAACTTATTATTTTCATTAAATAGTACGACACATATAAACCGTTCTGTCAACGAACATGTTTTTGGAAATTGGTATTTCACGAATAATATTAGACGATTTTCAACCCTTAAAAACATTAGAGATCATATTTGCATCTACACAGTATATTTTATAATTTTCGTCTTTAACGCTACGGAATAGGATTCCATAGAATAGCATAGCAGGAATTGAACACCGGGGAATAGATATTTGAAGTATTGCATAAAAATTTAAGAACTAATTTAGGTTCTATTAACTTATAAATAAGGTTTTCAATAGACTACTGGCGTATAGTTTGATGAACCCAATAGACAGTGTATTTCCGTACTTGATACGTTCATACTACGGTCATGTTATAGCTGCGTATAATGGAAGAAGTCCTTTACTTGATCTGAATCTGAACAACACTTATTGTTTCTTCAAATATACAACTATATTAGATAGAGGTCAAATAGCACTAATCTCACTGATGATTTACGTGAGGGACGGCCTTCTACGGCGACGACTGAAGATAACATCTGTGTTGTGCGGCGTATGATAGAGACTGACAAAAGAGTGACCTATCAACAGATTCGGACAAGCTTAGGCATCGGTATGAGTCAAGTGCACAAAATCCTCCACGAACATCTAGCGGTCAGGAAGCTTTGCGCCCGGTGGATACCTCATAATTTGCCTGAGGCTCAAAAACTCCATCGTGTGGATTGGTGTCGTAAAATGATTGAAAGATTTAACGGAGGTGACTCAAATGCTGTGTTCGACATACTAACAGGTGACGAAAGCTGGATTTACTGTTATGATCCTAAAACCAAAAGACAATCTGCTCAGTGGGTGTTTCCTTTCGAGGAGTTGCCAACTAAAGTGAAGAGAGATCGAAGTGCGGGAAAAAAAATGGTGGCCTCGTTCTTTGGAAGGATAGGTCATTTTGCAACAATTGTGTTAGAGGATCAAAAAACAGTTTCTGCAGAATGGTACACTACCAATTGTTTGCCACTTGTCTTGGAAAAAGTTCGAGAGAAACGACCTCGCAGTAGGATCCTCCTTCACCACGACAACGCCTCGTCGCACACCGCCAAGCGAACGATCGACTATTTGGCGACATCAAACGTTGAATTACTGGGTCACCCGCCGTATAGCCCCGACCTCGCGCCTTGTGATTTTTATTTATTTCCAAAAATTAAAGAAAAACTTAAAGGAAAGCGGTTTATGAATGCTGAAGAAGCGGTGGCTGCGTATCGCGATGCCATTGAAGAGACCCCTAAGGACGAGTGGGCAAAGTGCTTTTCCCAGTGGTTCCATCGCATGCAGCCGTGTATTGACGTGAATGGACAATATTTTGAAAAGATATAATAAAACTAATAACTGGCTAATGTAATCAGTTTTTGATTTTCTAAGAACTTTCAACATATTTTAAATTGCTTTGTTTCTATACAGAGATCAAATAGAAGAGAACAACTCGCTCGCAGAAGATCTGGACAAACGTCAAGAAGCTTACAACGCGGTACAGAGGGCCGCGTCTGACGTCATCAGCAAAGCGGACCGCAGCGATCCCGCCGTCAGAGATATACGCAACAAATTAGACAAACTCAACAAGTACGTTTTTTTTATAACTATTTCAATGTCGATGTTATGTAATAGGTACATTATTGGCATCAACAATTCCAAAATAGACGAGTTTTTCAAGCACGAAATGCATCAAATTTGGCGTAAAAAAAAGTAAAAAAAACTTTCGAATACGGGCGGCTATTAAACATAATTACGAAATGGAATTATGATAAGCTAACCCTCGCTTGTATTTGTTAACCGCCTTTCTTTTTATCAAATTTTCATCCATCATACTTGTAGAAGAAACAATAGTCAGAGGAATCTCTCAGCTGAATAATGTTTTTCCTCTATCAGACTATGGGACGAGGTGCAGAAAGCGACAAACGATCGCGGCTCATCTCTAGACAGCGCGTTAGAAGTGGCCCGTCGGTTCTGGCAACAGCTAGAAGCCGTCATGAACACCCTGAGCGAGTTACAGGACACGTTGGCCGCTCAACCACCTCCGGCTGCTCAACCTAGAGCCATCCAGGCTCAACAGGTGGCGCTGCAGGAGATAAGGCACGAGATAGACCATACCAAGCCAGAGGTGAGATCACAATTATACTGAGTCAATTAGAATAGGTAACTTCACGGCTTATCTGTTATTTTAGTACTGACAGCAAAGAAAATATTTATTTGGATTATTGGAATTATTATTATCTATATTGAAATGAGTTTGTCAAGAATTAATAAAACATATTTTCTAAATTATTCTCTTAGTCTTTACTTTATTACTAAATATAGAGTTGACGATTTTTTACCCTAAATGCGTCGCTATTTTATGACTTTGAGATTAATTACAAATACTTCAGCACTTTTACAAATCTGTCCATTAACTCATTATTAAGTAAATATTTGTTATTCAATTATAACTTTAACTTATTACTATGAAAATAGATTTCATTAATTCTCATACTTACGAAACAATCGAAACTTGAATTTAGATTTATTTCAACTCAAAATATGTATATAATTATAGGTTGAGAAAGTCCGTAAGACCGGTTCTACTTTGATGTCGTTATGCGGCGAGCCGGACAAACCCGAAGTTAAGAAACATATGGAGGATCTGGACCAAGCGTGGGACACGGTCACCGCATTGTACGCACGCCGCGAAGAAAACCTCATAGACGCCATGGAGAAAGCTATGGAGTTCCATGACACGTTACAGGTAATATTTCGAATGAAATCTTCTGTAATAATACTATGTTTAACTTCATCTATTTTTCGCTTAACATTTCATAAACAGATTTTTTTTTTTACGAAGAGGTAATTAAAAACAATGCTTCGTATCTCTACCTGCAAATGAATGGCAGGTGATAATCAAATTCTGCCAGTTGGGTGTATACTGGCATGCAGTGGTTCATATGTTTTCATATAAACAATTCTGAAATTGATTTCTTTGTTTTTGAGGATTAATATGCGTTAAGCATTATACGTTAAGAATGTGGGCAAGTGAAAAAATATGTAATCAGTTCTATGTCTCTGGATTTCAACCTTTTTTGCCAGATTCATAGTCTACGTCAGTATTGCCACAATTGAAGTGAAACTGCTGAACTCATTTGAATTTGAGTTGAAAAAGCAAGATAGGAATTTGAAAACACGCCGAAGTTCAAAAAAATAACCTCATATAACCAATAAGAACAGTTTTACATTCAACATAATACGGATGTTGCATTTCATTTGCTTTTTCTTAAAATCATTTTTGTTTTTGTTAAAAGAATCTCCAAGAGTTCTTGGACTCTGCTGAAGATAAGTTCTCCCGTATGGGCGCCCTGGGTTCTGATATCGACGCGGTAAAGAGGCAAATAGCCCAACTAGCCTCATTCAAGCAAGAAGTAGACCCTCACATGGTTAAGGTCGAAGCTCTGAACAGGTAAGAAATCTTATATACATCGGTATAAAGATAATTTTAAAGTTACTTTTTAGTTTTATAAGGTGCTGTGGTTTAAAAAGGGGTGCAAGTTTTTTTTTTTCGGGATATGAATATAATTTTAATGATCTAATGGTTGTTGAAGTGATTGCTGGTTTTTTTTTTTTTTTGTTATATTGAAATAGACTTTAATGGGATGATTTTAAAGCCCTTTTCTGGTGATGGTCTTACCCCTATTTGTAGTGTAATTAATAGAACCACTACTAAACGTTTATATTTTTTAACTGGGTTATTTAACTAGTACCTTTTTTGTGATAAACGAAATTAAGTTAAATTTAAGAGATTAATATTGTAAATAACTTAAATAGAAAACGTATATATTATCTTTTTTCATTATAGAGATTTTAAAAAACTTAAACCGATTGCCATTTTCTATATTTTCTGTATTATTCTAAAATATTAAACTTGATTTCTACATCGATTGAGTGCATTATTATTTTGCATAACCGATATCAAGTTTTTTTACTGTGAAATTAAAATATTTGTGTATCGCACTCATAGACAGAGCAGTGAAGCTAGGCTGCCAGCTGTGTATTGGTTGGAAAGAGAAAGAACAACGCAGTATCATGCACATCTTCTCTTGCTTTTAGTATCGCGTATGCGTAGTTGACACGAAAAAAAATGAAAGCGGAATGATTTGACAGATTCTTTATGCATAGCAGTTCGTTACTGTACGTCAGCAAATAGAGACATTGGATATCTTCTCTCTCTTTTTAACCCAAGGACATTTCTGGTAGTCATATGTCTTGCCAGCTTTATCTATAATACCTATATGTACGAGTATTACCTTAAGAAAAAGATCGGAAAATGTTGGTTTTTATATGGCAATCTGTTTTCATTGTTACCTCCACTTTGTACTAATTGTTTGTTTTTCTATGTCCCCCCTTCCCTTGGACCTTCGCTCAGGAGTCTAGTCAGGCAAGACTATCTGCATTACTATAGTGTGCTGCTTAATGTGAAACCTCTGGCCTTGTCCGTTATATTTGTACAACAGCAGCACATTAGCTTACACAAAATATCACCGAAATCTATTTTAAACTCTACTGGCAACGCATTAACGTTGAAAATGACACATTTGTATAATATGATGGCTGTTGATTGTACAATATGCTTTGTATATCCGCCGTTTATTCAAACGTCACTTATTTTTATTTCAAATAGAATTGAGTGATCAAGTTTTTAGATATTGGGTTAAATTATTTTATATATTCGATTCATGTAGTGGTGAAGTAAAGCAAGAGGGTAAATAGCAGCCCTTTTCCGGTTCTTTTTAATACATTATAGTTTATATTTTTTCATTTAAAAATAAGCCAAATTTGAATACGCGATCGTAGTTTACTTAATTTTTTTTTTGTGTGTGTGTGTGAAGATGAATTAGCATGATTTTCTGTTAATTTCCTTTCTGTTATCCCTTACTATCCTATATGTTTATTTATTTAATAATTTAAACAAATAAATCCCCGGATTTAGAATTAACCTACCCTTGTTGCACTTTGCTTGAGTTTTGTCCCGTTTGATTTGTGTAGTAAGATGTGTAGTAAGGTTCGTGTATGTTATATAACATTTAACGATAAATGTATCTTGTTAACCGACTTTTTCAAAAGGTTTCTTTTATTATTCCTTTTTACAAAAAAAAAAAAAATATTTCGAGTTGATCTCAACATATCATCTATTCAGTCTATCAACATATAAGACCTCAGTGCTATTAATAAATAAGGTTTAGCGTAAGAGTAAATTCATGCTAAAATTGCAGTTTTAGTATTAGTCCAAATTCATATTATACAGAGAACAAGTTACCATTACCTTTTAGGAGTAAATATTATTCTTGTAAAACCTCGTACCAGGTTAATCTTTGCTAAGTCTCTGTTTAATACTATGAATTTTCACTAATACACAGTGCAGTCTCAGCTTAAATTTACTCCAACACTAAACCTTGTTCATTGAATAACACTGTCTCTGTTTTTAAGATACATATATCGCTTAAATCCGTTTTACAAGCCTAAATCAATATATACATCAACAGGCAAGCGCAAGAACTAACGGAGCGCACGTCTTCCGAACAAGCGTCGGCAATAAAACAACCGTTGACCGAAGTGAACGCGCGCTGGTCCGCGCTGCTACGAGGAATGGTTGAGAGGCAACAACAACTAGAGAGGGCGCTGCTGAGACTAGGACAGTTACAGCACGCGCTGCAAGAACTGCTCTCGTGGATACAACATACCACAGACACTCTTGATACCCTCAAACCGGTAAACTACTTCTTTGTATATCTAGACAGACAGGATATTTCTATTCATAATAGAAAAATTATACTTTTTGGTCCTTCGAGACAGATGCAATAATGAAAATTAAGTGGCTATCTGTAATTTATATGATAAAGTTATAAAATGATCCATAGTCTTAAATAGCTTCAGATCTTATCTTCTTATCTATGTTTAACCTACTGAAATATTTCTTTCTAGCTTTTAAGACTTCTCATCGTATAGTCTTTAGTCCGCTTGTACACAAAGTTCTTTAAATAATAGTCCGTTTGCACATAAAGTAAATCTAGTAACAGTGAGGATCAAATGCAAGTGGTAATCCTTTAAAAGTGGTGGACTACCCTCTTTTTCTTTGATTGTACATAAAATTTTTCAATCCATCTTGGTAGGAAATTAATTAGTCCAATAGTAGATATTTTTTTTTCATATCTCCTATGGCTAGTAAGCCATTTATTAAGTTGGTGATGTGAAATATGATGTAATTATAAAAATATAATCCCCTAGGTGGCAGGAGATCCTCAGATCCTAGAGGTAGAGTTGGCCAAGCTAAAGGTATTGGTGAACGATATAGCCGCTCATCAGGCAAGCGTGGACACCCTCAACGATGCTGGCGCTCAGATACAGAGACACGGTCAGTATATACAAACAATATAAGCTTCTTATCTGTTTCAGGAAAATTATTTTAAAAATTCGATATGATCATATAAACTTGCTGTTTGATTTATTTTCTCCAAAAAGTGTTGTTTAGTAAAGGAAAACCAAATTTTTATTCATTAATTTAAATTGTCCCCTAATATCAATCAGTCACCTTACATTTTGAGCTATGACCTCACATGTCAATAAACATGAGTGCTGATTGCACTCGCAACGAAGACGCTTAGTTTATTGAAAAATGTATATATTGTTGTAATCCACACATTATTAATCGTAAGTTGATTTTTAAAAAATTAAATGTACTTACTATTTATTTTAAAACAAAAAATTAAGTCTAAATATTCTTTATTCTTCTTCTTAGCTTCAAATCACATATACGATAGACCCTTGCCACCAATACAATTACATAGTACTTAAATAATTTTGGATATATAAACATTGATTAGGTTCCGAAGAAGCGGGAGAAACGGCAGAGAAGCTGGCAACACTGAACAGAAAGTGGAGAGAGTTGCAACAGAAGGCTCGCGATCGCCAATCGGAACTTGAGGATGCACTCAGAGAGGCACAGAGGTAATAATTATATTGACTATTTTAATATTATTTAATAGAATATGATTACTACAGAAATTGTATGCACGAAAAGAAAATTGGTGAAATTTCGTTAAAATCACATTTTTCATTTTTCAGGTCCATTTTTCAGTCGTATAACCATTTCGAAGATAAACAAAATTCCGTAAAGAGAAATAGAATAGGTTTTAAGATGTTATGTTAATTCTTACGAGTAGTACGTAGTATATTTCTATGACCGACTTAAAGCCTCTACTCTTGCGATATCCGAAGTCGAATTCATCAATTCCCATAGTCCAGTAGTGAGGATGTTGAGGATGATAATGATGCAGTTGATATCAAATCTATATGTTATTGTTTTAGCTTCAACGCGGAAATAGGTGATCTGCTGTCTTGGTTGTCTGAAGTGGACGGTGTTATCGCCGCTTCAAAACCGGTCGGTGGTCTACCGGAAACCGCGTCCGAACAATTGGAACGATTTATGGTACGAATATATGTATATATATATAAATATGAATCCCTATTTCTTTGGTCACGCCATCATATGTGGACCTATCATTTTTTTATTTTTTGTTATTTTCAGAAAGTTCTTATGGAAGAAAAAAATTAGAAAATTGTGTGAAAAAATATTTAACCATCATTTAAAACTATTTGTAATCTAATCTTAACGCGTTTGACATAAAATTGAGAGGATTCAATATTAATCATCAATTTTATAGTTTAATATAAATCTGTCATACTGCAACATGCATTGTTTCGTTTAGAAATATTGTACGTACATATTTGATATTTTGTCGTCTGAACATGAAACAAACTTGTAAAGACTGAATTGAAGTACTTGAGTTTCAATTCTTAAAATGAATTAAGCTTATATATTTGCATTGTATTTTACACCTTATGGTTATTGAAACAACAAACTTTAATCAGACGTTGAAAAAATAAGAATTGGTACGAGTCATTTGCACAAACTAATGTTCACGACGTGCCATATAGATCTTTGAACTTATTAGAATTTATTGTAATACAGGAAATCTACAATGAAATCGAAGCGAACCGTCCCAAAGTGGAGGCAGTGTTGCAACAAGGTCAGGAATACCTCCGTCGCCAGGAGAAACCGAATCCCACCTCACAACTGTCGCTCAATCTCAAGAATCTCAAGTCCCGTTGGGACAACGTCACTGCAAGGTAATTTTTATCATTAGGCCCTTGTTGAGTAATGAACATTTTTATAGTAAACAAAAATAGACTTAGATAATTGGCATTACAGTTGCTCACTACATCATAACTATGTAGAAAATCTTCTGAAATAAAGTCCCATTTCAACTCAATGTATAGTCATAAATTAATTAATTAGACTTACTGATTGACAAAATAAAATGTCAGCTATTGTATTAATTGGCCACAATAAATTATATAAAATGTAATTTATTGTGGCCTAAAACGCATAATTATCGCAAATGATAGTTTTCCTAACTCAAAAAATCTATCATGTTTTTTTTATTAATTGTTATTGGCCTTTAACGATATTATTTGAATAAAAATACTTTAATTTTTTTTTTAAACAGAGCGTCAGACAAAAAGATAAAACTGGAGATAGCCCTCAAGGAAGCAACAGAGTTCCACGACGCTCTCCAAGCATTCGTAGACTGGCTCACGGGTGCTGAGAAAACTCTCGCCTCTGCTAAACCTGTGTCCAGAGTCATGGACACCCTACTCAGTAAGTACTGAAAATAGTCAACAACCAACCAGGTTACACGAAGCCTTCATTCGTTGCCAATCAGTAAAATTTGATATAGGTATGGTAACCTGATATTCTTCTGGGTTTATCATCTGTGTATATGAACTTAGTCATATATTTTGTGTGCACTTAGTAATGTTAGGTGATCATTTATTACTATGTTGTAGTGATAAAAACTTTTTCTTGTTCAAATGATTCCAATATTTTTTTTAATAATCCACCACCCGGCGGTATTTCTACGGAATTTCATCTATCAATGTCAATATGACAGTAAGAGCTCACTGACAGATAGTGATACTCTTAATTAAATCGATAAACAGAGATGTGCATGGTATTCGATATTTTTTGTATAACAGTAGGAATCGATATGATGTCGATGTGTGCTTTTATACCCTTCCGTTAATAGACTACTAACAGTACCACCTTACCTCTTAGCTCAAATCGAAGAACACAAAGCATTCCAAAAGGAAATCGGCACCCACCGCGAGACGATGCTTCTATTGGACAAGAAGGGAACACACCTCAAATACTTCAGCCAGAAGCAAGACGTTATATTGATTAAGAACTTGCTGGTTTCCGTACAACATAGATGGGAGAGAGTAGTGTCGAAGGCCGCCGAAAGGACCAGAGCTTTAGACCATGGCTTTAAGGAGGCCAAGGAATTCAGTGATATGTGGTAAGTTGATAAATATGAAAATCGTTTTATGTTAAGCTAGACTACAGATTAGAAACTGTCAATCAGCATTTGCGGAAGTTCTGCTCCTAACGGATTTTTTTATGGAAGAAAATAATGTAAGCCACTTGGTCGCAGGCAGAGAAGTAGTATGTATTATCATTATAACTTTATCTTAATGACATTTCAACTTCCATTTACTAGGCACAGTATTATTTGCATAATAGAATCGTGGCTAATCATAGATATATTTGTAACTTGATAAAACCGAGTTAAAAAGAAATCTTATTGAATTGCTATTAGAGGTTATATTTGCTTATACGTTATCAAAATGCAAGTCCAGGGGCCGCGCCGTTGAAGACTAAAGACTTATGACTTATAGAGTTTCGGAAATATTTACGGTCTTCTTGGAAGCTCATTCCGCTTAACATAAACGGAAATAATATGAAAAAGCAGTTAATATCTATTTTGTATTAACCAATAGGAACAACTTGATGAACTGGCTGAACGATACGGAACAACAGTTGGACGAACTCAACAAAGAGACAACAGTAAACGATCCAGAGAAGATCAAACAGAGGTCAGTGTTTACAGATTGTATTTTTAAATCATTTATTCACTCACTCATTCATTCTTTCGTTTATTATTTTATTGTATGAAATAGAGGTTTTCCAAATTTTTATTATTGCCGAAATGAATATATGCCGAAAATTTTACGAATGCCGTTATAAATTTACAATATCTACAATTTAAAGTTATCAATAATATTTCTAGTTTGAAAATCTTACTTTATGAAGCACTTGCTGAACTATGGGGAATTAAAACAATATATAAAAAAATAAAAATGTTAGTTATCAGAACGAGTATTGGCATAAATATATGCTTCGTGTCTGAAGTATGAAATTGTTGATGTAGTAATATATTTTTTAATATCATCGAATTTGTTTCATGCTCTTAAAATTCATGTAGCCAAACTCAAAAATGCTTTGATAACCCATTTTATAGATTTCATTATATCGCAACTCAATATTTCTTAGGTTGCACAAACATCGAGACTTCCAGAAGGCTCTAGGCGCGAAACAGTCAATATACGATCAGACCATGAAGACAGGTAAACAGCTGAAGGACAAGGCCCCCAAGACCGACGAGACCCCCCTCAAGAATATGCTCAACGATCTCAAGACTAAATGGACTACGGTCTGTTCGAAGGCTGTTGATAGGTGAGTGCTAAATATTTGTTAGAAAATTATAGACTACTTTATTTAAGTTAAATGAGACATTGATTTATTTTTTGTTGCGCCATTTATCCTAAATATTGCGAATAAATTAAATTATCTTTCAAAAACAATGTATTAATTTATACTGATTCAAAATCTTGACCAGATAAGTTTAGAAAAATACTTTTTTGATGCGGGAATATTGCTCAAGAGCGATAAAGACATCCCCACGATTGATTTTGTTGTCAATTGAAAGAACAAATAATGTTTCAATAATTTACTATGACTGAACGTTTAAAATCTCGATTAGACAGAGATAGGCATGTACTAGATTGGGATGTCAAGTCAAATGTAGGTACATTACTATAACCACAAAACACTTGCTAAATATTAATATTTTACTCCAACTCCCGCATATTTTTTAGATGATTCTTTCCTTAACATAATGCAGAGATAATGCTTTATTGTTTATTTGTTTCCAGTAAAGCGCACGTTTACGCAAAAATGGCCCAACTCACATAGCAATTTGATCATTCTCATTTGTACTCGATACTAGTGTTTTTATATAATTAATATTTTGATTCATAGACAACGCAAGTTAGAAGAAGCATTACTCTATTCCGGTCAGTTCAAAGACGCCATGTCCGCTTTACTCGACTGGCTTAAGAAACAGCAAGTCGCCCTATCCACCGATTTACCCGTCCATGGAGATCTAGACACTGTTATGGCGCTCATTGAACAACACAAGGTAAACTACACTCTATTACCCACGACTTAAGGTCTGCATTAAATAATCGCCATAACAATTTGTAGTTAATAGAAAAACTAATTTAGATCTCACTTCACAGACCAAATTAGGCTTTTGCGTACCTTTTCTTTAATAATTAATTGAATATTTTTACTACAGGTTACGCAATTTTTTTTATGTAGATACTCTTATTGGAAACGTGTTTGAATTCATAGGGCTTTGCTGATATTTTACTTTAAATGCAAATGATTTGCATTTAAACTAAAATATCAGAATGAAGATAAAGAATCTATAAGAGTCTTCATTTATTTGCTTTTGTTAGCAAAAATTAAATGTTTACTATTGTGACTTACTTATTCAACCTGACAAGTTTTAAATGAAATAGGGTGTACACAACCATCTAAAAAAAATTTTTTAAAGTAACATTCATTTAATAAGTTTAAAATCTATAAATAAATTAAGCGTTTCAAAATTTTCCGCAAAAATGCCAACTTCTGTCATGGCGTCGCTATGACGTCACAGCCCTCTGAAACGAATATCGTTCTATGTACATTTTATGCATATGGTTTAATTCTCTAACTAAGTTCTGATATGAATATGAGGGCCGACGTCACGCGCTGTTTGCTGTCATGTGACAACGAGTACAAATTATTTGTTTTTACATGATTAATTTAAGCAATATTATAAATATAATAAGCATAAAAGTGTGATTATCGGAAATAGTATATTAAACGCTACTAGAAAAAAAAAAGTATATATTTTCGTTCACTGTCTACACCCATATTAAGTGTAGAGGATTAATGAGTTTTGCTTATTCGTTTTTATATTTTTTTAAATACAGCAATTCGAGGAGGATCTCCATTCTCGAGAACAGCAGATGCAGTCTGTTATGAAGACCGGCAAAGAATTGGAAGCTACGGTGTGTACTTTAGTTAATTTTATATTTCATTGCCCAGTTCGTTTATTGATTTATTATATAATAATAAGATAAGTTTGAGGCTGTCATTAAAAAGTGTACTGGAAGTGACATAGAAACTAAATTACATAGAAATATATGACATAGAAAATGTTATCAATTTTGCATTCAGAATGCTATACTGAAAATTATTTTCCAGCATTTTTCATTATTGAAATAGAAACGTTTTTTCAACACAATCACAACAACAACAAATATTATACAACTCCATAAAACTGAAAAGTGCTTATATAATAATAGGGATGACAACTGGGTAAAAAAAAATTAATTAGTCCGTCAGTCAGATAAAAGAAAATATTTTCTTACTTCAATTAAACAAGAAATAGCTTGGATAACAGGTATTAAAGTGGAGAAGTAGGGGCTTGCTACGTCACAGTTTTGTAGAAAATGCACAAAAGCAAGCTTCATGTAACATTTTAACTTAATGTATCGTCCTAATTTTATGATTACGAAAAAAATACGTGTTTAATATTTTTCAACAATCTACCTGACGGACAAACAAACAAAAATTTGTTGTCATCCCTATTGTAACAATGAAATGTGCAGTAATGTCAATTTATAGACTTTTTTGCCTAATATATGAAATAGAAATCAATCGACATTTCACGCCGAAGTTGGTGAACGTACGCCGAATACAGAACTCTTCCTTTTCGATTTAGAAGTCTGTTAGAAGTTGTCGAATTTCTATCTTTATCATTCTCCTCAGACACTTAAAAGTAATTCAAATATTTTTGTTAACTTCTTTACCGTTTAATTTAATACATAGTTATAATTACAATGAAAAATGAAATGTTTTATTTTGTGACATTCGTTCAATCACACTTATCAGTATGCACTGTCACGATAATATTAGTACTTAATCCCTTATTACGTTTACATACAAATTAAAAAAATAAACAACATTCAAGCATTTAATATCAGCTTATAAAGTGACAGTTAATAAATTCCACAGGAAATCAGACTTAAATGTATTAATAGTAAGGTCGTTTTTTAATCAGGTACCACGTGAAGACGCCGCTAATATTAGACAGCAGTGCAGCGATCTCAAACAACTATGGGAGAGTGTCCAGAGTCTGAGCGAGAAGAAAGCTCACAAACTAGAGGGCGCTCTCAAAGAGGTAACTATAAGATTTACACCATAGAATATTTAATAGCCATGCCCATAACACATAAAAGTAACCAATAATGTCAAATCTGCAATATGAAACCTTAATGTGTAATGGTTTAAGTTGAAAATTGTTTATTTACTTACGAAATTTCACTTGTGCAAACGTATTTTGTCATTTTACCCTCGTGACAATGTCAGTTCACGGGCGACGCCTGTATTCTTTTTACTAATTTAAATGACCGAACAACATGGCCCAAAGTGTTATAACAATTCCAAATTAAAGTTTTATTAAAAATGTTTTTATTTTCAATTGAAATTATGCCACCATCGTGCACTTTTATTTACTGAAATGTATATTACTGTAATTTAGTTATCAATATTTTAAAATCTTCGTATTCGATCCTCGTTCAGGTCAATATACAAAATTATATCGTTTATATTGTATCAAGTATTGTGGTACTTTCGTTGCGTCATACTTCAAAAATACAAGTGCTTTAGTCACTTAGTTTCAGATCTAAACTATTTAATCACCAACAACCTATTATCCCCACTGGTGGGGCATATTCTCTTTCAACGGAATGGAGAAAATAGAGATATTTATTTATTTTTATACAATACAGGCAGAGAAGTTACATCGTTCAGTGAATATGCTGCTCGAATGGTTGTCTGATGCGGAGACTCGTCTGAGGTTCTCCGGCCAATTGCCTGAAGCTGAACTGGAAGCTCAGCAACACCTCAGGGACCATGAGAAGTTCGTGCGGGAACTGAAGGAGAAACAGAAGGACAAGGTGACTATTTTGAAATTTAAAAGAGGTTAGGTTGACCATTGTCCACTAGTTTTTGAGATGTCAAATGTCGATTTTTTGTATCCAACCGTAGCCAGATGTTTAAATTGGGTAGTTATTATTATCATATTTGCTTTAAAAAGAGGTTAGGTTTACCATAATTTACTATTTTATGAGAACAAAAATCGACTGTGTACCAGTTAATGTGCAGTTTTTTTTTTAATTGGCATGCTCTTTACAACAATTAATGATAATACATTTGTTGTAAATATTAACTTATATGTAAACAATAACTATGTTGAGTTTTAGTTGAAAAATTCTTAAAAAAATACTTAAAAAATGTTACTTGTTGACTTCATTAGTGTCGATTAATATAAACTTAATAAAATTTGTTTTTGTTTTAGGATGAGACGATCACCCTCGCTCAGTCGATACTCGGTAAAGCCCACCCTGACGCCGTCACTGTGATCAAACACTGGATCACCATCATCCAGAGCCGGTGGGATGAGGTGAGTCGATTTTTCATTTTTAAGATTCCGCAGCCTAATTTCAATGTATATCCGTCCATATATCACAGTCACTTTATTTCGGTATTATGTAGGTATTCTGTGAACCGCTTATTGATTTTTACATAAAAATCTTCATACTAAAGGAAAGCTACGTATATGAAACTGAAACCATTTGACATTGAAGTTACTAAATAATTTTTTCTCAAAGTTAATTTTTTGAAAGATAGACACTTCCAAATTGATAAACTCGTGTCCTTCCCTTACTTGTTAAATAAGAGAGTAAAAAATGTAAAAAAGAAATTGTCGTAGATAAATAAACACATAATGGAAATTGTTTTAAACTGTTTTTGCATTACCGCTAAAAAATACGGCACATAATAAACAGACACGCCTTTGTGACTCGGAGGCTAGTTATACCTGTCTAAATGGAGTATACTCAAAAGGAAAATAACTTTATAAGAGCAATTGTAAATAAATGTTCCAACATATTAAAAGTTTTTTTTTATCATTTTAGTTAACTATAATTCGTTCTTTGTTACCTGTAAAATTTGTTGCTTAAGGCTCAAGCAACAAATTTTTCAAATTTTTTTTTTTAAGGAAGATAAGTAAATTGCAGTTTATTTACAATTCATGACATTTTGCTATTTTTCAAAAACTTGCATAACATGTAAAGCATTGATAATAGAAATCTTATCTTGAGGATTACTTATGATAATGTAGATTGCTTATTTAATTTTATACATTATATGCGCGTGATTTGATTAATATGAACGGATTCATTGAGAATTATTAAAAATGAGTACTCCACAAAAACCAAGGAAATTAGTTGTCTCCATGGTAACTGGTGGCATAAGGGTTTTCAGTAAAGTATCGCCTGGACAGGTATGTTTATATTTTTGTTTTGTTAGGCATATACTGCATTTAACGGAATAAGTGTTAGCTAATACTTTATGGTTACAAGAATAGTTCTAAATTAATGTTGGATACTTTCAGTACATTATTTTTCTTACAGTCATAATAAAACTCGAATTTGTAGTAGGTTATGAAATATTGTAAAGAAATACAGGTGTTAATGCTTCACGGCATTCAAATTGATATTTGAATAAAGTTGTTTTCGTTGATATTATCACTATTTAGGTATCAAAATCAGTTTAAACTAATATAATTTAGGTAAATGACATTGAAACATAGTTTGAGTAGGAGTCAAATCTAATCGAATTACATAATGTTAGAATTTACAACATTGTTTCAACAAACGAAAGTTGTTAGCAATAAAACATTTAATCAAAACTGTTCCTTCGTCTTAGGTATGGCAATGGGCGATGCAGCGGGGTGCCAAACTCGAAACTCACATGCAGAGCTTACGGGACCTGGACTTAGTGCTGGAAGAACTGCTGCAATGGCTGCTAGGACTAGAGAACACCTTGTTATGTGAGTTAATCATTTACGAACTTTTGCCAAACACGATTTATTGGTATAGAAATCGACAATTAATGCTACCAGTAGTAGTCGATGTTTTTCCCTTAACAGTACCTAAAGAGTTTCTTTTGTAATGAGTAAAATTACACTCTTAACGATGTACCCTCATTAGTTCTATATTCTATTGTAATTTTTGTATGGGCGTCGTTCTAATATTTTTCCTAAGATACCAAGTTTCATTGATCTGGCGCTGAAAATATAATAAATATAATACAATGTTTTACAAACAGCATTGGAATCCGAGCCTCTGCCCGAATCTATTGAGTTACTAGAAGGCTTAATCGAAGACCACAAAGAGCTGATGGAGCACACTCAGAAGCGACAGAACGAAGTCGACCGCGTCTGCAAAGCTTACCAGGTATTGTTGGATTTATTTTTAACCAACTGTTTTCCCCCGACTTCGGCCGCGTAAATTAAGGCTATATCATCCGTATATGATGTAGCTTCCCATTGGTGAAAGACTTTTCATGATCGGATCAGTATCTCCGAAGATGAGCCCTACAAACAAACAAAGTTAGAAACTTTATCTCTTTATAATATTAGTAATGATTTGACATGTTGAATTTATGAAAGCAATTTCAAAGGGCATTTGTTTTGCATTGTGTTGCGGTTCAGATGACGTATTCTAAGATGGCGGTGTCGTCGTATTACGATTGTCTTTTGCAAAAAATCGATTATATTCTTTTATAATGCACAGATGAGTAAATATTTTTTGGCAGATGTCGTCACACAAATATTTATTAAATACCGACCATAATCGAATGTACGATTAACAAAGAGTCTTTTTTTATTAAAAAGCCTATAAATTCACTCATAACTCTGCGCCAACGAAAATTCACCATGCAATATATCACTTGGAACTTCTATATGACTCTAACGAGTAATAAACATCAAAAAGAGTCTCCATATTCGGATCTATATCCAGATCATAAAAGAATGACGTACAGTCAACAGCACATCTGATTATACAAATCTGTCAAACTTAGCTTGATTTTAAACCATAATCATTGAGAGTAGAGTTTTAAAACAATTGAGAGAATGTTACTTATTATTGTAACCTGATGTTCTGTTGTTTGTACGTTCAACTGCGCGTCAGACTATACCAAACTGTCAATAAATTTCCCCACTCGATTATAATAAAGCAAGAGGTCAAAAGCCATTGCAGTTTGATATATTGTGGTAACCTGACGTGCTGTTGTTTGTATGCACAGTTCCTCATAATAATAATTTAGATCTCTTACTTGTAGACTTACACTATAGATACTGTTATGTTTAGGTCAAGAGTCAAAGCCAAGGCAGGGATTCGACACCTCGCAAAGTATCAGCAAAGACTGCCACCAAAGGAACACCTGGGTACGTCCTAAATCATAGATAATAAAAACCTATATAACCGTTTTTGTTTGACCTTTACTTGATATGTTTGTTTATGTTTTGTCTCATCCCATTTCTGTCCTAACGATGTACAATTATCAACAGCATTTATATAGAATAGATGTGTACCTTTCGATAGATGGCGCTAGTATTTAACGAGCGAGCTTAATTTTTTTTAGCTAATTATTTTCAATATCAAATTCAAATAAAAGGTAGGATTTTCGAAGACGCCTCCATAACGTGACGTTATTTATAGATACTAGCGTCAAATCTTGATTTTCAAAATCAATCGAACGTTTTTATTAAGATTAAAATACAATTGAGCAGCAGTATAAGCAGTATAATCATTCCATTCAAATAACAATAAAAAAATATTAATAAATTCTGTTGTTGGTTGTACATGTTTTATGTTTTCTTTACTCATGTTTCGTTTTATCCCCCTCCCCACCCGTGTCGCACGCCCGCCATCTTGTGACGTCATTGCATGGTGTTTCTACGTCACAGTCGCGGCTCACAGCACGACCTGAATAGGGAGAGATCTGTTTCACCCGATTATTATGGATCCAGACGCTACAGGTTCGTTTTAGGACTGATTTTTTGGGATTTTCCTCCATTTATATATCATAATTGGAAGGGTTTGTTTGATGAACATATTTGACTAAAATATACTTTGTCGTACAAATTTGCAATTATTTAATTTTTAATTCAAACGTATTAATATTTATATTGAATAGACCCTTCTATATTTAAAGATATGTGTCCGTTATTTTGTATCCATTGTTTTTAACCATCATTCGCTTTTAATAAATGTTAATAGTTCATTAATGCTTTCAAATGTTACTATTCAATCTAAATATCTAATCGGTATATAGTTTGGTGTGCTTCATTATTAATAAATAACTAAAAAGTTTCAAACTTTTGCAATAATTGAATAGTATCATTTGAAGCGAAACAAGTGTCATGTGTTCTATCCTGCTCTAACACGTGTAAATGTTGCTTTCTGTCTGGTCCGTCGCACACGCTTCAACACGACAGGTCCCGGATACACAGTCGCAGTAGGAGAGGAAGGTTTGCTATAGATGTTTTTTCTAGGATTGTTTGTCTATGCCAGAATTTTTTTTACTCTATGTAGACTATAGTTGTGCATCTCTATGCATGAGTTTATTTGTAATTAAAGATTAGAATACTGATTTATTAATGTAGTGTGTTTCTGTTGTTTTAGTGTAGTTTAGTATTTCAGTAGATATATTAATTTATTTCTTTTTGTATTGCTTTCCTTCGAATGCAGACGTTTTGGATACTATTATTATAGGTAAATAACTACTTTGACTTCATTATTTTAATTAAAAAATGTATCAGGTAAACTAAAATCACATCATAATTAAATAATATTACAGCACGTATGTAGTTTATTACAAGCCCAAAATTAATGGTACAACTAAATTTTATAATTAAATATTGAAATCTGATATTTAATATTAATAATATAATAATAATAATAATAATATTATTTATTGGCTTCATGATTACATTTCTTACATGAATAGAGGTTCTAGGCTTAGTTATCTTAGGGTTACAATCAAATACACAGCTGGTGCTTAAAAAAGGAATACCTGAGCATTAAGCACCAGCAAATTTACAGATTCTCAAAGTAAACTAACTTGGTTACAGGGTTGCATATGTATTGAAGATTTGCTCACTGTTTTTATTTTTAACTCATTCGAGTGTGTGTGTGTGTGAGTGTGTGTGTGTGTGTGTGTGTGTGTGTGTGTGAAATCTAATATTTAGATATTTTAATGACAATAACATCACAAAATTATAGCTCGAATTGATTTTATCGGTTTTGCATGAGGGGTAGGCTGTTACTCAACCATACATAACAAAATAAACGACATAAAAATCTTCCTATTTCAAAAAAATATCACATAGTCCATTCACATTTAATAGATATTAGAAACCTTGATATTATTCTGATTAAAATTTTGATAGTAGACACTAAAATAGCATTCCATTTTTTACTTAAATAGAACCTACTGCATTGAAACTACACGTAAGCGTATACTTTAGTTTGACTGAATCAATCCTAACAATACGTTGCTCCTAACCATCATCTCCATAGGAGATCCAGAGTCATTGAATACGTGTACTAATTTAGATTTAAGAAGGCTATATTGCCTTTAACTATTCATTCTCTTTAGATTTGCCATAATCACTACTAACCATGCGTGGCGGGTATGCTCACTGTTCTCATCTCCTAGTATAAGAGACCTAGGACCACTAAATTAATGTTCCAATTTGGTTTTTTTAGTGCTGTTTTTTATCATACACTATAATTTTGTCGAAATAGTTACTAGCCATGTGTTACGTCACCAAATTAGAGTTCCATTTTTGATTTTAAAATAATCTACAAGCTTCAACGATTTATTTGAAATCAGCCAGAGTCACTACTAACCATAAATAGATATTTTATTAATGTAGCCCATGAGGAGGCAGTGTACCTAAATTGGTATTACATTTTCGCTTTAAATAAAACATTACTGCATTTAACAAATCACTTGACTTGCCAGAATCACTACTAACTACGTGAGTATCATCATTACTAGGGTTGTCACTGCCGGTGTGGATTTAACGCTGGTATCATTTAACGGGTTTAAATAGGATGAAACAAAAAAATGTACTAACAAATAGTGCTATGGTGTTGGGTGTGTATGCCGTGGTCGTGTGTTAAAAATATTGCGTGTGCTTTAGTCGCGTGAGTCCTGGTCGTGAGACACCTGATCGCGCCCTGCCACACTACGGACCGAGGTTCCCGCCGAAGGGAAGGTAAGATATATAACGTTAGGAACTGACGTATGAACACAAACCTTTAAAATATTATATCAAAAATCCTTTAAATTTAACGAACAATATTGGCATGACATTTATTACAGACGAAAATAATTTACGCGAGTTTTAATTGTAGGCTTTATTATTAAATAAAGTTTTATTTTATTCTGTTTCTCATTAAATTGATCTTAATTTAATGTAAGAATCAATTGGTTTATTTTTAATAAAAAAGGATAATGTAACCCGTAGCTTATCTTGATAAAGATCTGAATAATATACATAGTTTTGCATTGATCGAAAAGTCTGGTAAAAAATATTTAGTAATTTACGATTGTTGTGTAATTTGAAGCGCCTTATAATTCAATAGAATCTATTGCCATTTTTAATATTATATCAGTTTTTACAATGTCATAGGAAAATATTGTCATTTTTGTCTATGTACGAGTATTTTACTCGTTATTTCGGCCAAAATGGTAAACAATAAAAAAAGCTTCATGTTTGCGTGCGTTTTACATGTTATGATTGATCGCTATGTTGCTTTGTTGTGTGCCAAAGCTAGTGTGAATTTTATTGGAAAAATGATTTTTATGCGTGACAACCCTGATAAAATATAATATATGCTTAATTTGCAAAGGGCATGATTTAAGATGTGTTTATTATTTAAAAGTAATAGTGTGTATATCGATATCGAGAGAGAGATGTAGATAAGATAGATTAGTGAACTATTTGTTAAGAGTGCACTTAAATCTATAAAGAAATAATACATCTTTTTCACGTCTCGCATATCGTCTGTTAATGAGACAGATAGATAGAAACGAACGTTGACATATAATCGTCAACACGCCTGATTATTTCTACAGAAGGGCAAATTTCTCCATTCGATTTAACCCTTAATCTTTAGCAATTAAATTTCAAAATTTGCCTTCATGTAGTAACCATGCGGCCTGTACGTACTGCGCTTGATGATTTTCAATTAATTGCTGTAAAATCATACAACTATTATCGTCTTGATAGTGATACACATCTTTAAGAGATAATTTTCGTGCTATCTTTTGTAATTTCGTTCAATTTCTATAGTAACTGTTATTTTTTATCGAGATAATTTTTATATTTAGACAAATAAATGTATGTTTCATGTTTAACCTAGTTAAAGTATGTTGAATAACATTTTACTCGTAATATAGCCTTAGTTGTATTGTTGTTAGTTAGCTTTATTTGCACTCTTAACTTTTGCAAAACGTAGTTGAATTTATAATCCAGCTAGTTATTTTTTTTGTTTTAGTATTTCTAGTAGTACATATCATTTAGAACAATGCATTTTTTAGGAAATATACTAAACTTAGAATGATGTTAAGTTGAATGTAATTGACTTTTTATTCGAGATCAAAGTAACTTGTTGTGCCGATGAAAAATAACTATATTGCCAGTAGTTATTGGTCAATGATTCAAATATTATGAATTTTGAATTAGTAATTAATAAAAACTTATTTCTTGGTAGCACTTGCAAGATCGGCTATCTGAAAAAAAAATGACATTTACTTGTATAATTATATACTATCACCCAATTTAGATTAAAATCTCATTTGACTAACTCTAAATTCTTAATGCGATACAGATATTTTAAAATCGCTGCTAAAAATTACTGCTAAAAATCGCTGCTTAAAAGCCATGCGTTTGATTACGGGAGATAATTCGAGAATTAGACATTTTAAAACATTATGATAATTTGAAATTCTGAACAGAAAGGATTGTATAGCATAGTAGGAAATCACGTGTTTTATAATTAATTATCTATTTATTATAACAGCAAAGGCGCCGAGCCCGAATTCCGTTCGCCACGCGTGAAACAACTCTGGGACAAATGGAGAACAGTGTGGCTCCTCGCGTGGGAGCGACAGAGACGGCTGCACGAGCGTCTCGCTCACCTGAAGGAGTTGCAACGTGTGTCCAACTTCAGCTGGGACGACTGGAGAAAGAGATTCCTCAAGTTCATGAACCACAAGAAGTCAAGGCTGACAGATTTGTTCAGGAAGATGGACAAGGACAATAACGGACTGATACCGAGGAACGAGTTTATAGATGGCATCATTAATACCAGTGAGTATATTTGAAATGTCTCCTTTGTCGTCGTCGCGAGTCGAGTCTAAGGAAAGCTCTAACATACCTACTCTTTTTTGGCGACAAGCATGGTATTTTATTTTATAAAAAAAAAATCTTCTGAAAGAGAAAATTCTGCCGCCCCTAATTTGCCGCTCAGGGCAATTGCCCGATTGCTCCACTTCTGATCCGGCCCTGTATATAAGCCCTTGTGTACTCTCGTGTGTTTTGTGGTATATGTAAGTGTCTTTATTTGTCCTATAGAATTTGATACTTCCCGTCTGGAAATGGGCGCCGTGGCTGATCTGTTCGACAGGAATGGCAGCGGACTCATTGATTGGGAAGAGTTCATTGCTGCTCTACGACCCGACTGGGTAAGCGTTAACACAAATTAATAACTAATTATTTAGGCTCAATTATATTTTTGATAATTTCTTAATAGATTTACACAAGTAAAATTAATCGACTAAATAATAAAAAAATCTATTGCATCTTCGATTGTCATTATCATACAAAAATTACAGACATGCAGCTAGTTGCACAAACGTTCATTAAAATTTTCATTACTTTAAAGTGACATTTCCCATACAATTTCGACATTCATTAGAGCTTAAAGGCGCCATTCAAACTTAATGGACGTTTGCGCATCTGACCGTATGTCAGACCTTTAGTCGCACAACTGTCTGTCTGGCTGTCTGTCAATGACTGTCAAATACTTGGAATTAATTGATTTACTGTGCGACGAAAACCCCTTTAATAAGAAAGCACTCTTACGATCAGTTTTACGAAAGTTTTTTTAAGATTTAATGACGAATTTAAGCTCTAAAGAATGTTGTAATTTTGAAATTTTGTATCGGTATACCGCAAAAGGAATTTAACATGCCGCTTTAAACTAATGACAATTTTAATAAACGTTTGTGCAACTGGGTGATGAACGATCTTGACCTAATAAGTGTGCCATGTAATACTTTTATCAAAACAATTGAAGATCCCCAGTTTAGGTTATCTGTGTTATCTAGATTATCAGATCTAGACTATTAACTGATACTTTTTCACGTTTTTGCAACAATTTTGGACGCAGGCGGTATGTATTAAGTGCACTTCTAATGTACTGTGTATAAGTCCTGTAAATTGCTAATGCGCTGGAGCCTTGTCTAAAAAACACCAACGTTACGTTATATGCAAATAAAAAGTATGGTTAGAACAAAATCGAGAGATAAAATTATTTATATAATTCTGAATAATCCCCAAAATATTAATCAACCGTAACAAGTAACAACAAAACTTAACAATCGAAAACCACAAAAACATAACAAAAATTGTGTGCAATCTCAACAAAACCCACCTCATTATGTGAACCCATCAACTAGTGTTTATTTGTTAACGGTACTCATCGTTGAACGCAATTACGTCACCAAAATGGCAGCCAGGCGCATTAGCAATTTGCGAGGATTATACATCAGATTGTCTCTAAATGTTTCTCAATCGATTTTAAAATTCTGTTTTGAATATATTAAGTTTTAAATTAAGAAAATTATTAATTTTGTATAAGTAATCTGTTGTTATATTAACCCTAAAGTAATCACGACTTAGTATTAGTCTCTTTGTAAGAAGTATTAATTAGAGTAGGCCCACGACGAAACAGTCCAGTCAATTTTAAGAGTACAACCCCAGGAATCAAACATAAATATCTAATTTAAATAAATGTATGATACATTCTCAATTACCTCTCCAAGCTTATAGTATACTAGTTAGTTGCTTCTGCAAGAAAGTTTCATTAAATAAAAAAAATGCGTATCTTCGACTGAGTAAGAGATCATCGGTTGAATGTGCATGTGTAAATAAATAAATGAGAATTTGAAAGAAGTAAAATCTTACAAATGTCAACTTACAACCTTCTAGATTTACCTGTGTATTACACTCGTTAGCTTAGACTTTGTTTAGTCTGTTTGATAATATGGTTTTAAACAAATGCTCAATGCAAATATAGCGTTTTACTCCGGAGTTTATCCTTTGTTTATTATTGTCTAATATTTGACTGTTTAGGTGGAGCGCCGTGGCCCTCCAACTGATGCTGATAAGATCCACGATGAGGTGAAACGGCTCGTGATGCTGTGCACTTGCAGACAAAAGTTCAGGGTATTCCAAGTAGGAGAGGGCAAGTACCGGGTGAGGATTATTTTTTATATATTATCATTGTGTTCGTTTACTTGACATTATTTGACAATAATTTAGGTATAGATGTCGTAGCAAAGTGGTATCAGCCGATCATTTGGGCGACTATCCCTTTAATTGAATTGCGCCATTCAATTAAAACACTGACTTTCGATCAGCCGAGTAACTGAACGCAAGGTTCTACAATACGACTGGACAAAAGTCAGCCAACTAATTAACTATCAACTCACCTGGCCAACCGATATTTATTGGTAGGATTTAATACAAAACTCAAAACTCCTTGTTACGATCTGTAATGATTCACAGATAACCTCCAATAGATGCCGCATGAAAGATAGCAAGTTATAGCCAATAACCAAGCATCTATGAATCTGCATAGATCGTTTTAACAAAAGTAGTAATACACGTATGCGAATACTCAGTTGCGACCAAGTGTTGTATCTGTAGATATATGCTTTGACGAGAAGACTTCTCTTTATAATGAAGTAGTTGATGGGTTAACCATGGCAAGTTGTCGTGTTAAACGGTGAGGAAAAAATAGAACGATGGTATAATTGCAAGGACGATGGTATAATTTTTCACTAGAAATATAAATTTTTATTTGTATTTTTATCTCGCGAAGTAAGGTATAGTGGACAATTATAGGTAAGTTTTAAAAATGTAGCACGCTTTGATGTATTCTTGAAATCCATCCCTTTCTCTCATCACTAAATTAGTATGAAATGAAAATATCTTTATTCAAGTAGGCTTATTACAAGCACTTTAGAATCGTACAAAAAAAAATTTTTTCCCCTACCACTTGTTCAGCACGCGTAGCATGACAAACTCGAGAAACGCTTTGTCTACACTCATTTGTCAGTTTCTCGGGTCGAGAGTGAGATATAGTATGGGCGCACCCGAGAAATTGACAGTTGAGTGTAGACAAAACGTTCTCGAGTTCGTTATGCTACGCGTGCAGGACGTCTTTTAGCTGACAAGAAGAACAAGCGAAAGAAACTTACCTACTTTTTATTATATATATTTATTTCATTCTGACAAAGACACGTGTAACACTACTATCGCTACGATATCGATATTTCCATACGTAAACAGTATAGTATTTTTAATATGACATGAAAAATTTGTACTCGCTGTACAAATTAGTACACAAAAGTACTCTGAGGTTTATAACCAATATTTGTCAATATACGTAGGTACATTGGTATTGTAGAATACTTAGGTTACTTAGTATAAGATATTTCTAAATGTTATTGTTATTCTTCCGTTTTTAATTACAACTTATTTAAATGTATTTTTTGGACAAAATCGATTTTTGAAAGTTATTCTCACCGACTGATTGAAAGTTAGTGATTGAGTGAACGCGCTCACTGAAGCTTTGCCGTTATACGTTGTCCATCAATTAGTTTATAGTGCTATAAATTGGGAATTAAATCAAAATAAATAATATATATTTTTAGTGAGATTTAATAGTAACAATTATTAATTATCAATTATGGACATGCCTTTAAGATATTATGGTCCCCATCACTAGATACGTGTCTTTGTACTTGCCAATGCGGTCGCCGCAGTTACCTCGCCCGCCCCCTGCCCCACCGCTAAGATTAGTATCTTTAATTTTCTAACAAAATAGAAATCATGCGGTATCTATTGGAGGTTATCTGTGGTATGATTCAATACGGGAAACGTACGTACACACCCATAACGCAAGTGCGTTAGGTAAGCTTAAACTTTAATAATAAATTCTTTATAGTAAAATTAGACAAAGACAAGATCTATCTATTGAAAGCAGAGTAAGCAATGTATTCGAATGCAATTGTTTCAGTATTTTTATTACGATTTCGAATTTTGGTGCTACAATAGTTAATAACAAGATAAAATGATAAACATCGAAATTATTTCGGTCCTGTAGGTAATGATTCACCTAGAAAACTAGGCGTGCAATTGAATGGCGCCATCCAATTGTTAGCTGCCCAAATGAATGGCTGTTTTAACCAGTTGGCTGCGACAAAGACATCTCCTTATCTTTATAAAGAAAAAAATGGTTTATTTAACATTTTACTTTAAATTTACTTTTTTACTTTACTCGAAGCGGGTTTTACTAGGTAGGTCGGCCTCGCCAAAGCCTGTCCTTTTAAGAAAGGGTACGGGTTCGAAGAGCCCTAGTTTAAGGCTTAAGGTTGCAATTTCCCTCCGTTAAAAAATGGTTTGGAGGAAGAAGGATATAGAAACCGAGGGATATGAAGACCATCTACGATGACAGATTAGATAAGATAGGTCATTGGTGTTATGTGTTCCAACAGTTCGGCGACTCGCAGAAGCTCCGCTTGGTCCGTATATTGCGTTCTACTGTGATGGTGCGCGTCGGCGGTGGTTGGGTAGCGCTTGACGAATTCCTCGTCAAGAACGATCCATGCCGCGGTAAGTCTCTACCTTACAACACACAAGCTAACATTTTCAATATTAAAATTAGGAATTTTGTGCCTTTAATGTTGTTATTAAATAAGTATAGTAATATACTATACTTAAAACATTTTGTAATTGTAATATAGTTAGGTTAAGTTACAAAAATAAATATTTGACGCCCTTTTTGACACTAATTACCCGGTGTCTTTGTTTTTGCCGCGGCTATTTTTGGCGTTCAGAGCTCTGGATATAAATTTCCAATTTTGTCAAATTGATTTACTGTTATATATTTATATTAATTATAACAATGATGCTTATTCCAAATTATTTGATTGACTGATATAAACAACCTTATTCGCACAATAATTCACAATTATAATGTACACACCAGCAGCAGTCGTGCTTTTAGGAAATGTCAAGTTTCTGTGATTTTTTTAACTTCAATTCTTACGGATTAAGGATTAAAATCAGATTGAAAAATTTGACAATTCTGAATCACTTCATGCGCTGCTGACAGAACAGTAACTACTGAATATTTATTTGAAATGTATTGAAAACAAATAAGTTTTATAACAGTAGTACAGTAATAAGTAAAAAAAACTCATACATAGATAAATGTTCGGTACACTGTAAATAGTTTTTATTAAGACTTTTAAAAGCAAAGGGATTTCCTAAAGAATACTAAGCAATGTTACTTTAATTATTTTTTTGAGAATAAAATCCTCACAATTAACATATGGCTGATGCCCGCCTAATTTAAATATAAATTATAGATTATTTACTGAACTTTCCCCGAAAATTTTTATGACATAATCAGTTACGATATTTTGAAGTTTCTTAAAAGACCTTATTTATATTATTAATTTTAAGTACAGTACATAATGCTAGGTTGCACAAAACAAAAGAAATCTCGATAACAATTAAGTATATATTTTTTCACTTGAATGATAGTTTTACAGAATTCCTATATTGGTATTTATAATAAACCTACACAACAGAGAACTTCAATACATTAAAACACACTCAAAGAGATCATGTCACTATTTTATTATGGAAGATATGACATTTTTAATTTACAATAGCCTTGGTTTCGTGAACTCTTTGTACACTCAATTAGATATTCCGATTTACTTAAACGACCTACTAGTGTTGTTGGAAATGAAAATAATAAATAACAAAATCATTATCTTTGTTAACTTCACCGAAAATACTTTATGACTAATTGTAATATCATTATAGGCATATCATATATATTCAAGAATACTTACTTCTTAAAGGTGAAACAGCTAACCCGGACTTCTAAATAGTAATAATTAATTACTTTAAAATAATAAATACCTGCATAACTTTTTAAAATAGTTTCTTTCATTATGTGTCAAATAAAATATGTCTGTATATATTGTTAGAGTATTAACATTGTTGAGGTCCCAAATAAAGCACTTATATTATAAAGTATCTTAAAAATTGAAGGTACCAAAACATAGAAAAGTTAATTTTCATTGACCCGACCGGAAATCGAACCCAGAACCTAAGGAGATAACCTTGAAATCAGCGTGTGAGCCACTCAGTTACGTGTCAGGTGGGCAGCGCCATTCTCTTACATTAATAGCGATGCCAGCTTGGTCATCCTGGCCACGGAGGCGGTGAAACCTATGATATTCCTTTAAATATTTTGTTTTTTTTTTTATCAAAACAATATATTGGGTGCGATGATAAATTAGTCACATGGTATTAATTTTATTTATTATATTATTTATCATTATACTTATTTCAGAAACTTTTAACAAAATTATGATTAATTTCCTACAATACTGGTGGTCTTTGTCTACAACTTTTTATTACAGGAAACAAATAGATTTAAGTATTTAATCGAGGTCATTGTTCGGGTTATTATTAAATATTATTCAAAAAATAAAAATAAAATTTGTTTAACAATATAGTTTACAATTAATTGATAATTTGAACAATGGCCACTGAATTATTTCAAAGTGTCAATCGAAAACATACGGGAACTATGTAATTAGTGTTCGTCATTGCCTAACAGGGGCAACTAATCTATCAAATTTATGTGATGTCTAATTTGTTACTAAAATTGATATTTAATAAAAATAAATATGTGTGTCAAATAACAAAATAACAGTATTAAAATTAATCAATTTTATTATCATAGTTATCTGTTTCTTACAAACTAACCGCGTACAAATACAATGGATACGTTACAAAACTACAATACTATTTATGTAATATTACAAAATACTATAAAAATTGCACCTAAGGAAAATGTGCTGGCAATACAGGATTTATAAGACTAACAATACTGCTGTGAAATAAATGCAATTAAAAAATATATATCACATAGGTATGAGAAAGAAATTTGAAATTATAACAATTTTTGGCTACAGAGTTGATCAGTAACTACCTGACTCAGAATACAGACTAACACCACTTATATTTGGAAGCACACAACTGGAAGGTCCAAGGTCACACAACCTGTTTTCAAATCAGGCATATCTTGAGTCATTTCCTTCAGAATACTAGTCAACGTTTTAGAAAAACATATTTTATATATATATATTAGTCAGAATAAAGAGATCAGTGATTCACAAATAAAAGTATAATTCATTTTTAAATGTGTTCATAATAAACATTATAATTATTAAGTACTTAATTGGTTATATATTTGCTTGTTTTGTTAATGTCTATTCACAAACAACATGAATTCCTTATTTAGAGTACACTTCTCTATTCAATATTTTTATTAGTTATCATATCACTTACATACAATATATACTGTCATGTTACTTCAAAATGATTATAGTTCTTACATAATTACTGGGGTATATTATTAATAAAGAATTAAAGTTAAATTATGGCAAGCCTGTCAATAGGCATCTACATTTTAAATACACATGCACTTAATTTAATCAATGGTTGTTTTGCGAATAAATGATGTCAATGATGAGATTTCACTGCTGGTTCTTTCACCAGATATGCGACTAAATTCTATTTCCTCGCTTAAGTTTTGAGTATCTGAAGTATTCTCAGCAACAGGCCAATGTTTATGACTGGGTGCATATAAAATCAGCAAAGCAAAGATATAGATGTTCCACATTCCATAAACTCCTGTAAAGAATGCTGAAGTGTATTCCAGTTCAATGTTCTCATCCCATTTCCATTGACCTTCGGCTACTTGACCCAATATAAATCCAATTACAGTCAGTGCGGCGCATAACAGAGTTGCCAACATCAAAAATTTGAAACGATAAATGATTCCTTCATAATGTAAACGGCGCACTGAACACATTGTAGGCAAAGATTGGCGTTTATGAGAGATGTTAATGAATACTTGCCAAATCATGTAGCATAGAAACAGAAAATAAACTCCAGTAGATATACCAGCTAATATTATGAAAGTCAGAGCCAAATTTGTACCAATGTCAGTTACCCATATTGAGTAAAAAGGATTTCGCAGTTGCACTCCACGCTCACACATGTCAAAAATGAATAATGAAATGCAACCAATAGCCACTGCACTCAAGTGTTTCCAATATTGCTTTAAAGAACTTTGTGTTGGATTGTTTTGGATGAGCATATGTTCTCCAGCGAAAACTAGCCAGAACGAAAACAGCATAGCATAGAATATCCCCTGCCTAATGTCACCTAGGAGTAACATAAATGGTAAATCAAAATGCAAGGTAAAATACTCAAGAGGCATATTCAATACACATAGTGCTATCCCTAAACTCAATAGCATTCTCTCTAGCAACACAGGCTTTCTTTCAAGTATGTATATGCGTCTCCAGAACCATGCCAATATGGCTATGATGCATGGGAAGAAAGCTGTTTTTAATGAAACCCAGACTTTAGTGAAGCCTCCATTCTGATTGATCACTGTCAACCACATGTCTTGTATATGACCAATATTTGAATTCATCTCTGGTGTGTCAACTGGAAGCCGTACATTTAGCAAATAAAAGTCATGGAATAAAGAACCCAGTTCAAAGAGTGGTATAGCAGAACAGTTATACAAATATTTCTCGGTTTTAATTTCAATTTCACAGTCCAAATGCCGTTTTTCAATAGATTGCGTATACAATTGCCATGAATCCTCAGGATCGCCTTTGTTCCGGTAAGCTAACCTCGCGTCTATAGTAACTTCGCTGCGTGGACGAACCTCCATTTGCGAATGATATCGAATGTCCATTTGTAATACTCCAATCAAGTTTTGCTGCCACCTAGAAAAGTCTAATATTTGGTTCTGCCGCGGTACCGGCATTTGAAACGCAAACACGATGTCCGTCTCCGATAAATCATGATGCATATCATCAAGGTCGATGATCTCACAGGAGCCTTTCCCACGGTTGTAATACCATTTCGAAGTATCATTTTTCACTTTATTAGCATCTTTACACACTGTTCCGAGAATATTTTGAGTGTTCGCTGGTGTGGGTGCGATCAAACCTCCTATCAAGAAACATGTTATTTGACACAAAAGTAAAAACGTGACTAACACGGCGAGTTTTCGCCCACTCAGGTTTTCAATTATTGTTCCCGTCATTTTATGAGTAATTAAAAACACAATTATAATCACTTAAAATATATAAAAGGTGATTCCATTGTTCATGTTTCCCAACAAAGGACGCGACTTTTCTTTCGATTGATTTGTCATAATTTGACAACCGACATGCGCAGTACTCCAGTATTGCCAGCACACGAAATAACGACGTTATTTTTAACGTTATTGACTAATCGAAATATAACGTTTTATAACTTCTTGGATATTAGTAAATTTTTATTAAACATTTTTATAGTAATTTTGTGTTTGTTAACATTTGATCTAGTATTTGGATGATATAAAAAAAGATAAAATCGTAAAATATATAGTTTACTAGTTAGATAATTTTTTACTTGAGTGGCTTAACAATTTCTTACCGCGTCTTATGTTCAATTAATTTAAATTGATTGTTGGAATTTACTTAATACATAGATAATCCAGATATTCCAATATTCCAATTAAAGATAGCTAAATAATTCTAGATATTCCAATTAAACATAGCTAAATACGCAGCGTTGGTCCACATAAAAATAGTGTTACCGCTACTAATTTATACTAATTCGTATTCGCTTTGCCCAAATCCAAACTCCTGTGGTCCCATAAAAACAATTATTCATTATGTTCATTTTATATTACGTTAAATATCCCTATCAATCCCTTTTACAAAGTAGTATCATTAGTGCTACCGCTGCCTGATCCGAGCAAGCCGGAGCAGCATGAAGCTTGTTGCCCGCTCGGTAAGCTTTTAAACTGGTAATTGGAACCAATTGAATATTGTAATGACACTTTCATATTTATGTCTATATTTAGATCACTTTTGATTCCAATTCAGGATTAAATAGTTGATGTGGCTTACAGTTTTTTTTCTGCGGTTAATCATCTTGGTTTATAAATTTAATAATTATTTTGCTCTTTTACTCGATATTATACACTTGTAATGCTTTATAGTGGGCTTATCAATTGGTCATGAAAATCTGTTAATTATGTAATAGTTATGTAGTAATGGACACATCCAGGAAGTATACGTTATAAAATAATGCTTGTAGTTATGGCATGGTTATTAATTTCATTATTTTTCGCATTTGTATATATTTTATAACGTTTATTTTTACTTAGTAGATTACTAATGCATACAGCAAGTGCAAGATATTCACTTAAAAATTACTAATTATTTCACAAGATAATATTTAAAAATAATATTTTAATTATGTAAGTTTTTTTCTGATCATGTGGTTCTTAGAAACAATATTTTATTAAAATTTCATCGAGTTTGTATGATATCTTGCACTTGTTATTATTGAATGCAAAATTAATTGGTGAAAGAATAAACTAATGGTATTTTATAATTCCTATTCCTAACTGCACACAAAACAATGGTCCGTTCGTTTTTTTTTTGTTATTGTGTATGTTTTTTTTTTGTTGACATGTTCTGATTTTGTTTGTTGTTTTTTCTTTTCCTCACTTCCGATGCACGCTATCCTTTGATTCAACACAATTGTGTTATTTCCTTCCATCCCGGTTACTTATCATTTTCTTTACCCCGTACCCGTTCCTTCCGTTTGTGATCCCGCACTGGACGCCGCCCGCATGCAGCCAAAGGACGCACCAACATCGAACTACGAGAACAATTCATACTGGCCGATGGAGTCTCACAGAGCATGGCAGCGTTCCGACCGCGTACGCCCCGCTCTAATACAAATACACCACCATCCACTGGACCTATTACAAAGGTAAGGTGACCCCAACTGACGATTTCTATCAAGTAACACGTTTTCTCCTACAGGTTATTATAAATTAGTCTTAGCTAGCACAAATACTACATAAATCGCACAGTAGTTGTTGGAGGGAGCAATCGGTTTGGGATTCATATTTTTTCGCTTTTTTTCTTTTGCAAATTGTATATGGATATACAAAAATCCATATGCAAGTTGCAGTCGTGATTACGCATGTGTTGAGCTCGTAGCATTTGGTCGTATTTGCATTAGTGTGTTCAAGCTATGCATTCATACACAGGCTCGTTGTAGTGCGTTGGTGTTGTTTGTTAGTGTATTTACTCATTGGAACCACTGCATTGGAGAGGTGGCACGTCAGCGCATTATGGATTATATGGTAAAGTATTTCTTTTACCCTTCCTGCTAGATCCCATCAAACCTGCATTTCGCAAAATCGCGCGGCCGTCGACTAAACGTGTGGACTAATCGAAATATCACCTCGAAACCCGTTCGCGTTCTTCGATAAGATTGGCACTATGAAGACAAAACCTATGTTTAAAATGGTCGTTTTTCCTTTCCCCTTAATGAGATGCCTGGTTTTATATTGGTGCGTTTAGCTGAGGAGTTTATGGAGCAATTGAAGCCTATATTTGAGGCTTTAAGGCAACGAGAAGAGCTTCCGTGTTCATACCCTCTGCACGTCGGCTCAACACATGGCACTAAGCAGGCGTTTATATATGGCCATTCAAGATCTCAAGGTTCGACGACGCCGGGAGCTCACCATTATACACATCATCATGGATATCAACCATCACCGGGATATCACTGGGTAACTGCTAACTAGGCTATGTGATAGTGTCGGTCGAATGCACCCTTGAACGAACAAATTTCAGCGACTGATTTATTTTTTGTATGTTATTGTTATTTGTCCATGTTTGAGTAATTTTAGATGTCGAAATTGTCAAGTCCCTAATTATTAGTCTAGCATGCTTAATTTACTTGGTTATCTATGATGTGTAAAATATTTGTCATGTAGTGTACATAATGTCATAATTTATTGTGTCATTATATTAATTATATTCACGTGCAGGTGAGGGAACGCACAGCTAGATCCGTCCCAATGTCCGCGGGGGGAGCCGCCGGTCGTGCTTCAAGATCATCGCTTAGTGCAGGAACGCCAGACTCACTTAGCGACAATGAAGCAGCTAGTGGACTAGGAACAAGATACAGGAAACCAAGTGTGCCAAGGTGACGTATTGGATTTTCTTTGAAATTCAGTTGGTAATTTTCTAGTTTATCATAAATGACATATAAAATTATTTTATATGCAGATCAACATTAACACCTGGAGGATCACGACCTGGGTCGAGGCCAGGTTCAAGAACCGGATCGAAACCACCATCAAGACATGGGTCAAATCTTTCTTTAGATAGCACAGGTTAGAAGTTGGGATGCTTTCGAATATTTGTGAAATATATTCACCCTTATCGTTCTTAGTATTTATAGTCTCGTAATTCTCATCAGACGATGTATCAACACCATCCCGCATACCAATGCGAAAAGTGACAAACACAAGAGCTTCAATTGCTCGTGCTGCTGCTACTGCAAGCAAACTGGGAGTGACAACACCAAATGGAGGATCTCGACCGCGCACACCAACGGGCTTCTTGACACCTGCTAGTGGAAGGTATTGTATACATTATATGTTTATATTTATTCCTAGTACTGAAAATAAAGATCGGTAAAGGTTTCTAAACTTTATCTCGACATGATACTACTTTCTGTACCTTAAATTCATCACAATGTTCTGTATTAAATATGGTACACTGATATGCACATGGACAGGTATCCTAGTGGAGCGATGTACCGCACGTCCAGTATACCGACACTGTCTCCGGTGCCGGCGTTAGTGAGGTACAAAGTGTGATAGTTGGTTTGAGTTGTTTGCTCGTCTTTACGCAATTAAAACTTGATTAGATTCATTAAAATCGTATATGGGTTATAAAAAATGTAAATTAAATAAGAAAACTATCAGAAGATAATATTTCGAAAATCTAAACAAGTTATAAGTAGCTCAGAAAGCAGATAATTGGACAATCTCATTGTTTGCTTTAGTAAGGGAACAGGTTTATGTAGTGTCAACGAGGTTACGCATTTGAAGGAATATCGCACTGTATTTTGGAAAGTCACATTTTTTATCTGAATGCATATTGTTGTGATGTCAGCAAACTTTAATATTGTAGTGGTGGTGGTGGTGGAGGGTTAAATTGGAATAGAAATTAGCGTGGAAGGATATTAAATCTCGGCATGTGATCTAGTAGTGGTTAGGAAAACTAATAATCAACTTAGTTTTGTGTGTTTTTGCTAACAATATATGTTATTTACGATTGTATTTATCGCAAATTAAGTCGAATTTTCTCTTGAAATCATTTAAAGACAGTATCTGTATATGTCAAAGAAAGAAATTATAACTAAAACATTTTATTTTTCTTCTTTTTCCCGCATGCATCGTAATCGAAAACGGAATAACTATACTATAGCTCGACACATTCTCAGCCATCTTCTATGGCATCTGAACATCCCAAGTCCCTAACCCATACTCATCCAGCATTCCATACTCAAGGGTCTACGAAAATCCCTATATATATTGGTTCCCAAAGAACTTCATCTGCCGAAAGGTCTTCGATAAAACCACGAAAATCCCACTCTAGAGAAACTTCCCAGGAACCAAGTCCTACTTCCTTAGAACCCTCAAGGAAATCCGAGCAAAGAAGTCCAGAAGATGATTCCTCACTGTTCAGCATATCGGGAATGACGAGCGACAATGAATATGAAAGTAACATAAGCGAGTCGAGCGGCGAAGTGTCTAAGCCGACCCAACGAGCCGCCAAAGGGTACAAGCTTGTAGAATGCTAGCTTCAAATAAATTGATTGATGCTCCTGGATTTTGAAGTTGTTTTGATGGTCATTGTTTATGCAGATATAAATTTAGTTCAGTCACTACAATTAAGCATCACCTCTCATTGTGTATTTCGTTTTCATATCATTGTAATCATAATCCCATTACATTTAACATCAGTGATCTCGTGTGTATATGCAAACCATGGTTAATGATGCTTGGGCGCAATCGTAACACTGCTTGCTAACGAATCTCTCAACAAGCTAATCGTCACTCATTATTATCCTCATTTAAACTTCAAACAAATCATTGACGTCATAGATATATATTCAGCACGCTTTCATAGCCAAAACCCCATTCACGATAAAATATTGTTTATTCTTTATAAACAGTTATACATTTGGTACTTTTTTTTATCTCAGTTAACTTAATTTTATACAAAAAAAATTTTAGAAAAGTTTGCTACAGCTAATAAGCCGATGAACAGTACCAAAGGTGTTATTGATTTATTTACTTTCAAAATTATTTCTCTTGTTTTACTTCTTTTATTCTTCACAACCATTTATTGCTTTTGTTTTTAAAATCTTTGAATGTCCTATACTATTATAATTTATGCTAATGCACAATATTTCGGTGTATTATTCTATTATTATTTATGTTATGTAAATATAATTAATGGAACTGAGTTTACTAATACTTGAGTTCTGATTAATATGTGCATATAAATGCAATTTATTGCCACTATATATGTGAATAAAAATATGTGCATTAACATAAAGTCTAACATGATTTCCTATCCTATTTACTAATTTTACTATATGTCTTGTGTGCTCGCTAACTCTACGTAGGAGCGGGTCGTTTGCCTCGACGGAGGGACAAACTCCCGGCAAGAGTCGCATTCCTGTACTTAAGGATCACCATACTAACTGTAATCTCAATAGGTAAACTAAACTTCGTAGTGTTTTGATTTTAGTCAGTTTTATTTTTGTTTGATAGTTCGTTGTGTTGTGTGTTTTGTAGAAAATTATAGTAATTTTCCTTCTCTTTGCTTTGTTTAAAATCCTTTCTTATTTTGTTGTGTTGAATAGAACAGAGTTACTTGCTATGGAAAAATAAAAATTAGATATACAAAACATATTCATTATTTGTAAAACACCAACAATTGTGCAGGAATAAGTAGTTAAAATCGTAAGAAACAACAGTCTTGTTCTATGTGTTTCGATTAACAATAAACACTTCAAAAATATTTTCCGTTTAAAGTATCGAGTTGTGTCAAATTTGTAAATCAAACTTTGATATTTATGATGTTAGCTATTAAGACCTGGAGGTTGTTGGTGTTTCACAAATAACCCTCGTTATATGTTGTTTATTTATAATTCGGTATTTAGTGCTTATTGCATGTAAGAATATCCTAAACTATGAAAGTATTAAGTGATTTTCGTATATTAGGCAAAGGACACCTTCAGGCAGTACGACTCCAGTACGCTCGGGCCAGCAGACGGCTGTTTCCCGGCTGCTGCGCAAGCCCTCAGACGCGTCAGACAGCGGTGCGCCAACTACGCCCGCCTCCCGACGCGGCACTCCGTCATCATCTCGAACCACGGAGAAACGCGAACCATTCCGACTATAAACGAAATCTCTTTAAGAATCACAAGTCCCTTTCTAAATTCTGACTCAATACTACTTTTCGTGGACTTGGTTAAGAATTCATTAAATAAATAATGTAAGTCGCTTTTGTGTTATGGAATATTTGACTTTTCGTTGCTTTATAATCCTTATGTAAATTCTTGTAAATCCTACTTTCTCTTTTAATCGCTAAATATTTCCATGAAAGCGGCATACATTCCTAATGGCGAGTGCCCATATATAATATAAAAATATACTAACATGAATTAACCTATTCGCGAATTAAGCCAAGCTTAATAAAAACGAATTTGCGAATGTGGCTTTTTTAATTAAGTAAAAATATAGATGGTAGTTTGTAAAACTTAAAGTCTGCACTTGTTGCCTTGTATACTTATTTGTTTTTTCTACGGGCCGTGCAATTTTGTGCACGTTGGATTATTTTTTATTTATTTTGTGCTATCAGTATTTCTCCGATAAGTTCAATAATATATGGGCGGATAAAACAGCCATTATCTGTCTCGACGTGAAAGTTATTCAATTCTCTTATTTATTGTCGACGTTGCCATAATTGTTAGCGTATATTTGTATGTAAACATACGTACCTACGTCTCTCTATAGAGACCAGATGAAAAGTGTGATTTTATAAACTTTTTGTAATTTGTAATTATTTTCCTTAGGGACCATTTTGTTATTCGAACTGAACGAAGTAGATGATTTCGAGCCATCGCTTTTTATAGTGTTTCGTCCCGCGTGTAATTACGCCAGATTATGCGTGGCGATAATACTTTGAAAGGTTATGGATCGAGATCTAATTAAGGTGATAATAGAATTATATAATTATTTTCTTTGTAATGCACAATCATGTCTCATCATCATCGATTCCTTTGGTGTTCAATTATTTGTTGGAATGGTATATTGATAGTTATCATTCGTATTGTACATTAATGTATGTGATTTATTTATATGTTGATAATTGCACAATATCGTTGTTGATGTTCATAATTATTTTCGAAATGTAAACTTTTAAGAAGGTTATCCTGGATAGTCGCCAGAATCATAAGGATACACCTTTGTGTTTACCATTTTCCTGTTCAGTAAAATGCCACATCCTACTTTGGTTTTAGTGATTTAATAAAGTACACTTGGTCGATAAAGACATTTACTTAATAAAAGCTAAGAATTTGATATGGAATAAACGCTTTAAAATGTAACCTTCATTTAAAATGTTAACCAACACTCACACGTATTTGTTAATTTTATTATAAATCTGACTTTTAAGCTTATTATTAGAGATATGTAAAACTATTAATCTGGTCATTTTTATTTAAATCATTGTTGTATTTGTTAATTATATAAATCAAAGCAGAATTTACTAAAAAAAAGCTTGCAATTTGTATAAAATAATGATTCTGAAGACCTACAGTTTTAAAATCTCATTATTGATTTCAAAATATAAAATAAATAATAACAATGAATTTGTTTTTTTATTTATTAATAATCAATTTAGAAAACTATCATGATTTCCTGAAATCTTACGTACATTATGAACGTATATTACGAATTTAATATTTTTTCAATTTTATGTCTCATTATTATTCTCTGAAATCTTCTCTGTAGTATAATTTACCGAATCTACAATTTACATAGACGAGAACATATCCTTTCAACACCGGCTCAGTGTAACTTGGCACTAGGGGATATAATTCCGGGCCTTTTTTACAATCCCGGGGTTCCGGTACTGGGCAAAGACAGGGATCCCGGGACAGTCCCGGGATTTGACGGTAGCATACGAAAATGCGAAATTATGGAAAAATCAACTTTTATTTTTATTATTTAAACTTAAGAAATGGAAAAAATCGGAACAAAAATTATTCTCTTCTAAACAAAAAACAAACAAATTAAAATATAAAAAATAAACTTGTGTAACACAAGGTTAACAAATAAAGTCTCACATTAAGACAAATACTTAGTAGGTAGGTACTTATCACATAGTTAATTATTAATCAGTGTCATTTCTATTTTTTAAATCAGTCAGTCTCGTTTGTTTTGCGTTAGCGTCACTATAATAATAAACCTGTTACATTTCTTTAATATTAGTCAGTCACTAATCCGTCCTATTTCTTAAAATATTATACAGTCATATTTATTATTATAAATTTTAATTATTTGTACTCATTTCTCGTACTAATAGTAATAATATTAACGCTCTATACTTCAAGAAATCAAAATGGTTGACTTTTTATTGGCCATAGATTACTCGATAAATGGTAGGTAAACTTAGTGCGTTTCGTTTCATACAATGTTTTTTGAAAAAAAAAATATCTTTATTATTTATCCTGAAAATTCAGGGGTTTAAGGAATTTAATACCTAAGATTTCGGGACAGTGAAAGGGCCGGGATCCCGTGGACCAGGATCCCAGGATCCCGGCCCTTTCAGAGGCATTTATATCCCCCTACTTGGCACCGTAGGCAAAACACTGGAACAATGTAAATAAAAAATTACAACAAAATAAATGTGTAATGTAGTACATCGATCGAAGATTAATTTTGCCAATGACAAAAGAACTAAGAAAGAATTCCTTACTACTGGTCTGAAAAACGTATACCTTTGAATACCGCAGACATGGACTCAAGTTCAACTAACAGATGTATTGTTTTAAGGTATTTCGAAGTTTCCGTGCGGTTAATGGCCTCCGGACCGACCCCGTGCATCGCCTTCCATGCGAGGGACATCACTGACTGAGTTTTAGTGGGTAAACTCCTGTTTCTTGTTTAGCCCCTTCGGGGGTGGGGCCACAGGAGGTGTCCCACATAACCCGTGGAGCCCGGGTTAGGTGTAACAGTTATGTGTAACGCATTTCTCACCGTCAAAAAAATATATCGTCTATATGATTCCAATAAATAAGCAAACCTTGCCATGCCTTCCTCCAAATACGTGCGCCATAGGCACTTACCAGTTTGCCTATATGGACGTATCTAGTGACGAGATATATCTCAAAATGCAGCTTATTTTTTACTTATTCCATAACCAAGAACGAAACATGAATGAAACAACTTTTAAACGATTTCATACAAACCGTTTAAAAGTTGTTTCATTTATGGATAGTGCGCGTGAAAATATAAGAATTCTTAAAATAATGTTAGGATTTTTAAATGGTACTATGGTAATTACACGAATGCGATTCGGACGGTTTGCTTCTCTATCTCAATGCGACTCGGACTCAATGATGGTTTGCTAAGTTTCGTTTCACATTAACATTTTGATTTTTTTCCATATTTACTAGTCAAATTTAAAAAGTTTTATTTTAAATGCATTAAATCTTCACAAACTATGAATCTCCTTAGTCTCCAGGTATAAAGATGCTAAGATATTATACTATTTTAAACAAAAACTAATTTTAATTATCACTAATTGTGGGTAAACGTAACCTATAAAAACATGTGACAGGTCAACCAATGTATGGAAAGTGGACATTATTCTTTCATCTCTTTGTTTCATATCGTATTTCAAATAGAAATTAGTACTAAGTGTCCTTACTTTTTTTTATTTGGTACATGACATGACTAACCATAATTTTGCTTAATGTATAAATATGTTTCATATTGTCTCTAAAAGGTCCTCTAAAGAGTATATTTATGAAATCACGCAGTAAGCCTAAATGAAAGTCACAACTTGTGATGTGGAAAATAGAACTTGAGTTTGCATGATATTAAAAAAGTACACTAAAACAACAGGACAGGTTAACGAGAGAAGCAAAAGGAAATTCATAAAGTTTGAACCATATGTATTATGATTGTGACAAACCGGTTGTGATTGTGTCAACGTTTAACGTTATGTTATTTATGTTTATCACGTACGTTGTTTAACAAAACATATTTTGCTAATAGCAACATTGATAAAAAAACATACTGTCAAAATGTCAAAACAAAATTGAAAACAAGTTACCGAAGATCCAAATCATCGTGTGTTATAAATATTTAGATTTTCTAACATAGGAAATAGGTAAAATCGTGACCAAATAACATTGAACTTTTGTAGAGTGTGAGAGAAATTAGTTTTGTTCGTTTAAGTCATTATTCGTCTAAATTCAATCATCTATTGAAACATAACAATATTTTGCGATAGTTTGAAAAGTTATTTTAAAACTTTGTTCATCTACTTTTCTTGGGATAATGGTTGGATATAAAATGGATGGTCCAGCGAGAGATCGCGTGTTAAAGTTAATGGAAGAGAAGGATAGAATCGAAAGTGAGATTCGTGAACAAACAGCTATTTTGGACACCAACAATGTGGGAATGAACGATGCACTTGTAGACGGCGAAGGGTATCCTAGAGGTGACATCGATGTGTACAAAGTACGTCATGCACGACATAGAATTATTTGTAAGTTTATTTCAAACATTAATCCACCTAATGAATTCCAATTCATTAGAATAGTTGAGTAGAATTAAAATATACAATCGTTACAGACAATCGTATCAGAATCCCACTAAAAAGCTGGGATCATATCTACTTATTATTAAATGAGGTATTTTAAAAGCCTCTAATTCAAGTATGCAATATCTATGTAATCTAATGCTAATACTGGTTTTGATTATGAATAACCCTTAAATGACTTCAAATTTAGATTATAAAATTGATTTATTAGATCAGTAAGGTGGTTGTGAACTAGGGTTGCCAATCATAATATAATATTGTACTAAATTTAGGTCTACATACTGTATACTGTTTGAGAAATATATGGTATCCAAAAATACTATAATTTTTGACATCAAATACATTAATTTTTTATTAATGCAACTGCTTAGAGAAATAGGTAATGTCATGTAAATATTATTACTTTAACATTACTTTCTTGTCAGCCTAAAGAAACCCTGAATGGTATGATAATTAATGCCTTATGTTTATTATAAAATTTTTGTAGTTCCTAGTCCCTACTTTTTTCAAGTCTTCAAAGTGTAATATTTTATAAATTAGTAACTTAAAATTTTGTTTTATTAAATATTTGTAAGTTAAAATGGTTCATATTTTCCAAAGGTAAAACCAAACCCGTGTTTTCACTTGTAGGACACAAGCTTATTACATTTCATTGATATTATCTGAATACAATTGTCTTAGTTAATCTTTGTATTAGTTAGTCTTAGTTAATGTTCCTATGGATTAGATAGGCAGGCACACTATAAATTTTTTGAACCTGTAGTCACTATAAACTGTACCTTTTTATCTAACTTTTTTCAGTTTGAGATAGATAGATAGATAATTAATTATTCTAAATGCAACACACATAATAGAATAAATATTAACTAAGAATAAGTCATGTACAGTACATTGAAATCACCAAAATGTTGGTGAAGCACTGATTTTCAGCCATCACCCCAGCTAAGAAAAGCAGGGTCAAATCAAAGAAAAGGAGTGTAAGTTGAATGAACAAACAAAATGTAGATCAGGAGCATGTCAGAAAGAAATGTGGTCAATGTTATAATAATGTCAGAAAGTAAATAATATATATAAAATCAATAAATAATACAGGGTAATAGAACAATTATTTGAAAAAAAAAGCATCATGATAATTAGATGTCAAATTTGAATGAACATTTTTGATGGTTTTAAGATGTAATGTTATATCAGATTGTAATTAGTCATGTCATAAGGTAGTAAATTACTATTATTTAATTAAAGTTAAATTATTATTTATTGTTATTCTTTAATTTTAGTAATATTATATAATTTAGTATATAATTTTAGTTTTTAAATGTCGATACAGAGGTGAGACCTCTCAGAGGTGGTGGTATATCATTCCAACACTTGCAAGATTGAAATTTATAACTAAACTAAATATAATCTAAATGCGACTAATCTAAATGCTGTTGTACGGTGATGATAAGAAACTAATACAGGACGAACAGCTCTCATAGCAAATCTACTAAATCTTGTAAAAAACTTTAGTTTATTGTACAAGTATACAGGCTGATGATTCTTTATAATATTAAATATTAAACACGAACTCCAAAATAAAAAACATTACTAAAAACTACATTTCACGTAGTTTCCCACGAGACTCCATTTGGAGCATATTTGCCGAGTTTCAGAATGGAATTACATGAGTTTGAGGACGCACAGGAAAACAAAATCTTCAGCAAGCATTCTGAACTCACTGAATCAGCTTTCGAGTCCTAAACAGAAGCCGAGGGCCAATAACCACATCAGTATAATTCAGTTGCGAAAGTATTAAAGACTTGACCAATGTTATGTGTGTGTGTACCTTCACTTAAAAAATTGTGAACTCGATAAAGATGCTTCAGGCGGTACATGTAAGTCCTGACGAAACTCAAGACATGTGACCACTCAGCAGTGGCCTGCAAATCTTTATTTAATTTTAAGACCGTCTCCTCCGTCATCGCTGGATCTGTTAAAATATAAAGCTGTACATCATCAGCGTAACAATGATAACTGCAGTACTTAATTGCTTTTGCCATATCCACTGTGTAAACAATAAATAATAGAGGCCCAAGAATGGAGCCCTGAGGGTCACCACGTGTAACTTCTCTAGGATCCGACATATTGGTTGAGTTATTAGAGACTTTGTGTAGCCTCACTGACTGATGCCAATGAAGAAGGTTTACTAGCAAACCATTGCACAGAGCAGGCATCCAAGCCGTAAAACTCGAGCTTAGCCAAGAGGACACGATAGTTAATGCTATCAAAAGCACGGGAAAAATCTAGTAAAGCAAGAATAGTGCCACGACCTGCTGAGAGAGGATATCATCCACCACATCTAGCAAAACGGCGGATATGCCATGGTTGCGACAAAAACCGGACTGCGTTGCGGGAAGTACACTCCAAGTGAAACTGTATAGGGAGAAAAATTGTTAAGTTCCTGCTAATTCTTCTCAATAGAAGGTCTCCTAATGTTGATTTACCTAAACTTAATTACATAACTTTTTGATTGTCACAAATAACTGAAGAATAAAAATTTTCTTTGTGTTTTAGGTCTACAAAATGATCACAAAGCGTTAATGAAGAGAATTGAGCAGGGTTTGGCCGAAGTGCATTCAGATTTTGTCGGTCCTAATGGTGAAGGACCATCAGTTGTAGTTCCGTTGCCTAATGCCCCGTACAGTAACGGCCACTCTTCCTATGCTCCATCTAATGAGGGTGATACTGTGAATTTGAATGAATCTGGGTTTGCTTCCGTTGGGAATATACAACCTGGTTCTCCGGCAGACATGGATGTAAGTTTCATCTAATTTTTATTTTTTGAGATAAATAGGGTTACCTAAAAAGCCTTTTCATGTCAGACTTTTATGGTTATTTATAAAAGTCTAGTTATAAAATGATTGCATATTTGGACTGTCTTGATAAGTTTTCTATTTCAATCAAGTGGTTGATATTATTGTTGAGCTTTTTAAAAATCTAATTTCCAATATATTTCAAATACATAAGGTAATTTTAAGAGCTAGCAAAGTATATTTGTACACATATAAAAGCAATACTCACGCGAGGTAGACACAACCTTTACAGGCTGAAAGAAAGATCGTCATTTGCTCATAAACTAATAAACTAAATTGAATTGGCTTATAGACTAAATTGAAAATGTTTTTAGGGTCTGTGTGAAGGAGATGAAATCCTCCAGTTTGGATCAATTAACAGTGGGAATTTCACCGATGTCACTCAGATACACCAGTTAATTTCGCACTCCATTAATCAGAGTATCAGAGTACAGTTGCGACGAGACCATCGTATTTTAACTATAAATTTGACTCCTAGACCTTGGGCTCAACCTGGATTGCTTGGCTGTCATATCCGAAGACTTTAAAATATAATAGAAATCCTCTTAATAACATAACACTTTGTAAGGTTTACAATTTTATTGTAAGCACTATATGTTCGAGCTTCTTAATTGTAATGTTAGACAACTTGTTTTGTTGGCAATCCTATTATTAACAGTGAACTTTGTTATTTACATATTGCTTGCATATGCTTAAGAAATGTCTTGTATAAATAAACAAAAACTATGATTGTAATAAATAAACTAAGACAAAATAATTCTTCTACCAAACCTGTATTCGCGTGAATGTGCACTACTTACATACAAAAAATCATTCGGTGTGAGCGAATGACAACTCAGTAGTATTGATAGTATGCCACTATTGAGAGAAAGATGTCGGTATACAAAAAAAATTGTGATAAATATTATTAAAAAAAAAAAACGCGGCATTTTTTTTGGTTTTATGGTGTTGTTAGTTTAAAACATATTAAAAATAAATTTTATGGTTTATAACCATTGTTTTCATTCTCTTATTTTTCTGCAATTGAAGTGTGTCTACTCGCTGCTTGATCTGCAACCTTTTTGCTTCTATGGTGTTTTTCCGATTAGTCTCTTCTGTAACCTCTTCATTTTTTGTCTCTTCTTCTTCCCCCACTGTAGGTCTTTCCTCGTCACTGTACATGTGCTTCATAGATAAGTCAAAATATAATTTGTCTTCCACCAACCGGTAGTCTGGTTTTTCAATGGTGCCTCGAACGCAATCGTGGTAATGGCACACTATTTTCTCTTGTTCATATGTTTCGCAGGATCCTAGAATTTAACAATATTTTCATAAAAGATTACTTACAGGTAACAGCGTTTTTTCCCCTTTTATGATGTCCCTGATCCTCGTGGAGTACCAAAGATTAATATAATATTTACTAAACGTTTCTATTTTCAGAATTTCTATTGGCGTCACCATGTTCATCCTTTGTAAAAAAAGATCTGAATTGCCCTCAACTTCCACACAAATTTTAGTCGCTTATCCGATGATCAGCTTTTCTAAACATTGGTCACCTGAATTTATTATTTGGATGAAGCTAACACGTGTTTTTATTGGTCTTAATAGATAAATAAAATCAACCAATATTTGTGTATTTGTCAAGTATATTGACTAAGTATGGCTGTTACTTAGAGATATATAACAAATACGCAATCAAGAAAACAAATCATTAGCTTCTAGTGAATAGCGGAGAAAAGTGCCACCATTACTGATAGAACAAATTATAGCCCACTCACCAGGCCTCTGTACTCTGACTGTGAGCACGGCACGCTCGGGGGCCATATTTTTGAAGTGAACGAGATAACATGCGAGCATAGTGCCAGTGCGCCCACGACCATGCCGGCAATGTACACCTATCACCTGCGATCAAAACAAACATGTAAGTATATTGGACATATGATGAGACGTCCTTATGGTGTTCTACACAGCGCAACAGCGAGCTGAACAAATACTAATGACGGGTCAAATGAAGCGAGCAAATCCTTCATGGCAGCGAGCCGAACTCAAATGTTAAGAACTTTCAAATGGATTTTATGCCTTTCTCGCCAACGTTTATTGTAGGTAGTTCATGAGATGATTTCGATATTTACGCGAGCAATAAGTATTTTAACTTGATATTAATCAAAGAATATTCATGCCAGCCAAGAGCTCGTAAATTACAACTATGTCAAACCAGGCAGGATGGCTTGCCGTTGAAATGACATCGCTTTATAACACGTACAGCCAGCAGCTAAGCATATCAGATTACAAAAACTAACTAATTTCTAAACTTAATTTTTAACCATACATAGAGTAAAAACCAAAGCCTATTGTGGTAACTTAACGTACAGCCGTTATAAGAATAAATATAGGTACTTATTCATCCATCTATTTATTCGGGTAACAAGCTCAAGATCATCTTCTATAGCTTTGTTGCAGTAAGTTCAAACTAATATGGCGCATTATATATATTTATAGTGACTTGTTTCAATAACCTTCAGGGGTATATATAACGCTATAGTTTCACTCGCTCTCAGTGGCGTGTGGATATTGGTGGATCGCTCGATGGCTATATCTAATCTTTCCGATTGGTCGCCATTTGCCGCGCTTTCTAAATTTATCCTTTTGCGCAGGTACACAGTCAGGCATATCAGTTGTATCTTACTGTATTAGCTTACCTCTCCTCTGATTTCTGCCCTCTCGCAAATTTCTATAAACTTCAAGATCTGCTTCAATGTCGGCGCACCGAACTCTTTTATGCGAATCTCAGACCATTTCAGTTTCTTTTTGCACTCTAAAATCGGGGGCAGCTTCTCCGGTGATAGAGTGATCAGATGATGGATGCCTGCATCTGCTACGTAATTAAGATTAGCTACAGTTTGCGGCCATCCCATTGCAGCGATTTTCTTTTCAATGAACCAGGAGAAGTTGTACGGGGGATATGACTCATAGTCTTTTTCTTCAGTCCGTATTTTAGGTTCTTCTTTTACATCTACTGCGGGCTCATCTTTTGCCTTTGGTTCTTCTGAATATTTGTAGAATAGTTTTGCAAGTTTCACGTTGGTCCGCATTCTAACAGTGCTCATGGTTTTTTATGTTATTGATCTGAAAGATATTATGAACATTATTTATGAACTTAAACAGGCAAGCCTATGTACCTATGTGCCAAACAACGGCCTTTTGTACTAAAAGTATGAATATTATAATTTATAATTGACCTTAAACACCATATTGCAAAGTTGATAATGCAATGGAGAGTGCGTTTGGCCAAAGATTGTTTTGAATAATTAACCTTTGCAAAGGTCGGTTATAGGATGGGTGACCAAAAATTGATTGTTATGTTAAAACCAATGACACAGACAGAGATTTAGATGTTTTTATGCATAAACTTTTACTAGTTTTGCAACACCGATAACGTAATACTCTGGTATTAGAAATACTATTTGAATAGTTACGTTGGACAGGCGTAACTGTTTCTGTCCTATTTATATCCCTAACTCACCTCGACGTTATATTGACGTTCACAAATTCACTTTATTAAAGGAACTAGTTATTTCACGCACATCGGTTAACTAGAATGTCTTCACAATTATTAACAGCATGTACTTGGTAAACAAACAGAATATAATGTTTGATCATTCAGGAGCTACGCTTCGTTTTTGGTGGGATGCCAAAGAAATTGCCAAACACATTGGCACTCATGACACCTAACTGACATTTTAAAGTATCGTGGGTTAGTGCCAATTAATGCAAAGTTAATTAAACCGGTGCTAAAGTTCACGCAGAGTTTTAATTTTAGGGCTTTCTGTTATGCTAATTTAATTATGCTAATTCTGTTATGCCTTTTTATATTACTATAAATAAATATCGCGGGAAAACAGCTAGTTTATTATATAAATAATTATTAAAGGTGGAACGTAAGTTGAATCAAAATGGTGACTGCACATTTTCGGATCTCAATCGAGGTGCGGGGGTGAGACGCAGCGGATAACCATAGCAACACAGTGTTCTTAAGAAAGAAATCTGCGCTCATTTTGGTTAATCTAGCCGCTCATTAAACAAGAGTAGATTTAAAGAAAACGAGACTATTTTCTTGAAGTCGTTTAAAATTAGTGTATTTTTTTCTGAAAATAGGTGTCTAATACCGGCATAACCAACCAGTGGCGAACTAAGGGGGAGCGGAGGGGGCGGCTCGCCCCAGTCCTCTGGTTCGGGTTGGAGGCCACGTAGACATATAAATACAGCCTAAGCGGAGTGCTTACCGCCCCGGACCCCCTATGGGGTTAGTCCGCCACTAAAACTGACTTGCGTAATAAAATGACTACATAATTAAAATAATATAGGTAAGGCAATGAGATTTGAATGAGTCAAACAGAACACAATGTAACAAATTCATGAACATTCATTTAATCTCAGGTACAAAACAATCACACTTAGGTATACAATTCTTATGGTATATCTTAACTTATCCCAAAGCTTTCTTGGTCGCCTCCCTCGCTGACTCTATCATTTCTTCCATGACTTCCCCGCTGACACCGAACTTTAGAGGGTTATCTTCAGTGAGGAACATGAAATACTTTCCTACAGCCTCCTCCTGTTCCTCCCACTCGAGGGAACCTGAAAACATACATTAAATTGATTAATTTATATCAATAATTTTATTTATAACAGAGGTTATCCTAAATAGTCGATATAGACTTCTTGGGGTCGAAATCGGTTTTACAGGATTTAATTTAACGGAAACTGCAGTGCTATTCTGTTATAAAAACAGTCAGCCACAACATAAAGGTTAAATCATATTTCTACTCCAAAAAATATTAAAGGTTTTATTTCATTGAAGCTCTGTGCTCGACCACGAGTTCGAGATTGTTTTTAAAAAAGCCTTTTAAGGGCCGATGTCTATAAATCGACTTTAAAACTGTAATAACGGTCCTGTTCTGGAACTGTTAATAGCGCGTAGCATTATGGACTCGAAAACGTTTTGTCTACGTGTATAAAAAGCGTTTCTTGAGCTTTTCATTTTACGCGTGATGGAAAGTCACGATTGTGAACTTCAGCATTAACTCATTAGATACATCGTTGTAGAATAAGTTTCTCACCTGGTCTAACCATGCGCACCACATTCATTGCCTCATCTGGCATGAATCTGTGGAAATGCACCAAGTAGCAGGCCAGCATCACGGCACTGCGGCTACGGCCCTGTCGGCAGTGCACACCCATCACCTGTTGAGCATTGATCGATTTCAACATCTGCATTTATCAGTTAGTGTACTCATTGGGACACAGGCATTTATTTATTTACACTATATTGGACCAGAACTCTACAAAATACCTTTAGACATTAAGTTCACCACTACTACCAATCAACCGGCGATCTCGCAGAACTAGATCGCAACAACAACGACATTCGTTTTACCAGATTTTCGTAACATTTAACTTTATAAACTTGAACGGTAATAACTACGCTCCCCAATAACTCAGCAGTAGTTTTATTACTTCTTAAATAATGTTGTTTTAACAATACAGTTGACATGTTTTCTTTACACAATAAATATATGGTATCAAGATAAATTGCTATTCTATACATAGCTGAGTATAATAATACACATTGAAATTTTCACTGACTTTGAAGGTATTTCTGTTGCCGCTATAACAACAAAATACAAAGAAAAAACCTAATAAAATAAATATTTACGTGTTTTTTTGTTTTCGTTACGGAACGTTCTACTCGCACTTGTTCGGTTTTTTCAACAATAACTCAGTGCCAGTTTACTTTTGTTTTTCAGATTTCCATGGAAAAGGCTTTAGTTACTTCATAATTTATTTTTACAACATGTTAGAAAATCTAAGCAGTCTTCACAATTGAAATAACATTATAAAGATCAATAAAGCCCTTCTACTATGAAAATCTGAAACAGAGAAGACTCAGATGCGAAACAATGGAAGAAAGGTTATTTTTTACATCGACCAGCCCCCATATTCTGTAACTCTGAAATAAATTGTTCACAGAGCTCTGTGCGCAAAACGGTCATAGAAATAAGTGATTGGTATTGTTCAGCTTTTACGGTAAGACGTCATTTGAGTTCAGACCGAAAGTCGATGTCGGTAGACTGGCTTGTACGCCAGTTTCAAGGTATCGCCATTTCTGAGCCGTTTTCTTTTCCTAATAGAGTCGATATAGAAAACAAACTTTCGCTGTTCAGATTCCCATGAAATTTTTACTATTTAGATCTGAGCAATTTATGTGATTTTGTTTAATACTTATTCATTATAAAAAAGATATTAGTATCGAAACATCATACACTTTACCTCACCATTCTTGTCTGCTCTTTTGCAAATATCTATAAACTTCTTCACATCTTCAACTGTAGGCACACCAAATTCTTCAATCGGTATTTCACTCCATCTTAACCTAGCAATATCATCTACTGGAGGCTTCTTACCCGCTGTCAGTGTTACCAAATGCGTTATACCCTGATTGATTATGAATTTCAAATTCTCCTTATTTCTAGGGAAGGCCATAGCTGCCAGTTTTTTTGGGATCAACCAGGAAAATTTTAGAGGAGGGTAGGCGTCTACTTCTATCTCTGGGAACGGGTTTTCTGGTATTATAACAGTGAGTTCGTTCCGTATTTCCTTTTTCGCACCAGCTAAATGTCTGTCCTCCTGCTCTGTTATCTCTTCCATTCTTGAAATCACACGGTAAGTTTCTTCACCCATATCAGCCATCCTCGATTTCACTGCCACAAGAAATTAAAAAGTTATGTATTTAAAAAAGTACCTTATTTTAAACTTTGAATATTTTTTATTTACGAACACGAGCACTTTTCACATTGGCACCCTTTACTGCGGTGAACCATCTGGCACGATTATTGTTGTTAGACTGGTGAAAGGGCGCTCTTTTGGCACAAACTCCTTGTTTCTGGAGAGACTGTAACACTTATTTCTGGAGTCCCGAGGTCCACCTTGACAAAGATTGTATTGCCAATGCCAAGGGAAATGTCAGAACGATTTTAGATCTTAAACGCAACGCGTTAAGATGTCTAAAATCAATATTTATAATTTAGAGAGTTAATTTACGTAGGTGTCGCGTAACTCATTTGTGTCGTATACTAGTTGACAGATCTCTATAAAAAAAATATAATGTATATGTAAAAAGATTAATGTTTCGATAATAAAGTGCGAGTGTAAATTCGCGAATGACGTCATTTTATTTCATTCAATGGAGATTGTGACGTCAATGGCAGTGTAGTTGCATCGTACGACAGATATAAATTTACGATTGTTTATATGAAACCATATGTTATAATTATAACATTGTGCGCAATTTTGGAGTCTTCTTTCGTATATAATTTTTGGATAATTTTAGTAATTAGTTTATTATCAACCGAACTATTTTGTATATTCTATATCACAATTTGTTAAGTATCATTGCCAATCTATTTAATGTTTATTTTATCATTATTTAAACTAAACATATCTTTTATAAATTAAAGATTTAGAATACACTTAAAAAATGGTTACAGCTTAGCGGTTGTTGTTCAAAAAACTATTATTAAGTGTTCAGTTAAGTATTCATTTGTACCTTCGGCAGGCGAATCTTGTAAAGTGTTATTTAGCCAATATAAGATTATGTAGGTCTGAATCAGTACTAAATGATATTATATATCTCTGATTTCAGCAAAGTTAACAGAACGATATCGATATAGGGATACAGTTTTAAACATAATGTCACGAACCATTGTTTTAGGGTATAGAATCAAATCAAAAGTTGATATTCGCCTCCTTTCGAATATTTTAGGTTTTATTGCTTTACATTTAGATATACATTCTCCGCAACTCTGTTTCAAATTAAAATATGTGCACATGGTGATAATTTAGCGACATAGATGTCAATTTTAAATCTAAATAGTAAAAAGAAATATCAATTTTAACTTACATCCCTTAAATCTACGGACTACTGAAGCACTGGTATTGACAGCAAATGCAACACTAAACTAAGAGACAAACCCATCCATAATGAACTCATGTTCTTCTTAAATCCATTGTCAATTTTAAAGATCTTATCGCTTAGGCCATAAAGTCTAATTTAGAAAGATAATATTAAAAATTCATTTGACAAGGGTGGGATGGATTTGATTGACGAAGATATTGATGAAAATAATATGCGTTTCTAGTGATGTGCGAGTTAGATACGGATGAATTCCATTTTCGCCTATTTAATCAGAACAAGACGTCAAATTGTGCATTTATAGAAATGTTTTTGAGCTCTAATGATATAAACGATCTTTAATTAAGAATTTGCTCAGTAACGCTCGAAAAGCCATTCATAATGGAGATATAAGTAAGAAAGTTGATCTGAAAGATAGCGTCGATGTAAAAATCAACAGAAACATGCTCCGTTTGTTCGAGCGTGTGGAAAGAATGCCAAACGGAAGTATGACAAAAGTGATATGCAACATGAAAGTAGAAGGATTTAGAAGGCCAAAACACACCATACACGGTCAAATCGATCGCATACTGTTGGAAAAAGATGTTAAAAAACTTAAACACCAACAGTCATGTATGAAAAGGGTAAGTGGATGAGGCAAAGGATGTATGCAAGAATCGTGCCTTATGGCGCTAGGATATCTCTACCTACCTACCTACCCAGCAATAGATCCGGCGTGAATACTATATAGATATACAATTTATATTAAGAAAATAAGTAAAAGTAATTCCAGTAATTGGAAAGTTATGAATAACCGGTTATGCTGTGGACCAATAGTTTGAATAGAATATGTTTTACGCAATATTTCAAAATATTTGCCCAGAATTCGAAACAATTTTAAATTCAATGTTGCAAGTGTTTTGTTTTAGAAGGCGAAAATGAATAAAGAAACGAATATACTTCTGGACGGGGACTTATTAGCAGTAGTGACACATTTAGTCTCTTCTTATAAACCACCATCCCGATAGCCATCAATTGCTAGCTATCGGGATTTACGTAATCAAATATTTTTTTTAACAGAAGTATTTACGTATATAATCAGAATTAATAATCACTAAATAATAAACTAATAAGAGTCCGAGTGCTTGTCGGGCATCATTTGATTTTAATAGAACGGAGGAACCAACATGGAACTGCGACTAACATTTATAAAAAGTATCGATGCCATATAATTTTAGCCAGCACTATTCACTGGATAACATTCACTCTAATTGCTTTGTATTAGAGTTGAATTTTCAATATCATTCGATAACTGAATAGTCTTATGGACTCTTACGCAAGTGTTTACAAAATTAGCTTGGCCTATCAGACTGCGTGGACTTGACGGTGACAGGTAAAGTTGATGTTTTGTTACGGTTAAATACGGGGTCAAGGATTATATAAATATACAAATTTGTTTTTTATTGCAATGATATCACATCACATCTAAACATAGTAGATTATTGCATTTGCATATTATATTCTATGCGGAGATGGAGTTTAGTTACTGTAAAACAAACAAAAGATATGATTTATTTTTATGACGGAATTGGAAAGCTTCAGTGATAATTGACTTTATCGACGGAAAAAATGGTTTTAATTTCTTTCGTTCGTAACTGAATGATACGAATGAAAACTACAATAGGGTATTTGACTAATTTTGAAAATTAAATGAATGAGGAAAATTTACTGTATTCATCACCATCATCATCACCAGCCCTTTACGTCCCCACTGCAGGGGCTCAGGCCTTCCTTATGGATGGTTAAGGAGGATGGGCCATGACCCTCCACGCTGGCCCAATGCAGATTGGAGGGTATTAACGACTGCAAATGCAGCCGGGACCAACGGCTTAACGTGCCTTCCGAAGCACGGAGCAGCTCGAGAATATTTTTTTTTGGTCACCCATCCCGTGACCGACCCTTGCGAAAGTTGCTTAACGACAACGATCGCGGGCCGAGGCACTTATCCACTACGCCACCGAGCTACTTTACGGTATTTATCAATCGAAAGCAAATAAAATATTTAAATTTCCGAAACCGCGCAAATAACGCTGTCTGTCATAGGGGAAACTAGCCTAAAACGGGTAGGTAGTGGTACGCTTCTACGTTATACTTGAGTGTTGATGTGTATGTGTGCCGAGAGTTGTCACCAACAGAACATCTTCAATCAGTTCCGCTAGGGCGCTAAAGTCGCGTCAAAGCGTAGGTGTGTGTATCGAAAGTTTTTTGGCGGTTTTGTTAGAAAAAAGCAAGGTAAGTCTCTTTAAATTAGTCAAAAATGTTTGTTGTTATTGACATTTGAATTAACCTTTATCTGACTGTAGAATGCCACAATTTCTTTTGTTGTTTCAATTTCCATTTCGGGGTTATTATTATTTTACTTAGCAAGATACTCTTGGGCAAAACGGGTAGGGCAAAATGGGTATCGTCTTGACCTACTCATTTTGCCCTGAATTCATTTTCAATATAAGTTATCGAGTTTTCTTTTTCAGGTGGTTAATAAATATATAAGAAAACTCAGCGTGCATCGTAGAGTGAGGCCACTATAAAAATTGGCAATGGAAGATGCTAAATCCTCTTCAGCGTCTGCTACCGCGAAGAAGTATGGGTTTACACTGTCTACTTTGCAGCGACATATTAAAAAGAGAAGTTCCAAGAAAAGTCCTGGAAGGTAGCTGCCTGAAGACTTACAGGACACGCAGAGAATACGTGTGCTACACCAGTGAATGCCACTTTACTTAGTCCAGTATCTTCTCCTCATATCCTCACATTAAACCTGCGGAAATCAGACATTTGCAAATACTAAGCTCAAAAAAATAACTGAAGTTTAAACCAGTACACCTATAAAAGAATAACAAAAATGAAGGAAGAGAGAAAGAAATTAAACAAAACACACAAGAAAAATAAAAAAAATTTAGTATCGGTTGGAAAAAAGAAAAACAGCAATAATAAATCATCTATTAGTAAAACAAAGAAAGTTAATGGAAAAAAAATACAAAAGAAGCAATAAATTAAGTATTATGTTTTGTTTGTGGTAATCTATATTTGTCCACCTGTTGAAGACTGGGTCCATAGGGTGATTGTAATGAATGGGCCAGTGGCTTAACTATACCTTTGGAGGCTCGTGGCAAATTCATCGGATATTCTGTAGTTTTTACTAATTGTATTATAATAAATGTCAGGAGTAAGGATTCTCCAACGACCAGGGGCTCCTTCCAGCAGGAGGCCCGTGGCATTTTGCCAACTTCCGACCCTGTAGTTACGCCACTGGAATGGGCCCACGAAGCATGCACTTCTTTCTCAGGTGTAGGCTCTTATTTTTGTGATTTATGTCAAGAATGAAGACTTAAGATACGATGTTCGATATGAATCTATATACTTGTTACAGTAGATATAGTTGATTTAAATGTTTGTTATTATTTAGAACTTATATTTCTTAAATTGATATTGATTGTCAAAATATGACATTAAAGAATGATTCTATGAGACTATAATTACATTTACCTAAATGAACCTTCATTAAATTACCGAATCTTATCTTAAACTTAAGCCAAATATTAAGACTGCTTAAAAAGTAAGAAATAAAAGCTTTTAAATTATTTGTTACCTAAATTTTGTGATGAAAATAGAGTTTAATATTTGATTTTGATATTTTTATACTATGTTAAGTCATTAAGAGGGTAAAACCGTTTAAAAAAAAATGTATTTGTTTTGCCCTAAGCTTACCTGTTTTGCCCAAAGGGGGTTACCCTTTTTGGCCAATATGCGGGCAAAACGGGTTTTTGGAGACCTTTTGTATTTTTCATACAAAATAAATATGTTTCATTAAAAAAATTCGATTGGTATTTTATTTTATACTTTGATAAATATCCTTTGTATTAATGTAAATTAAGTTAAGGATTCAGGTGAACTTGACGTTTTTTTTTACATTCTCGCTTAGCTTACCCCTTTAAGGCCACCTTCCCCTACGCCGCGTATGGCGTCATACGCAAGCAAATAAACAACCTCGTCAAA